AGGGAATCTGGTTTGGAAATGTGTTCTACATGAAAGGTAATTTAGGTATCAAAACTAACAAAAAACCTTCTTCAACTTTGAACTCAACCTGCTCTACTCAGAAGCAGCTCAAAATTTTTATATGAATTCGTTGTTCCACCAATAGTACTCATAAAAAATTTTAGCTCGCGCTTTTAAATTATTTCAGTTTCCCGCCAATTTGTAAAATTTGGCATTGTGTTTCAAGCAATTTTTTCGACTTTTCAGACAAGCTACGCTTACAAATTTAAAAATATAGGTTCATTTGAAGATTTTCTACAAGTATACCAAAGAAAAATGATTAAAAGTCAAAAATAGCGAAGTTCTAAGCTTGAAACACAATGCCAATTTGGCGGAAAATTCAAAATCTCGATTTTCTTGAGATTGATTAAAAAGCGCGATTTGGTACTTTACAGAAAGTCTTATATTAACATGGTATTTCTATATAAAAAGTTTGAATTTAATCAGAGCGCGAAGGTCGACCAATTTCCTTGTTAAATGTCAAGTTAAATATTTCAAAACTTAAAAAAAAGTTTTTGATGATAAAATTTTTTAATTTTTATGTCATAATGACGTCCACTATCTTTACAAACAAAATTTTACCTTTCACACTGCCCGAAAACGTCTAAAAAGTAATGTCACACATGGTTTTGCACAAACGACAAGATTTTTTTCTCTCAAATAAAGGTTCCTTGTTAACTATAACAAGCTGATTCTTATTACTACAAAAATATTGTAGTAACAAACATATTAAGACAGAAAGAACAAAGAATACTGTTCAAAATACTATGGTATTTCGGAAAAAACAAAAATTTTGAGGAAAAACAAAATACCGAGAAGATATTGGATTACCGTGGTAAACACTCAACTTATGCTGTATACTAGTGCTAACAAAACTTAAAATAGCATTTTGTTACTGTAACTTTACAAAATAGCATTGTCTTACTTTAGCTTTACCAAATATTCTTAAATCTTACTAGTTTTGCTGAGTAAAAAAGTTTTGACGTCATTTTACATTGTTTTGAACGTTCGAAGACGACAAGACTTTTTGGATGCTATATCACAATAAAAACAACGTCGTCAACTTAATATATACCTCACATTACAGTAAAAACAATGTCATCAACCCGGTATATTCCTCACACCACAGTACAAACAACAACAACAGCCATTTAACTGACGGCGATTATGTTATGGTGAGCAAGTCAGGCGTTGTAAGTCTATTTATGAACGCAAATAGACGAAGTGACCATCATTTTTCTATTCTCTATATATATTTGTATGTTTTAGCAGGAACTGTACGATTCGAAACGGATTATTCCAAACAACATTAACATACGACCATGTTTGTGGTCAAAGATATACACGGTTGTTGATCTGTGTATGAGGTTGTATAGTAAATTGTGGAAATACCACGGTTTATATTAGTTTGTTCAGATAATTCTGTGCTAACGAACTTCGAAAAGTTGCTTTGAGAGAGAACACAGAATTATGTGAACAACCTAATCTATAATAGTGGTATCAGAACGTAAGGTATATATTACAACATACGATATAAGAAACTCTCGTTATAGTTTTATAAAATTATCAAAATAACCTAAAAGTAACCTACCTTTCGTATTTTACTCAAATATTTATCGAAAAGAAGAATATTAACCTTTAGCCTTTGCCTCGTTTGTTTGTTTTGTTTCTCTTCAGATCTCGACTTTCCAATGAAAACAATTAAACAATACTCTTTATAAAAACTACAGTAGTCTCTCGAGTTTCAAAATTGAAAAGTGATGTATGTTACATTCAAATAAACACTTTGATACCTAAAAATTAAAAAGACGTCAATTTAAATAATTTAAATTATTATAATGGGTTGTCCAACTAATTCTGTGCTCCCTCTCAAAACAATTTGTCGTAGTTAGAGAGCACGGAATTATTTGAACAACTTAAAAAATTTAAAATAAATTTTAAAAAATATAATTTTTGTAGCTCCAAGTAATGTTTTACATTGTTAGATTGAAATAGTTCAAAACCTCAAATTTACTTATTTATGCCACCTATCGTCTACTACAATATACATTAATTTGATTTCCCAAAAATACTTTTCGAAGAATTTCAAGAAATCACAAAAAAAGTTTCAATATTTCAAGATTTCACTGCCAGTAATTGCTTTTCTTCACTTCAATTTGTCATTTCTTAAAGGACCAGTTCGCCCATTGAAATATCATTGGCATTCTGTCGCAAAAAGCGTCGAAAATCAGGCAATTTCAATCAAAATCATTTTTCTCAAAAAACGTGAGTGGGTCGGTGTCGAAATGAATTTTTCAATTAGGGTCCGACCTGCTCAGGTTTTTTGCGAAAAAAATGAACGTCGAATTTTTGCGACAGAATGCCAATGATATTTCAATGGGCGAACTGGTCCTTTAATGAAAAAAGTGAAAAGTTCGTTGAGTAAAGTAACAACTCTAGCTTACTCTGTTACATGAATAATCGAACAAGTTATTTTACAAAAATATATCGTTTCCTCTGGTTTAGTTCTTTAAGTTTTATGTATTATAAGTTTATACTTTTAAAAAGTGGTACGCATACAAGGCTACCACTTTTTTGAAACCAGGACAAGAAAGGTAAGAGTGAAAAACAAACCGTGTAGGCCTGGCCCTGCAGGTCGTGCTTGAAATTTAAGCCCAAAACCGAAAAAAAATTTTTTTTAATTTAATTTGTTGTTTTAATTCCCGTGAATGTTTTTTGTTTTTTTTTGGTACCGAAGTAATTAAATGGTCTAAAAAAAGAATGCAAAGCTAAAGTTTCTTTCATTTTTTAAATTTTTAAAATTCAAAAATTTTTAAAACGAGCCGGACTAAACTAGGCATAAAATTTTTCTACCGTGCCAGGCCCGACCGGCATGAAAAAATACTAAACGTTAAGTCGAAGCCAAGCCTCAAGAGTAGACATGAGGAACGAGCCGGGCCCACTTTTTAGGTCCGGCCTGATCTGAGTTTTGCTCAAGCCCGGCTCGAATTTGTTTTTTGCGTGGAAACGGGCGGGTTTTTTCGAGCTGTCCAGGTCCGACCCGACCTAAATTTTGCTCAGAATGGTCCGTTCCCCATGTCTATTCAAAAGTGAACCCAGCCCGTTTCTGACTTCTATCCAAGGCTGTAAGGGATTGTAAAAGAATAGGGGGGGGGGATCGGGAACAAAATCAACGCTTTCTTAATTTTACAATTGTTGGACAGGTACTAACTAAGTTTTGGACAAAAAGTTGTGTTTTTGATTTTGTGTAGACTAGTAAACAATAATGAAAAGTTTCTTTTAAATACAATAATGATTATATATCATTAAGCTTACCTGTTTGCTTCTTGACCTTTATAACTATTTACTTTTGTTTTTTTTTTAATTTTATGTGATTTTAAAAGCATGTCGCTGTAGCTCATTACTTTAAGTTTTGAAACTCATTATTTTGAATCACTCTTCTTATGACATTCTTGTAATATGTTTATGTTTATCTCGATCAACGTTATATTTCACTCTTATAAAAACCCATAAACCCAAACACATAAACCCCCCTCCGGCTACACCCTGATGCCACAGTGTAATTGCGGAATTTGCAGATTCCGAGAGTGAAATCGCCCTCAATCTTGTTTATCCGAGAGAAAGTGAGAAAGGCGACGCTACTGATAGGCATCAGAAGCGGCGGAGATTGAATCCGCCAAAATAAGCCTGCTAATGCGCGACGGCTGGATTCTGAGATTCTGGAGCAGATTGAGGTATTCTGAATCCGCCGGAGTCGGTTTATTTACTTTACAATACCCGCGGCTTAATTGGGGCATACAATTTTGATTATTTTAAGGGTTTTGATGATTTAGAGGGAAGGTACAACAACGACCAGTTGTTGATGGTACTGTTTAGTACTAACGATTTATTTTTCAATATTAGGTTGTGAAAATAATTGTGCGTCCCCCTACCCCAAACATTCGCTTCCGAGAGGAGCACAGAATTATTTGAACAACCTAATTTAACCTGATTTTATAATTTGTCGTTACCTTTTGAATATTTAAGTTTATTTCAATAAATTTTTGACCAACTTTTTAGACATTATAGTTTGTTTTTATTAAACTATAAGAAAGGCTGTTTGTTATACCTATTTTTCATAAAAAATATACTTTTTTTAAAATTTCATTGCTTTTTTAAACCTATAAGTTATAAGATCATTCTCATTCTCAGACAACTAAGCCCTTTAGTAGGGTTTGACACACAACATATCTCTATATATTGTACTAGGTAATCTTTCCACTAGTCAGAAACATCTCACATATGACATTAATTCTTCTAATGTTCTTGCTATAAACTTTGAGACCATCCCGAAAAACATAAACCTTGCTATACCTTGTTGTATGGCCTAATGACATGATATTCTGAACTTTTGTTTGACAAATATATCTAAAATTTATTTATTGAACAATTCATGAAGTCTTTTTTGACAACTTTCTATAAACTTTCTGATTTAGCAGTCAATGTCAAAAGTACAATACAAAACCTTATCAGTAAAAGTAGCAAGAATTCTTTATGTTTTTGCACCGTATAATATGATATTAGGTTGTTCAAATTGTACTGAGCCCTCTAACCACGAAAATTTGCTTTGAGAGGGGGCGCAGAAGTATTTAACTTATAACAGTATGTGACCTTATGTCAACTACAACCAGGTTAACCTTACAATACCTCTGAACTTGTAAAACATGCACTTTTCAGTCGATTCAATTTTCCTCAATTCCGTCGATTTTACGACAAAATTGCTTTACGTTTTTATTGCCTTGGGAACGAATCGTGGTTATAATTTGGGTTAATTTGCAAAGTAAACATTTGCTTATTACGTTTTTGCAATTCCAACAATACTTCAATTAAACTGTGAACAGTTTGTAAAATTAATGTTTTAAGGCTTCTTCTTACTTTAGGTAATAGCCTTGTCCGCCTCCATTACACTGCAAAGCGGGGCGATGAAGCGGCTTACCGTAATAGCCTTATTACTGTATTTGGCGCGCGGTCATGTAAGTTTTAAAAAGTTTTGTTACCTACTCTACTTCACCCTACCCTACCCTACTCTACACTACCCTACCCTACTTCACCCAACCCTACCCTACCCTACCTTGCCCTACCCTTCCCTTCCCTACCTTACCCTACCCTTCAAGCTATTCTCATCCTACCTTATATTATCATGATCACAAAAAATGATAAATGATAAGATTTTGCTCAATTTTCAGGGCTTATCCCAACTAGAATACTGTAAACAATTCCTAGAATGTGAGAATGACATGATGGACACACACAAAAGATGCACAGACGGGTCACGGAACGCTACGGCTGAAGCTTGTGATCTTGCCACTGATTTTGAGTACGTTTATGAATTTAAAGACAAAACCTTAATTTCAGTGAACTCTCAAAGCTGATGCGAGCCAGAGTAAATGAATTTGGAGCCTGTGTGTCGGCCGAAAGTTTTATGCAAAGCCAAAAATCCGAAGAAATCGAAATTGATGTAAGTTTAACTATTAGAACGCCTTAAAACAGTGGCAGTAATGATAGTTCTTCCTGAGTTAAAAGCTCAAGGAGAAATACCATTAAAAATAATTTATGAACCACCCCTTCCACCAAAGTCCTAAATGATGACTATTAGTATTATATTAGGTTGTTCAACTAATTCTGTGCTCCTAACTCCAAAAATTTGTTTTAAAAAGAAGCACAGAATTATTTGAACAAACTAATAGTTTTAAAAAATTTTGTGACAAACCTAATGTTACTTCGTATTTTAGGAAAGAGAATGTGAATTGAACTCGGAAGAACAAAGCGAATCACCAACAAGTTGTTGGAAGTCTGTCGCTCAAATCAAAAGAAGATGCCAAAAGTATCAGCGATGTTGTCCTGCGGCCAAAGTGTAAGTTTAACATTTGTAAAATACAAAATAACAAAAAAAAATGAAGATGTAGTACTTATTTTAAATAAGAATAAGATGGTACTAGTTCTGCTCCTCACAAAAAAGCCATTTTAAAGCCTTAAAACTATTGCTTTCATCTACATAAAACAATTGAAAATCTACATTAACATCACCCCATTTACAGTTGTGTCAAAAGTGGAAGGACAAGTCAAGTAACTCGAGCAGTAAGAGAGAAACATATCATAATCAACCACAAAACATTGGAATGCAGGGCCAGGATGAGGCATATCCTCCGTACACACAACCCCAACGAGTAAGTGATAGTGATAAACAGAGTTCCCCCGGGCTCCAAATCCATCTCACGAGCCAGCTCCGGGAAGAATTTGGACTAAAATATTGTTTGGCTAGCCAAACTCGAGTCCAACTTCAAAAATGCCCAAGCCTGGTGAGGATCCGGAGCTGAAATTTTCAAAAGAGAAACTCTGGTGATAACACAGTAGTTTTTGTAATAAAAATGTAAACTATGGTATATATTAAACAGCAAAGTAAAATTTAACAATGTTTTTAATTCTAGTCCGATGGTAGCAAAAGCCCGTGCCGTCCTAACTTCTCAAGCTATCAAGTTCGTGGACAAGTTTAGAGCAAAGGAGACGGTAAGTAACCTCAATTACTCTCATTGTCTTAAACCTGGTTATCAGCTAATATCAGAAAATATATAAGACTTTGGCTATTAGTGGCTGGTATTAAAACTTGTATAAGACTAGATATCTTTGATTGAGATTAAAAATAGCCCAAAAGTTAGACCTAAACTTCGCTGTTATATATAAAAAACATAAACAAAACAATCGTATTTTACCTCAAAACCATGCCAAAAAAGCCATACATCTCACATACGAATAAAAACACTGATAGAACAAACTAAAAAGCACTTAGCTTTCGTATCTTACTATATCTCCATAAACAAACCTTCAAGAATCAGCAAACGCCAAATCATCACATTAAAGTACTGTAAAATCATAAATAACACAACTAATAAACATACTCATCTTATCCTATAGCCATAAACAAACACATACTCATAGTATCCTAAAATACCTTCTTAATCACCCTAATATACCTCTCTAATCCCCAAACATTTCAGAGTATTTCGACGGAAATGAAGTCATCGATGAATCCCTCGGAGCCCCTAATACCCATACAAACGGAACGTCGGCCGATGCACGATGAGCGACGCGAGATCCTCAAGCAGTTGTCGAAGCTAATCCTGCCCCGAGATGATGAACAGATTAAGGTGCGGGCGAACGAAAGACTAAGCCGTTTCGAATTGGCATTAGCCAAGGTGGAGATGAAGTCCCACATGAAGAAGACGCCCATCGTGCACGCTGTCAAAAGCTACAGCCCCAAACAGGTTGAGGATAGGGTTAAGGTGGAAAGTACTACAAGGTCAGCGAGTTTGGATACCACGACAGAGCGAGCAACGACGGAAACTCCAATGACTTCTGAAGCTGAAATAGTTTCAGAATCTACAACAACATCAAGTAAGACAGAAGACTCTATGCCAATGACCCCTTCTGAAACCAATATCATGTCTCACCATAAAGATTCTGGAAGTAACAACCCAGAAAATCATCAAGAAGCCATGTCATCTGACAATAACATGCCATCCACAACATCAACTCCATTTGACATTCCATCACTCCCAGAAACTACCACAGAAGCGCAGAAAGCATCCAAGATTCACCGTAAGAAACACAGAAAACACAAACATAAGAAATTCAGCACCGGCATCGTGACAGACCTGGAACCTCAGAAGCCCCACGTATCGTACGCTCTGCCTGACAGTGTTGACCTACGTAGACTACGCTTACTGTCAGCTCGCCCTCATCTCATGAACTCTTTAGGCCGTCGTATTTTAGCTCCAGAAAAGAGGGTGCCACTTAAGGTGGAGGATTCTGAAGACTCTGACGAAGTTCTTCAGACTTCAACCAGAGCTACAACAACTAAAGCTGCTACGACGAGACAAGTGGATTCAGATCCTGCGAGAAATTCACAACAGATGTCAGATTCAGAGTCAATGTCAGAATCAGAATCTACCAAGCCTTCATATACCATGACAGATTCAGAAGTCAAGCCACCAGAAATGATGCCACCATCAACCCTGATATTACCGTCAGAACCTGCAGATCAACATTCCCTGATGCCACACGACAACCTACACAACGGAGAACAGAACATCAGAATCGTAGAAGATTCAGAAACCCACGAAAAGGCCGTTATCACTCATCAATTCAAGAACCAACAAACTCCAGAAGGCGACATCAGAAGTGTCCATGAAGACAGTGTAACTAAGCTGGAAAACCATCCAATCACAGGCAACTCTGATCACGAACATAAGCTTACTGTACTACATCAAGACATCTACACAAGACACGATCATCGTAAGAACAACGTGGATCAGATGATGAGAGAGCGTGGAGTAAAGAGAGTGCACATAGAAGAAGACGAAGATACAAGAACATCTTATAGTACATCTAGACCGATTTATACCACAACTAACCCAACCACACCTACAGAATCGGAGGATTCAGATGCCTTCGAAGACGAACCAAGATTCACCAAGTATCCAGCACGACAGCACGGTGCCAAGATTCATTTGACATCGAAAACTGTGACATTGAAGCCATTAGAACCAGAAGATATGGACATGAAGCCTGAGATGATTCCAGAAAGCCGAGCCAACTTCGTAGCACCAATGGAACCAGAAAGCGGAATCTTCACAGTACGACCAAAGACTCGAGCACCATTCGACCCAGTAATGGAATTCTTGAAAAGACTACGTCATTCTAACAAACACACACTCCCTGACAGACTAAAGCAGGTACGATACTCAAAACTGGCTACAGTATCAGCTGAAGCCTCTACTGTACCAACAGTATCAAGTGACCTAACAGAAATAGACTTTTCAACAGAAAGGCCAGACATGAAACATCCAGTAGTACACTCTGACCGATCTGAAATCAAAATGGTACAAAATGACCATTCGAACATGAAAATGGTACCAACAAATCGACCAGACGTGAGAGCGACAACAGGTCGACCAAAGATGATCGACGGCTTCGTCGCCTTCGAAAACGACCAAGACCTACTGGTCGGTAGAAGAAAACCCCAGACTGTCACACCAGTCTTACTCCACAATGAACTAGATGCACCAGAAGAGCCAACAACAGAAGCTCCAGAAGATACCACGGTGATTTCAGATGGTAACACCATCAATGCCATGAGAACCATGGCCATGCTTCCACAATGGCCAACTACATTAGTCATGGAAGGGACAACCCTCCCAACCATCGTCAAATCCACTTTCGGCCATCTGGATCACATGCGACGACAGAAGGTGGTGCTACTGAAAGAGAAACCCATTATGACAAGTATGGCCAGACCTTTCATGGCCAAACCCACCAACAACAAGATTGTGGACAACGCGGAGCCACAAGGCTACAGAAACAAAGTCTACAGTGCCCAGAAGTTGTTATTGAGTCAGCCGGAGAAACCATTGTCTGAGGCCGAAGTTCTTCAGAAGCTACAACGGACGAAGATGCCTGACATCAGAAGAGCGCCGATTGTGAACGAAACCCCAATCAAGCCAGCTGGGGCTCATGAACTGTAAGTTTGGCTTTCGTGTACAGAACAGAAGATAATTTGAAAAAAAAAAAAAAATTTTCTCAAAATTGTGAAAATAATGAGACAAGTCTTTCTTTGACATGAATTTTTGAGCCATGTCTTCCATTTTACAAAAGTCTGCATTATGAAGCTCATGCTAGGCAAATTTGACCTGTTTTACTCTAAAGAAACTAAATTTGGACTATTTATTAATACAAATATGGTTTTACCTAAACTTTAACATTAACAACGTTTTTTAGGAATGGCGACTTCACGCAAGCCCAATCAGATCTCGTTCGGAATCTGGAAGAGTTCGTGAACCGCAAAGTCTACGAGATGGTGGAGAAAGATCGTGCTCAACATACGGAAACTGAATTACTTCAATCTCTACGAATGACCAAAGCCGAATTTGAAGCGATGGGAAAGAAGACTGGACATTGTGAATTGTATAGCACTTGTTCTGATCTCTTGAAGTCGTCTGAACGTGAATGTAGAGGAGACGAACTCAGATTCCCTCCAGAATTGGCTAGAAGAAAGTTTGGGAGTTGTAACGCGAGGTTATGGACGCAATATCAGGTAAATTCATGTTATTTTTTTTATGTTTTATTGTTTTTGAATATTTTTTTATCATGGTTAACATCGAAAAATGAGGTTTTGGTGGGAAAAGAAGAAAGTATAAGGAGAAATTTGAATGCAAAACTTTTATTGATGTTTTTTTAAAAATTTAAAAATTAATGTTATTTGTTTCAGGACACTGATAAGCTGAGATTGCAATTGGTATCGATCTTTGAAAGCTGTTTGGTCGAAGATATTGCTATTGGAAACGCTCGCACTCCGGTAACCTTTTTTATTGATTTTCTATGTTATAAATGTTAACTATGTGGATTTTACGTTTAATAATATTTTACCTTTTCAAATTTCAGGCCGGTTGCGCAGCTGAATGGCCAATCTTGCCAGAATTCCCTCCAGAATCCACCTGTACTACACGAACATCGTTGATTCGGGATCATTGCGTTAGATTAGGCAAATGTTGTACATCTTTGAAACGGTGTCGTCAGGTAACCGATGACAATCCATTGTCGCTTCAGCTTCTGAATGCTCAACAAGACTTGGCCCATCGCGCGGCCAAGTGCCAAAACAGAGGCGGCGGCTTCAGGGCGTTGAAGCCGATCGAAATGCCTGCCAAACGGGTTTTGTTACTGTAAAAATATATTTTGTTTGAGTTGTACATCATTGAGCTTGCCATTACATAATAAATTTAATAAGTTTGAAGTTTAGAAGATGATTTCATCACTTTTCATCTAAAAATCTAGAACGTTTTGGTTGATCACTAGAATAATATGAAGCTTGGGACTTTCTATTGACCTCGCAAACTAATATAATTTACATTTATACATGGGTAATATTTTCTACTATATAAACTTCTTCACCACAACTTTTTAATTTTTTGCCAAACTTGTTTTATGTTTCGTCAAAATGCCATTTGTATTGTTGTTTATCAAATTGGTCGGTCGGTGGGAAGATGAAGAATATTTTCAAAGGCAAAGATGACAGAGCCAAGAAGTCCACGCCTGAGCCTATCCCAGCCAAAGTCCCATCTAAACCACCTGACAAAGGTAAAGCTGAACCTAAGGAAATGCAACAGGAAAGGACCAAAAAGGTATGAGCTGTTTTATGATTATTCTTATCTGATTATTTTGCCCAAAAAAGGTTAAATTTTGATTCGTATTTATTTTACTGAGTTAATATTATGTTTTCATGCTATTTTAGGTCTGGTACGTTTGGTCTTACATTATTCTTTTCTTTAAATTTTTGAAAAATTAGGTAACAAAATTTTTATCCTTTAGGTAAGAGCCTGGTTGATGTCAATAGTGGACCGCCTAACCCTGAAATGGACTCCAGAATCCAGTCAGACTTTGTTCAAGAACGAAGAACTGATAGAACTGTGCTATCGTGCACGAGAGACCTTCTGGATGGAGAACTCTATGATAACATGCAAAAGCCCCATCAGCATCGTCGGCGACATCCATGGCCAATTCCAGGATCTGTTGGCCATGTTTCGACTGGTCGGTTTCCCACCCAATCGACAGTTCGTGTTCCTGGGTGATTACGTTGATCGAGGACCATTTTCAATCGAAGTGATAACATTACTGTATGCTTACAAGGTACTGTACCCCGATCAGATTACGTTGCTACGAGGGAATCACGAAAGTCGACCGGTCAATATGCAGTATGGGTTCTTTTTTGAATGTAAGAAGAGGTATTCTATCGAGCTGTATGAGGTGTTTCAATACGCATTTTACTGTATGCCATTCTGTGCACTGGTCGATAATTGTGTGTTGTGTATGCACGGTGGGATCAGCGAGGATTTGAGGGAGTTTAATCAGGTAATTGGTCATGGTTTATATTGCCTTTGGCTTGATTTTTGAAATTTCAAAAAGTTTTATTAAGTTTTAAAATTTTTAAGTAAAAAACTAATTTAAAAATTTTTGATTTCTTCAGATGAAGCGAATCGACCGCCCCTGTGACATCCCCGACCTCGGGATCCTAGCCGACTTGACCTGGGCAGATCCCGACCCCGAGATCCAGATGTACGAAGACTCTCCTCGCGGCGCAGCTCGCGTATTCGGCGAAGAAGCCCTGGAGTCATTTTGCAAACAACTAGGCTTAGAGATGATAGTTAGAGCTCATCAAGTCGTCAACGATGGCTACGAGTTCTTCTGCAACAGGAGGTTGTGCACAATATTCTCAGCACCGTTCTATTGTGGTCAGTTTGATAACACGGCCGCTGTTATGAACATTGAAAAGGGATTGGTAGGCCTATATTTGAGCATTATGTTAAATTTTATGTTTGAAATGAACCTTAGGTAATAGTTTTTGATAATATTATTGATTTGTCATTGTAGGACATAACTTTCACCCTCTACCGACCACAGAAGCCAGACAAAAAGAAGAGGAAGAAGAAGACCAAGTAGATGCTACAAGTATTTGTAATTTTGAAATAAATAGTTCATATTATTTGTATCTGTGCATCGTTTCTAGTCTGTCACTTGGTCTAATTTACCATACTTTTCAAGGTATACTTATTAGTTTGGTATGCCTGGCTTACTAACAGGGAAAGTGCCCGACCTGCTCCGCTCTGATTGAATTCAAACTTTTTATACTGAAAGATCATGTAAATATTAGACCTTCAGCAAAGTACTAAATCAAATTTTTAAAATTTGTAAGCGTAGCTTGTCTGGAAAATAAAAAAAGTGCTTGAAACACAATGCCAAATTTGCCGAATTGGCGGGAAAATTAAATATTTAAAATTTAAATTACAAAAACGCGGGTTAAAATTTTGTAAGGGTACTAGTGATAGTATAAATAATTGATATAAAAATTTTTAGTTGATTCTGAGTCGAGCAGGTTAGGTACTTTCCTTGCTAAATAGTCAATCAGTTGGCATAATTTGCCATAATTTTAAAAGCATACTTATTGGTACTAGGTTTAACCAAAAAAGATAAAAATGAAAGTTTTAAACACTAGATACTTTAGCTAAAGTATTAAAGCTTTAGATGAAATCAAATTAAAAATATTAAAATTGGTACATGCTTGGCAAACTACTACTTATGTCGCCAAAACTAATTCGAAAAGGAAAACGGGACTTTAAGGACTTTTTTCATTAAATTATGCAAATACGGAGGGTCTTTTTCCATTTCGAATAAGAATACTCGAAGCGTTGCTGCTTGTCCACTAGTGTGCCCTATTGTTTTGGCAGGATAATTGCCAAACTTTTTGCGGGAAAAATATTTAAATTGGTTCTTTATGGTTAAAATTGCACAAATTTTGCGCTTAAAATGCTTAAAATTTCAAATTAAAATTTTTTTTTGAATTTATTTTTTACCACTTTCCCATGCTCTTACTATACAGTAAAATAGCCTTTGCTCAATAGAAAGTCTAAAATTGTCCTTGTTTTAGTATAAGAATGTCGACAATTTGCGAGATTCATGACCTCCAGCAGTGAAGCCGACTCCAGCGGCGTCATTTGCAAGGATTTTGTTGCGGTCAATCGAAGTCAATTTCATTCAAAAAAGCGGATTAGGTTTTGCATTTTTGGTTCGAATACGTTTGGACAGTCAAGGGTTTCAAGTTTGAAGCGATTTTTTGTTGAAAATGTTGTTTTAGCTATAGTAAGAGGCTCGTTTTGGGGGCTATATTACAGTATATTGGTCTAACTCAAGGTTTTCTTGATCTTATATATGATATAACAGCCTTACTTTAGTCAACACCTTTTTTAATAACATTTTCTTTGTACTAACATTAAAAAAACTCAAAATAAGACAAATATAAACCTACTTTATGCTCCAAAACCGTTTGTCTGCCCCATAAATTCGGTAAAACTTGTAAGCCCTCAGGGCTTTACAACTTTAACGACTGTTTTTAACCGTAGTAAAGGGAAAAAGTAAACAACTTGATTTACAATTACTTGTGGATCGAGTTACTCGCATCGAATTACCGTGTTATGGCTATCGAACAATCGCGGTCAACTTTTTCGAGAGAGTGTGGGAAGAGGAGAGAGCGGAGAGAAAAAGGATTCGGACCTTTGAGTGAACACTTTTGGCCTAGCGATCTTTTAGGTGATCTTTTACGGCAGCTTAAAGAGGTTTTCGAGGTTGGGGTGGAGAATACGGCTTATTATGGGGTTTTTCGTAATGTTATGGCATGTATAATATAATAAAGACTATAATAAGGGCAATATTGGTGACAACGATAAGTTTAATTAAGCTTTTAGTTAAAAATTTAAAAGCTTGTTGTTTTTATGTTATAAAATTTGATTTAAATGTATTTTTGAATTTGAAAATATGAGTCAAAAAGTAGGGAGAAACTCTAAAAAGGCCAAATTTTCCTACAACCAGCTATGCTACAAAATTTTTTAACCAAGTCAGGTACTACAATACCTTAATTAACTATGATATAGGTCTAAAAGTTTATAGAACGACATTTTTAACCCTTTTTTAAATCATTTTATACCTATAATATTGTCTTATGCTCGTCCTCCGGGAATATGTTGCTCCTTATGTTAACCATACCCTTCATTTTCACATTTTACTATGCCATCACGCTGTAATATAAAATTATGCAAATTCAGAAGAAACAATAGCATTAATTAAACCGGTTTAGTGCGCTAATAGTAGATTCGGTTGTTAATTAAGGAATTTCCAACCGTTCCTAGGCAACGAAACCAGTAATTTCGCCGCTATGCAAATCCTAAATAATACGCGTTTTTTGGTCGTTTTGGGAGCTCAATTATTTTTTATAGCAAATATTATATTTAAAAGAGTGTTAATTTTGCGTGTTTTATAAATAAATGATTATTGTACAATGATTTTACTATAAAATTTGTTTTTTTTTTGTATTTTCGTTGACGGTTTTCTTATTCTCGTATATTTTTTTTTAAATTAGCATAATTAACTTGATTTGAATTGAAAAATTTTCAAAATTTGCGCAGAGTACACTAATAACCTTACCTTTGCGCCTGTAAAATTTGATTTTGATAGCTCTTTTGTTTATTGAGAGATAAAATAAAAAGTCTGTCACGTTTTCTGAAATTTAATTCTAAATTCTCATATTTTTTGTTTTATCGTGTCTTATAGTGAAATTGTCCGTAAAACGTGACAAATCTTTATGACTTAGTTCATATTGACAAGGTTTATAACGTAATCTTCTCAATATTTGCTTAGGAAGGCCGCATCACACTCTTCAGGCCTATTCTGCTACTTGAGTATCTATCATAATATATTTTGATGTATATTATGTTTTTCAGCCTTTATAGTTTACTTTACTTTGAATTTTTATATGACGTAAAGTTTTATTTGTCATTTTATAATGTCATACTATTTGATATTACCTTAAACTGCAGTAAAAACTTACTGTAAAGTAAATCTATCCAATTTTTTCCATTTAAAGGCAGATAGGTTCACTTTTTGTTTTTTGCAATTCAGTTAGCAAATCTATAAAGTAATCTCACTGCCGAGTAAACGGGTTGTTTGAGCTCGTATACGATGGTATTGTAATGTCATATAATCTTGGGCTCAGTCGGTGGAAGTAATTCGAATAAAACTACTCATCCGGCTCTTTGTTTTTATTTACTCACTCGACTGTAATCTTTGGGGTCATGTTGGTATGTTTGTTACATGGACATGACGAGGGACTGTTATTTTTGGGTTAGGGGGGGGGGGAAGTTACTGTAGTTGTTGTAGGTATAAGTTATGGGGTTTTAAAGCATTTTTTGGTGATTATGATGATTATTACAGAGTATGAAATCAAATAAGTCAAAATTGAGGGTATTTTCTAAGCTTGAAGTAGCATAACTTTTTACAGAGTAAACATAATAACTTGAGTTTTTAGTAATTTATAGTCAAGATATTGCTCTACAATGTTGTAAAAACAAATGTGTCAATATTTATGACATAACGCCTCAGGCATTAATTTAAAACTTATGGTATCACTCCATTTTTCCGACTTTTACAAAAAACGATAGGAAAAAATGTTTACTGCGTGATTATAGTAAAAAAATGTTTACTATGTGATTACAGTAAAATAACCTTTAGAACAGAAACACTTTTTCATTATTTATGACTTTGGAAAAGAGTTTGGTGATTAGTTAAACATTGCCTGTTGACTGAAGTCGCGCCTTCTTGGGAGCGAGACCTTAGAGTCCGTTTTTATTGCATTAAAAGTAATCCCAAGATATATTTGTAGAGCGATTCGTTTGAAGGTCAACATTATATGTATAGGTAAACTTTTCCTTTTATTGAAAATTTAATTGCAAGGGACCTTAACCACGGTTTTTATTTATTTTGGGAGAGGGGAGGGTTAATTGAAGCAATTGTTTTTGGGGAAGAGAAAGGCTTTTTTTTAATTTTATTGCAGTAAAAGGTCAGGAAATCGGTGTAAAGTATGATGGGTTATAAATTTTAATTTTTATTTAAAATTTTGTTGATTTTTGCAAGAGTTACTTTTATAGGGAGCTTATGAACAAACAGTTGAGAATAGGTGAGGCTAAAAATAAAATTAAGTTTCTAATATGTTGTTCAAATAATTCTGTGCTCTTTTTTTTACATTTTTCGTGGTCTTTTTGAATATGTTATAGTACTTTACATTAACATACTTTTATTTCTTGTTCAAAAAATTCTGAGCTACTAACCCTTAAAATTTGCTTTGCAATATGGCTCACAATTATTTGAACAACCTATTATAACAAAATTCTTAATTTTTAGTACTCTAATTTAACAAAAAAGATATAATTCTCCGCCAAACAGCACTTTATCGCACACTTTTACCATAATATTATCAATTTTTGTCACCACAACAACCCCAAATATGATATGGTACGTTGAAGACGTTCGTGTCGGCACTCTATATTAACCGAGTTAAATAGCCTCCGGGAATAATCGAATTCGGGGCGATTCAGATGTTTATGGCCGAAGGCGAAACGGGCCGAAACATTGCCCAAAAGTCGAAAAAGCCGGCTGCCTTTCCCTATTTTTGGGGTGCGGATAGGAAGTGCCCGGAGGGGATATTGCAGGATTTGTGGGTCAAAACTTTGGGGCTGTGTTTGGGGGAGGAGGTGTTACACTGTAAAGGCTATTATTGGGTTTTGGGTGTGGAATGGGGGTTCTTATATTATGTTATAGTTAAAAATGGCATTTTCTTAAGTTTTATGACGTTTTTCGTCAATTTTTCGGCATTTTCTTTATGAAAAAAAAGATAGAATAGCTGTCTTTAGTAGTTTTTACTTTTACTTTTATATAATCTAGCCAATTTTTGTAAAATTAAGCCTAAAACATGCCCTTTTTTATACTTGTTAGGCCTAAAACAAAACTTATAATCAAAAATAGCCAATCGCTGCCATTTTTAGTTAAAATAGTCTGCTTCCTGTACTTTTGGAACGCCAAGTCTTGTGACTTTTGGTTTTCGTTCGACTGAGACCAGTTCAAGAACATCTGCATGCTAATTTAATGGTTACAGATGCGCTCTCAAGCTTTTCGTGGGATATTGTAGTAGACGTTTGTTTACTTTACAAGGATTGATTAGGGGGGGTGGGTGATTTACAGTCGACATAAGCTATGGTAATGCAAGGTGAGGTAACGATAGCCTGAAGGTAAAGCGAAGGGTAGGGTAGAGTAGGGTAGGGTAGGGTAGGGTTATGTACACTTTTCAACCTTACTGTCTTTACTAATAGCTTAAAATTACTATCATCTTAATACTATACTTTCTTTCAGCAATAACAACAACAATAACTATAACGTTGTTTATAGGTATACCTTCCTCTAGGCATGACACCTTGTTTGTCACAACAATTAGCGTGTCGTCGTGATTGATATCAGTTGTTTATGTCCGTGATTGATTTTCGTATCTTTTCGGCCATAAAGCTGGTCATTTTGTCCATTTTTCCGGCTTTCAAACAGGTTTTTTGAACGTTTTTTTGTGTTTGCCTCAAGGTTTTTTATACTTTTTCAGGTTTTTTGGCACAAACTTTTATGAAAATTGTCTTGCAGACTTTAACTAGCTATTCTATATATTTTTAGACTAAATTGTTACCTAAAAAAGTATATAATTTATAAAAAAAGGCTTGTAAACCTAAAACAGTTATTATCAACTTTTTTCGAATGTTTTTTTTTCATTTCAAAGGACAAAGGCGCCAGAAACAAAGCAATAATCGATATCAGAGCATTAGGCCCTCGAGGGAATCGAGATTTTTCAAGTGATAAAACTCTTGTTTTGCTTCCTTTTTACTCTTTAAAAGTGCAAAAAAGTAACGTCTAAAAGTTCAGGTAATTTGTAACGTTTTAGAGGGTTTTTAATAGTAGCGGTGATTTTAAAAGGGAAAGGAAGTTGTTTTAAGACTAAAAGGGAAAGGACGCTGGGTGGAGGTTATTTTTAACTTTTTTAAACTTTAAAATTTAATTTTTTCAAAGCTAAAAAGTTTTTTGAAATTTAATTTAAAAAAAAAATAGCTTATTATAGCAATTTTTACCTTTAGTGTCATATTTTTTTAAATTTGTTACAGTAACCTTTGAAATTTTCATTTTTACTGCCTACAAACACAAGCTTCAGACACCTTTCATCATATAACATGCCCCCCTGCAAATCAATCTCAAAATCTTAACAAAAAATAAAATTACTGTATAAACAAACTTGTCATAGTAATATGAAAACGTTTCCAACGAGTAATTAACATCACATGGCCCGTACTTTTGATGTTTATTACTTTGCCTCGGGGAAAATACATTTTTGAAACGAGAAATTCTTAATCCTCCTCCTCGTCTTCGGCCGGCTATTTTAATTCTTATCACATTTTGAATACAAATGTATCCGTACTCATAATTTATGTATATCGTTCATTTACATTACTCTTTTTGTATTTACATTAGTTTGAATATATGTGGACAGTTGAGCTTTGGCCGTGGTGAAGATACTTTGGGTCATGGTAATCCTTGCCAAAAGGTATATTAGGGTAGGGGGAGAGTAGGGTGAAAGTACTGTGAATATAGAGGTAGAGAATAGTCAGGTAGCAAGGCAAGGCAAGGCACATTAATGTATGGTGTTACTTATATCCGTTGCCTTTATTATAGTAACTACAAGTTTCATTATCTAAATTGTACCTACTACAAAATAAAGCAAATATATTATAGTTTGTTAACTGTAAGCTTATATAAAATTTCAAAATTTAAAAAATAGTATAGTAGTAATATATACATTCTCCTTATGCCTTCAAAACGCTCTGCACATCTCCCTACAAAGTAAAATAACATTTATGCCCTGGTCACAAGGTAAAACAATGTTCGAATGCATACGTTCGCCTGTTCCATTCATTCTTTTGTTTTGAGCCGCGCTTTTTATTCATGAAGCCTTAAAAACATCTGTGTCCATTCTCGAAAGGCCTTTCGGTTTGACAAGTTTATTGGTATGTTCTTTTACATCGCAGTAAGGGTATTAGGAACATGTTTGGGTGTGGACTTTTAAGGTTTAAATCGGGTTGAAATTCCTGTATTAGGTTGTTCAATTAATTCTGCGCCCTGTCACAAAGTAAAATTTCTGTGTTAGGGGACACAGAATTATTCGAACAACTTAATATTTACTGCAGCATAAAAAAATTCTACTTTAGTACTGTTGAGCACTATATGTTTTTTACAGTACAGTATAAGACTATAAAAAGTTTTATGCATTACAGTATAGCTCTACAAGTCTTTTACGGTACAATATAACACTAAGAATTCCCTCCAGTACAGTACAGCACTATAATTACTCTACAGTACAATTTAGCACTATAAAAAGATTTTAAACCCCAAAATCATAATTCTGAAGTCGTAGCTGGCAGTTACTAGTACGTGAGATGGTTAATTAGCGTAAGAGCTATTATTAGACAGTTTCTTTACTCTAATTTGATTACTCAGTAAATAAACGCTGGAATAATAATGCAAATTTCATTAATATTCAGCGTTCTTGCTAGCTTGGATTCTAAATTTAACTAGGTTTTTGTGAAAAGTAAGATATTGTATTAGATATTTTAATGTTTTGCCTACTACAATATATTCTACTACAAGATATTTTTTCCCTTTTAACTCAATAATAGATTCATGGCCCGTATTTTACTTTAATTTTTCAGAAAAAAATATCATCCACTCCAATCTTTTCCTTCTGTTTTTACCTACCTCTCCCCCAAACCATTTTTTCACCCCTCCGTGTAACCAAAAACCAATTTTATGACATTTCTCATATTACCCTTCATTTCAGCCCAACTTGGGTTCGCCAGCCACGACGTACACTCCTCACTACCACAAACACCACAACCTTATCATAATGTCGTTCTTCCGAAAACATGTCCGAGGACTTTTGAAGCAGACCTTCAACAAGAACGGATCGACCGAATCAGATTCTGCTCATTCAGACGACTTCGAAGAAGACCAACAACAAGACAACAGCAACTCCTCTGACTCTACGTTAATATACGAACGGATAATGAATGGCAGAAACGGTCGAAAGATGGTTTTACCGGAGATTTACTCTGGCAAAACTGGGCTTGACTTACCTGTTATATTCTTGGACAAGTTCGACAGGGCGCTGAGGGCTTCGTATACTGGGCCTGATGGTGGATTAACTCATGTAAGTTACTGGAAAACATTAATGGATTACATATTTTACACAAAATTTAAAACAAAATTAAATTGAAAATATCGACCTTTCCAATATATTGTTTTAGGCTCAAGTCTCAAATATATTGTTATAGGTTCAAATTTCAAATATTGCTTTAGGTTCAACAAGTCAAGCAGAAACCCATAGCCAAGTTAGCCAACCTGGACGACGAACTGAGCCTCTCCAGCTGCTCTGATGAAGAAGATGAAGAGATATTGCTTACAGACTGTCCAATAACAGCGTTCGACTCGTCCAGACTGGCATCGATGAAGGGCGGATCTCTAGAATCTCTAGGATTCTGCTCCGACGATCTGATTCCAGGCTCGTCGATGGATCGGATTCTGTGGGACGAATTCTGTGAGGATCGTGCCTGCGGGAAGAGTTGTTCATTATACGAGAGGAATCCGATTAGTGGCATTCAGGCTGGAACACCTATCGCTGATGTTTTTGGAGTTTTGGCGAGGAGGAACAATGCCATTTTGGCATTGGCTGATGGCGTGAATTGGGGTGAAGGTAAGGTTAAAAACTAGAATAAATAAGTTAGAAAACAGCTGAATGTTTTGAAAAACCTTATTTTTAGGTATTACTTTGTCTTAAAAGCCTTTTTCCTGCTCTAAAACTGTAATTTCAGAGCAAAAGGACATGTTTTACATTTGTTAATGCAGTTTTAGTGCAAAAAGTAACGTTCAAAGACAAAAGAATTGACGTTCATACATAAAAGGGGCTTTATTCTAGAAGTTTAGGCATTTCCAGACAGCTGTCATTCATTTCAAGTAAAACCAATTGAAAATCAAAAAATGTCAAAACGAACTTGTTGGTCTTCTAAAGTTATATAATGCTGAAAGGACAACAAAAAATTACTTTTTTAAACTTTTAGATTAAAACTAGAGAAACACTTGACCAAAAAGTAAGGCAGACTCGACACGCATCAGCTTTTTGTATAGGGGTGAGAAAAGGGCCGGGCCGGGCCCACTTTTAAGGCCCAGGCCCGGGGCCCAACGTTTAGGAACGGCCCGTTTTCAATTTTCTCTCAGGCCGGCCCGGCCCGGTCAGAAAATTTCTAGGCCCGGCCCGGCCCGTTTTAAAAAATTTTAAAAATTTTAAAACTTAAAAAATAAACGGAAATTTGGCTTTGCATTGTTCTTTTAGATCATTTATGTTTCATGGTACCCAATAAAATCAAAAAACATCAACGGGGATTAAAATACAAAATGTTTAAAAATTAAAAAATTTTTTTTTCGGGCCCGGGCCTAGACGGCCCGTTTCTCACCCCTATTTTTGTAGACATGAGAAACGGGGCGGGCCCGGCCCGATCGAAATTTTGCTCAGGCCCGGCCCGATGGCAGGCCCGGGCCGGCCCGGCCCGTTTCTCATGTCTAGCTTTTTGGCGAAATTATTTGCCGTTTCTAGAAAGTTGTAAAAAATTGAAATACAGAAGAATATTACCTAGGATAGTATATTTTTTTGACATTATCTATCTTCTTCATTTTCAGGAGCTCGACTAGCCGCTCGCTGCGCTATTCGTGGAGCATTTGATCACCTAAACCAAGCGATTGAGGATGGTACTCTTCGGACAACGACAGACGTCTTCCATAGTCTTCTTGGAGCCTTCCATTCAGCTCACGCTCTAATTCTACAAGAAGGAGGAGCACTAACAACTCTGTGCGTGGCTCTAGTGGCACCAGTTCGAAACTCTGACAGTTATGTTTTGTGTGTTTGTAACGTCGGAGATTCACTGTGCTTTGTTCACAATGAACATGGTGTTCGTGAGGTCACACTGGCTTCACATGAGGTTGAACATCGTAATATGAGGGATGCTGGTGGTGCACTTGGGCCAGTGGATGGAAGGAATCCACAGCTTCACAATTTAACTTGTAGCATGACTTTTGTTGAAGAAAGTAGGTTGTTTTACATGATTTAGTTATTTAAACGTTTCCATATTGACATTTAAACATCAGAATTGGTCAAAAAGTGTTTTACACCTACCATAACCTCATATTTTAGACGATTTGGTGTTCATAACATCAGATGGAATTAGCGACAACTTTGACCCAGTGGTTGGAAAATTCTGCATAATTAAAAAGACGGAAATCGAGAAAGAGAATGACATGTATGAAATCCCTGAGCTGAAGCCAGTCCATAAAACCAAGTCCAACGGAGTACCAGCAAACAAGAAACGGTGCTTATCAGTACTACCTTCGGTAGACGCGGCAGAACGTCAGGAGTTGATGCTGTTGAGAATGGCTGATGTCATAACTAATGGCATTAACAATTTGAAAGAAGCTTTTGGAGGTATTGAAGAAGTTGAGGTCGAGAACAAGGCTACAGCTTCCAGTTTATGTCACAATCTGGTCGACTTTGCTTTTCATTTATCGTCAGCAAAGAGAAAGACTTTAGAAGATCCTGAATTATATCGCAGTAGGACTCATTCAAAGACGGAAGAGAGGTTGAGGAGGAAGATGATAAGGAATATGATAATGGAAATGCCTGGAAAGCTGGATCATGCATCTGTTGTCGCATACAAAGTTGGCTTCTGGGAACATCAGACGAGGAAACAGAAGGTTCCACATCATGAGGTTAAGGAAGGTAGGGCTTTTTGGTTTTAATGATTATTTTTGGCTTTTCAATCAAAAAAAATATTACTATAGGCGTGAAAAATATCTTTAAACACCTTTATCAATCAAACATATGAACAAATAATTGTCAAGAACAAACTTAATATAAGCTACTTTAAAGTCTTTGTCAAAAAAATATTTAAACCTCAAACTTTCAGCATCAAACCACGCCGCCAGACCAGCCCAGCCGCCTCCACCACCTCCAGAACAGAACTCGACCAATTCTCAAATAAACTGCCTAGTTCGAATTAACAAACCTATAACAAATGTAAACTCAACTAAAGTGATTGTACAGAAGAAACAAACTGCCGAAAGTGAACTCGTCTTGCATCTCGACATACCTCCCGAGCTTCGGAACGAAGACTGCCCGATTCAGAGAACTCGTGGGAAATCACCGTACGAAGAGATTCCAATCGAAAAGGATGATAACAGTCCTAAAATGAGGGATAATCAGGGAGTGGGTTTGGACTTTTGAATTTTGAACATAGATTTTGAATGGTTTATATTTACATTTTAAGTTGGTTTTAAAAAGTTTAAAAAATATTGCAGTACGTTCGATCCTACCCAGTTTTAAACTAATAACACATATTAGAATGATTGATACATCATTATATCGTATTTTACTATTTCAGCGTCGAAAACACGGTCGAGGATCGACGTTGAGGCATACGTTGGGAGTTGATGTCTCGTGGCTGAAGAAGCTTGTCATCAACAAGCACTTTTCTTCCAGTGGTCGAGAAACCGACCGTACTCAGCCATCTGGATCTCAGCATTTCGAGAATGTTGAGCTTGATACTCCAACTGAACCCACGACTCATAAATTGTAAGTTTATATTACAATGTGAAAGAACTGAAAATGTAAAATACATGTTTTATTAGGTTCTTTTGGACTGCTTACTGTGGTTTTTTAAAGCAGTACTGTAACATTGAAAGGTCTTTGTACATAAAATTGAATTCTATAACTAAGGTATAACGGTGGGTTCTTTCAGAGCCCCCCTCCGAAAAACAACTCTCCATCCCACCAACTCTACCCCTCCCCGAAACGCCTTCACCATAGCGTTTCGCAAGGCGTATCCGCCCCCATCTCTCGCCTCCACCCCACCCAAAGCCAAGGAACTTCCAATTTTTCATTAAGAAAATTGAAAAGATTGGTACGTTCGGAACGAAACTCCCGGTTTTCGGCTCAAAACGACACATTCTTGTGAACACTGCCGTTCCATGTACATATTACGTCTTTCGTTGTTTCTCGGGTATCCAAACTTGTTATACTTAATAAACGTTTATTTATGGATGGAAAGGGGGTTTTCCTATATAAAAGTTGGTTAGAAAAATACAATAATGAACTGGTAAGGCTTGTAATAATGTCAAAAAACGGCAAAAGGTACTTAAAATTATAATACAAGGAAAGTGCCCGACCTGTAAATAAATAATCTAAATATAAGACCTTCGGCAAAGTACACTAAATTGCGATTTCCAATCAATCTCGAGAAAATCGAGATTAAAAATTGAATTTCCCGCCAAATTGGCATTGTGTTTCAAGTATATAACTTTTTCATTTTTTGACTTTTAATCATTTTTCTTTGATATACTAGTAGAAAACTTTTAAGTGGGCCTACAATTTCAAAATTGTAAGCGTAGGTTGTCGGGAAAGGCAAGAAAAATGCTTGAAACACGATGCCAAACTGACGGGAAACTCAAATATTATATTTAAAATTTAAAACTGAAAAGCGCGAGCTAAACTTTTTTATGTGTACTACTAGTGGTACAATGAATTCATATAAAAATTTGAACTGATTGTAAGCCCGGCAGGTTGGGTACTCTTCTTGTAATTATAGTTACGTTACCTATTTGTACCGGCAAGTACGTTCAAAAATTGAAATAAACTAGTTAGGTATTCACAAAAAGCAGTAAACCGTGCACGTTACTTTACTTAAAAATTTAAAAACTACCTTTAACTTTTTGTTCTTTTGTTCAAACAACAAATATTGACCTTTACAAGGTTGTACTTTAACAATAATTCTCTTCTTTTAAAGGTTGGGCTGAAAAATAGGCAATGTATAATATCTACTATAACATCAAGGTTTAGGTCATTATTTTGAGTTTTTGGTGGCGTTTTCGTACTGAATTTGCTTTAATACTGTATAAGTATAGGCTTTACAAGTATTTTTACCGTTTGTTTTTATTGTGTAGTAGGAAATAGCGAGCTTTTTTTTATCTATATACTGTGCTTTTATACTATCATAATGCTCGCCAGTTCAACATGTCCTACATTTCCAATCTTGCAAACCCCAACGTCTAAAGCACGGAACGTTGTAGCACGGTACAAGTGCCTCTTTTGTTTTTTAATTTGTTTTACGCGAACCTCTTTGTACGCTGGTTTTAATTCGACTAATGTTTTTTGCTGGCCGGCTGCCAATAACATGCTCAACTTTGTTTGAGTGCACTTTTTGGAAGAGTGGCCTTAAGGGCAAATTCTTTGGAATATTTTATTTTCCCATAATTCTTGCCGGCACGCTCTCCGCGCCGGCCGTGCTCTCTGTACTCATCAATTATGTCCATCGGAAGAGTATCATTCACTACGGTTTCCTGTTTGTTCAATAAGTTTATGGTCAAAGGCGTGCTGGAGGGGTTGGGTTGAGTACGTGTGGTTATTTATGACAGTATTAGGTTGAGGTTAGAATGATCTTCTAAGTGTTATTGTCGTTTTGTTACGATAGTTTAAAGTCATAAAGTTTATAGTCTGTTAGGTTAGTCATTAAATTTAAAAATGACTTTAAAAACTATGTTTTATGATTGTTTACGAGCTTTAATCATCAAAGTTCAATAAAAACAAAAGACTAATTAAAAAAATAATTTTTGGATAAGAAACTTAAAGTTTAACACACATCACCACCTTACGTTTTAGTCTTCTTAACCTCATATTAAGCTTGTTTTTTCAAGCTCCACCTACCCCAATGTCCTCAAAATAAGTATTGTTTGTCCACGTGAGAAACGTCGCCTGAAGGCAGGTTTTAAGTAGCCAAGGCAACAAACTTAATGCATAATCGGAAATCCGGGCATTTTATAACTTTTTAATCCGCAAGTTTCTGGATTAGATCCTGTTTTGGCAATTGTTTCAGTTTTTAAGGGTTTTTGTCTTATGTTGTAATTAATTATTTAAAAAACCTCATATCACAACTTATTGATAAAAATAGTATTTCTATGTCATTTTATGTATAAAAATAAGCAAATTATTTAATCTTGTATTATTTATAATAGTTTAAATTTGTAAACGTCTTTAAAATAAATTGGATTGTCTTGCGCACTGATTAGTCGCTGTTTTTCCGTATTTTAAATCGAAAAAAAAACATGTGCTTTTCTTCAGAAATGAGTTGTTTTTATAATTCTTCAAATTATGGATGATCTTTTCAAAATGAAAAACTTTGGGCTTTTTTTTGTTATACTCAATATTCAAGTTGTCCAAAATTGGTTCATATTTGGACAACAAAAAATTTTTAAAATTTGTTGATGAGGATGATGAGTTTCCAGGAGGAGCGATAGGAAAACAAAGTAATACAGTACTCGCTCTATATAAGCAACCCGAAGAGACCGATATTTTGTGTTTACTATGAGGGGTGTTGTCTTTACAGAAAGACTTTTTAGTGCAAATTGAGTTGGCGTGGTCAAATATCTTGTTTACTATAGGGAGAGTTGCTTAAAAGATGGTTCACTATATAGAGATATCACTGTAATATAAGGCATAAGGCATAATTTATGCCACTGTATAAGGCATAAATTTTTTTAATAACTTAATGTTACTCTTCTGAAGAATTTCATAGTTTTCTATTTTTATCCCTTCTTATTTCAATTTCTTTACCCCTCCAAAAACCATTAGTTTAATAAAGTCGGTCTAGAAGTACCATGACGTATTGAATATTATATTCCGACCCAGGTGTATTCAAAATTATTTTTAATTATTTTCAGCTAATTATAAAAACCGCGCAACGTTTTTTGTCTTTTTTGGCACCGCTACAATTAAATCCTTCCTGGCAACATTATTCTATTGTAAACATTGTCTTTATTTACTGATTTCAGTAAAAACTGGGTTTCTACTGCAATATTTACGGTAGCTTAGTAGTTTAAGCCTGCTTCTTCTCAGTTTCTCTGCTAAAGTCGAAACAAAATTTTAACTTAAAAAATTTTTAAAAATGAGGTTTTTTTAGGTTTATTTTTAAAAAATTTTGAGTTATATTGCTCTGACAATAAGAGTTGCCGTTTAGAAATCAAGATTTAAAACATTTGGCAAAATTTCTTTGATTTCGATAAACAAAGGCGGTTTCAGAAACAAAGGCAGCCGGTTTTATTGGACTGTGAACAGTACGGCGACTCAAAAGGTAATTTGGGTAAGACAATTTTTTGGCTTTGAACTCTGGTAGCAAAATATGTTGTTTTAGGCAAAGTTTTCTATATAATCTTTAGATTTTAGCATTTTTTGTTGCTTATGGAGTTTTATGTTAGGTCGTTCACTAAATTCTGCGCTCTTTTTTAATAGTAATGAAAGTTTTTTAATAATTATCATCCACTGAGCTGTTAATAGATAAAAACGTGTTTTAATAACCTTAATAACCTTACCCAACTTAAGCTCTCAATAAACTTGTGTTTTGTTATGTTTTGGCGCAATAAACATAGCCTGCACATATTATGTTTAGAACATAATATGCATATGTTCTTTGGCCTTAATCGGTGCATAAAGTCTCGGCCATTCAAAGCCGATTTAACGACGTCCGACTGACTGTCAGCCGGCCGTTCCAACGCCTTTTACATGAAGATGTATGGCCAAGATGAAGGTTCGATATCGTTTTTGATGCCAAGATGTATGTCGGGTATCTATTTCGATTGCTAAGATGTCCTTTTTTGATGCCAAGATGTATAATATGCCCGGTATCTTTTTTACCGCCTAGTATATCCATCGTCACATACATCTTGCCAACCGTAATGTCAAGACGCACGGTCATCCATCAGAATGGGCCGAAATTATTAATTTGGCCGTTCGTTTCTTTGTGTTCGGCGGCATCCTGAAGACCAGCGACCGGACATACGGCTCGATTGTCTTCGTATGTTTGGTCAGTCACCTTTTGGCGGACCCTATAATTACTGAGGAGGGGGGTTCGGGGACCCGCCCACCGCGCCCATGTTTCCATGCACATTAATTATGCGTAATAATTACTATGACATTGTTGACATTCGAGACCAAAAGAATTGGAAGATGAGATTCCGCACAACATCTGTTATCGTACATGGCTTTGTGTTATCGTATTAGACTATGGGGCCGTGGTATTATCGTGTTAGGCTTTTTGTTTAGTGTTTTAGTGGCTTATGTTGTCTTTGTTTTATGGTGTTTGATTTAGATTCTTTTGAGTATGGTGCTATTTTTTACGGTACTTGCAGTACGATACTATTTTACACAGTACTTGTTGTTTATGGTACTGTCTTCAACAGTTCTTATTGAGTATGCTACTATTTTTCACAGTACTTGTTGAGTATGATATTATTTTACACAAAACTTGAAGTAATACTGCTTTACACAGTATATCACTTCAGTATTGTACATTCATTTAGTTTTTCTATAGTTTACACTGTATCCCATTCGATTATGATTTCTTCGTACATTGCTTTTTGTATATTTGTACACGCTTATGCCTCTTATGGCCATTGTGTTCGCGGCCATTGTCCCAGAAGTTGCTGCCAACTTCAATTAGACATACGGTTCTAAAAGGAAGGGGTCGATTATTCTTATCTCACTAAAGTACACTCTGTTTCTGATGTTTCTATTCTTGGCACATCGTATTATTTTGGCACTTTGCGAGTTTTACACTTTTTATACAAGTTTTTTAGTGTTTTTATACTTTTTAGGCTTACAGGCGAATTTTTGAAAATTTTCAATGTGACAAAAAATTATTTTCTACAAATGACTTTGTGCTGGTCAAAAAGATTATAGAATTTGGTTTAAATTTTTTGGTTTAAAAATTAGTTTTTATGTAGATTAGGCTTAAAAACCAATTTATAGTAGTCGTAGGCTTAAAAATCATTTTATATTTACTTTAGGATGAAAAATCATTTTTTCCTTTTTAGGCTTATCGTATTCTTATGCTTGTTCTACTCTAAAAATTGTGGTAGGTTTTCTTAGCTTTCTGAACTTGAGCCTTACTCTATGTTTAGATTAACGTTATCTCAACCATAACTTAACTTTTCTTAACACTAGAAATGTTTGGGTTAAGCCTTTACCTACTTTGCTTTGCCTAGGGGTGCAAACCGGGCTTTACTGATTGTGAGAAAAAATGAAAAAGGGCTGGTCCTACCAGTAGGTCCCCGGACCTGAACTCGTTTCTGACCTCAAAGCCTGCCTTTTTCCTAACTTTACTCAAAACCTAACATACCTTACTATAGCTCTTTTTTGTCAAACGCTACTCGTAAAACGTTTTTTACATAAAATTCATATCCACTCTACCATGCCCGTATCTTTATAAAGCAATTACGGCTCTGACACATCCATAATATTAGTTTGGCACACGACACTTCCGAAATAATTATAAAAGTTTCTTCGTCGCCTACCCTATCATTACCACCGCCTTCGAGTACATTTGGAATCATTGTTGCGTTTATAATTATTTCCCTTTAAACAAGATACGATGACAGCTTATTTTGATGAGTTTGACATGATATCCTGTGAACTGTGAAGCTGAAGGCTGATATCAGATGGTTAGGGGGTGTTTTACCTTTGTATTCGGAATTGTTTTAGAGGGATTTGTTGACTGTATAAGGTATATTTGAAGTTTTTTATAATAAAAGAACCTAGTTTTTTGGCTAAAATTATGCACAATTTAGTACGACATATCGCGAAAATTATTTTTTTAGAAGTTTAGGTAGCTTTGCGGTCAAAAAGTTCGAAAAACGGTATTTTATAAAAGATCAGATACTTCCATTCAACTTTTTTGGTCATTTTTTTACCTTACAGTGGTTTCTCTATATAGTGAACCATCTGTATAAGCAGCTCCACTTATAGTAAGCAAGAAATGTGGCTCAGCCAATTGAATTTGAAGTAAAAATCACTTTGTAAAGACAAAACTCTACATAGTGAACACAAAATGTCGGCCCTTCGGATTGATTATACATATAGAACTCTTGTATAGCAAACAAATTTTAAAGCCCCGAGGATTTGTGATACAGGAGTTCCACTGAATTAAAAAAAGGCTTTCTAATTTTTTCCCTCTCCCCTTGTTCATAGAAATCAGCCCTTTCTTCCTCCCCTTCCACCTTGCCCTTCTAGATTTCCACACAACTTTGTTTATATTATCATTGACTTAAATCTACCCCAAAGTCTCCCACTTCTTATAAAAATTTGCCCTGCCTTCACTCCTTCTCCCTTGCTCTTCTGGACTTACAAACTCATTTTAATATATCATTATCTTATCATTGACCTAAAATCTACCCCAAACCCCGAAACCGTTCCTCTCTCCACTCCTCCCAAATCTTGTTGTTTTGTCACGAAAATTTGCTTAATCCGCCCCAATATAACGTTCAAGTTTACCGCACTTCAATATCAGAATACCAGCCCTTAATCCGTGCGCGATTGTTTTTTCCAAGAGATTTTGCGCCTTTTCAGGTCATTTCGACCACCGCCGGTTGTACATCACATTACAATTAATTGGCTTCGATATTCGAGGAAAGGAGTTGAATTAGATCTCAGCCCTCAATTATATTACCCACAACGATGACAGCAGCGTTACGGAACTGGCTGTTCTGGCTACCGTTCCTCGCAGCCGGCGTGGTGGCCAGGGAGTGTTTGAGCACGACGCCTTTGTAAGTCGGGGCAGAGTTATATGGTTTTTTTTGCTTTGGGTGGATGTTTAATTAATATTTTTATACTTGGGGTAGATTTTTAGTTTTTAAGCTTTCTGTGACAAGCAAGAGTAATTTAGGTAACAAAAATTATGATTCGACTAATTTTACTAATTAAAAATATCAAAATTGTCATTGTCATCATATAACAACAAAATAATATCTGCCATTTTTATTTGGTCTTACCCACAAAACCCCACATAAGAATGGCAGATGACCCATTATTTAAATAAATTATAGTCTTACAGTTCCAAACCCCATCAAAAATCCTAAATACTACTGCATTTTATTGCCTTTTACTCCGTAAAAGGTTGTAAACAGCAGTCTTTGCCTTATAATTATAATTTACAATCGCTTTTACAGGACAGTAAGCGGAGAGTGCGGCGAAGAAGAGGTGTCATTTCAAGCTACAGTAAAGAACAATCAGCTGGCCATTAAATTAAAGCCCGGAAATCAGATAGAGAGCAAGTTCAATGATTATACTAGGTATGAAATTGAGTTTTTGTTATGTTAAATGATATACTACTTGAAGTTGTATGTGGGGGACTATGATAAGGTACTTTATGTCGCAGAAACGTACTTTTTTAAAACAATTTTGGAAGATTAGGTTATTCAGTTAATTCTGTGCTCCATTTCAAAGCAAATTTTTGGGGTTATGGAGCACATGATTATTTGAACGACGTAATACATGAGTTTACACACAAATACGTGTATTATGTTAGCTATAAGTTATTGATCACGCCACAACTTGTAAAAATAGGCTTTATGGTCAAAAAGTAGAGAGAACTACCTATACATTACCTTTTTGCGTTAAAAGCGATTTGTAAATTTTTCCAAACCTGTTCGACCACTGTAATGTAAAACGATATTTTTGCCATAAAAAGAAGATCTACTTGGTTGCTCAAATAATTCTGTGCCCCCTAACCCTGAAATTTGCTTTCAGAGGGGGCACAGAACTAACCAATGTATGCCTCTTATAAGACTATGTTTTAGGATCACATTGAATGTCGGTGGCTGTGAAATCGAGGTTGTCCTCGTCCCAGGTCTTTTTGTGATGGCTCAAACTACCTCAGGTAATGCTTTGTCCTATTTTAAGACAAAAAAACTTTTTACTTTTAAAAATACATTACTATTGACAACATTTTAAGCCTAAAATAAATTTAAGCCTAAAACAGCTCAACCTCAACCGAGATTTTTCAGGATTCTCAAGCAAAGCCGACGACTTGCTGGTGATTGTTGAACACACTGGTAACTACAGTTTGTTTTCGCCTTCTGACAGCATTCGACGCTTCTTTAAATGTCCGTCGAAAGAAGTTGAATTCGAAAGCTACGGAAGTCAGAAGTTCGTGCCAGTGACAGTCAAGCTATCCAAGAAGGAACCTACTTTAAAACTCGAAGTTGTAAGTTGTTTACCACTCTTTTAGCGAGCAATTGACGCGATTATTTTGTAGTTTAATCGCTTTTTAAATCGAAAAAACGTTATTTTTTATTTTTAAAGCATTTATTTAAGTGTTTACTAAGCTTTTTGGCATAACTTTTTGGTAAAAAAAAATTTTGCTAATAGATATAACCCTGAATTTACAAATCTATGCTTTATCTAACACTATATTTATTATATTATTTAACGCATAACTTAAAATCTACCATATTATTAACAAACCTAATAAATAACGTAATTAAACCTAAAATATTAACCATTAACGCTTGCAGGTCGATTCGAAACTGTGGACAGTGTCGTCGTCGAACCGGTTAGCAGTAATGTCAATTAGCTTCATCCTAACTTTCATCTCACTTATTATGTAAAAAAGCTCAATAAAGAATATCAAAAAGTAAACAAAAACTATGTAATACCATTATAGTTATTACGTATCTATTATAACTACTACGTATCTTTTGCAATTACTACGTATTTAAAAACAGAAGTAGTAACTATCATCTGTACTATTAGGTTATTCAAAAAGTATTAATCTATACATATAGTAAACTATATAAATAGCATAGTAACTGTAATGCATAATTACTATTAAGAGGCGCATATGGCACTTATAATGGAATTATTACGCCGTTTGATATCGAATATCAATCCTTCCCATTTCGTACGAAAATGTCACTATCAGTGCCTGCAGAGCGAAGACACCAATCCACTCCGAAATGGCTGCTACCACTTCGTTCATATAGTACTGAAAGAGGTGACTTTAAAAAAGTTGCTTTTAAAAAGCTTGCAAATTATTTTTTAAAATCATTTTAGGTAATAATCGTGAATATAGAATATATTTATTTGAATTTAAAGGCTGTTTTATTTGAAATGTCATCAAAATTTCAAGCTTTCCAAAGCCATATCAACTTATGTGCCAAAACAAATCAAACACTCAATTAATGATCCTCCTCACAACTTTCATAATTCGATATGTTAAGCCTAACAAGCATCCGCAATTAAAATGTTGCGACCTCAACGTAATTACTCTCGAGTTTAATGACCGGTTGTACAAACAAGGGTAATCCTCTCCCATGCCGAAATAACCTTACCGGATGTGTATTGGAAACGCGCATTAATCCTTGCATGGGGTAGAGCGGCGGTCGAGGTTTGGAACCATTCGAGTCGCGGAAGTAGACAAAAGGCGCCCAGTAGAAGGTTATGTTGTCTGTAATTGCATATTACCCCTGCCCATTCTCCACTTACAAACCGAAATCGCCGCCAAACTCAACAACACCAGGCAGCCGCGCCACAGAGTCAGCGATTTGGGCGTGAGGCAAGGTCGTCGGATGTAGCACGCTATCGTCCACATCATCGAATAGCAGAGGGCGGCCGTATACGACACAATACCACCCATCCAATGCGCGTACAGGTCGTTTGTCGCCTATAATTGGTGGCGAAAGTTGTTGTTGTAAATTGGTTTATGTATATATTTGTGGCTAAAAATTATCTTTTGCCTCAACATTTGTTACTTAATCATGTGTTACCTCGCTACTTAATCATTCAGATTTCTTCATTTTCATTTTTTATCCAAAAAAATCCCCCTGACTGGACTTCTGAAAAATTCGAAAAGCTGTTCAAATACCTTAATACCCCTTGATTCTTTGTCTTTTATACTCAATATAAGCCCAATTATCTAAAGTATATGAATATAACACCATGGTACAGCACAGTTCAATAACCATTATAAAACATATGTATTTACACATGATTTCTGGCTAGCCATTCTAATAAACACTAATTTTTGCGCGCTTCCAGTGCCATTGTTTCTGTTTTATAGCCTGCTTCATCCATTGTACCCAACTTTATCCTTCACTTCACCCTATTACACCTGCTATGTACATTGTCTACACCACGTAAGCAACTCATGTTTAGGTTATATAACATTAAATGAATACCTGACAAATATTATTCATCTTAATTTAAAGTCATCAGCCAGTACCTATCATATTATTCAAAAAAAAAACAAATAGATAGAGTTACCTGAAAATTAGCGACCATCATGTATCCGATCGCGCTCAGAAGTCCGAGCAGAACCATGATTCTAGTGATTTGTCGCACTTTTTCGTTCATAAGTTCATTGTCGTGTAAGAAAGTTTTGAGCTGAACATGGATGAATATTGTTGTCAGAAAGAAGAAAAAGGCTGACATATTCAACAAGATGCCAAAGATACAACTCTCCGGGCTTAGACTACCACCATCAGTTATAAAGGATACCAATGGATCTTCGTGTCCGTTATACACGGCCATTATATATCTAAACGGCGTGGCTTTGATTGTAAAACATGGAATACAGTACAGTATGAACTCATGATATTAACACGATCTTTTGAAGCTTAAAATAAGCAGCAATTGCTAAAAAATATCCTAAAAATCTACCAAAAATTAGTTAAAACTTCAAAAATTATCAGTATTACCCAGAAACTGCGGCCATAACGCTGAGTATCGCACTGAGAACGGGGAATATTCCTGTCCAAAACACAAACTTGGACTTCATCGTTCGCTCATCGAGATTGTCTTCGTCGAAGTAGCAGATTAGCTTCCACAAAACAAAAAAACACATTGAGAATGAACACCAAAGTAAGAATATGAGACGCCTATTTAGGGCATATAATTTATTTGGAACGGTCTGCCAATTTGCATACCAATCAAGAACAAACACAGAAACTATATACACAGTCTGCTATGGTTAGCAAATTTACTTTTATAGTATTTTTTAACTAAAACTTTTAAATAGGTGTGCTTTATATTATAATTGACTAATATAAAAAAGGTGATGACAATTTTTTGTAATAAACAGTAGAAGACGTACTTCATTGTTACCGAATTGATTTTATATTGATGTACTTTACAGTTTTTTAACAGTTAATAACTAATTATGTTAACAATCAGAAGTTATAAAAGGTCACAAACATGACGCAACTTCTTCAAAACTAAAGAAAACATGTTGGAAAACAAAATTTGTTCTATATAAAACTTTTAAACTACAGAAAACATTCTCAAGATGTTTACTGATAAGAAAACCTTCATTATATCAATGAAAAAATAACTAAAACATTGGCAAGAACATCTAATAACAATAAAATGTATACCATCACCCTTAACTTACCATTTAATTGATGCTTTAAGTCCAAAAATGAAACATTAAAGATATGCTAACATAGAATAAAGTATTTCTAACGTTATAAATTAATCACGGACAGGTAAAAATCAATAAGAACGCTTAAAAACAGGAATTTTTCTTCGAAACTTTTTAAAATTGGCCTAAAAAACAGTTTGGCGCCAAAATTTTGTTCGAATTTTATTTGTTTTTCCTTGATTTTTCGTTTTGTGATAAAGATTCCTCTGTTATGTCTCGTCGCCATAATCTTCCTGAATCTCCAAACGTTTATAACCTTCCGATTGTAAGTTTAATTTTGTCTTTATTGTCTTGTTATTTAGAAACGGCTACGAATCGACGGCGAAGGAAACCAAGATCCAAACGTAAGTTGTTTATATTGTTTTAGGGATGTGTTGGCCATTTTGTATTTTTCAATTGTGCTTGTTTTAATTGGGTTTTAATTTTGAGATTGTTGTTATCTACTTTGGAGTTGCAACTCCAGTTGTATAAGGTAGATTTTAAGACTTTTCCTTGTTTATTATTGTAGTTCGGGCTAAAAAGTGTGGAAGGACAATAAAAGCAAAGATAAGTATCAAAAAATATCTGATTTTTGGACTTCTGCCACCTGTAGTTCTGGCAAATTTAAAGTATTTGGGTTTGAATATCAAATTAGTTTGCATGTTCCTTTAGCATTCATCAGAGGCCGCTAATTCTCTCTTCTCGGCCAGGTTTATGCCCAAAATTATTTTTTCCCATTTCACTTGTACTACAAGTTGTTACGCTGGCCTCAATTGTCTAGTGTAACGACAATGTTCTAATGAGTGACTAACGTGTTTCCTTTCCATGTTCAGGCAAATGGTAAGCTGAGAAGCGTTGTAGTGATTGTTTCGTGAATAAAATGACCTTCACTCCCCTCTAAAAAGCTTTCTCACTCTTGCAAACATTGGACTTCATAGACGCACGTTTTTTGAGTCTTTTGGAATGGAACGTTGAGAGGAACGCTTGTTTTCTTCGTTGAAATTTGTGTATTCATAGTGCTACTTGTTTTGGTTTGGAAAATTGGATTTCAGGCTTTAAATAATGTGTTTATCACTTATTACTTTTGAAATTGTGTTATTTCTTTGTTTTAGGTGACATTGTGTTTTTGTGATGCCATTTCGTCGCATTGATATTGTTATATTAGGTATAACTCTCTTTTCATGGCCGAACTATTTTTATATTAGGTATAACTTTGTTTTCATGGCCAAGCTCTGCATACACAACATGTTTACCATGGACTTTTCATTTTGCTGAGTTTTTTTGACAAGTTCATGACTATTTGTGCTTCGAAAGTAGTGTTCTTTGATCGCTTACATCTTCTACTGTCTTTTTCTGTATACGTAATTTTTAAGTCTGTTTGTGTTTCATTCGTTTGCCACCAACATTTTGGCTACAAAATACAAAAAAAAAGATGATAATATCACATTTTCGATGATATTAGCCCGCGGCAATTTCTATAAAAGTCGCAAATTTTGATTTTATTCGCACTTTTTTGGCCGATCTTTTATGGTTTTGCTCGAGGGATTGGGATATTTGTGGGCTTTTAACATGTTTGTGGTTCTTGCAGAGATGTTATATTGCTGTAGTATTGGAATAGGGGTGTTAATGTGCTGTTTTGATTAAAAACCGTTTGTATTTGGATTTTCTGTTAAAAAAATAATATTTAATGTCTAAAAGCCTAACATGTTGATTTTTAAAGATCTCTTCTGTTGTTTAGATTCAGATATTGTAGTAAACAGCAGTTCCGATTGATAATATTTATTCCCGAATTTTCTCCGCCCTTTTTAGAAATCACAAAAACTGTTGCCTTGCAGGTTTTTATCTTTATTTCAAGGTTTTCGTTTGTCAGTTTAGGTTCTTTTTAGTCGCCTGTTCGTTGAAAGTACTTTTGGGAACGGTGTCCTTTAATTTTTAAGCCTTTTGATGTGGTAGTACCCATGTTTATGGTTGGTTTTATTGTTTTTTAGGTAAACAGATATGTTTGGGTAATATTTTGATGAATGTTGGTGTTTTAATGTTTGTCTTCTTAGTTTTAATGTCAGTTTTACAAATTAATTATTTTAGGTAATTAGAAAGGTAAAAAGATGACCAATCTTTTATATAGGTTGGGCTTCTACGCACTTTTTGACCAAAATAGTATTTTTGTTGTTTTCGTCTTCTGAAGTTTCGAAATTCTTTGCTATCTGCACTGTGCACTAGTTGTTTATTGTTGGACTTTCGTGTTTTATCATCTTTAAAAGTTTGTGTAAATATCCTATTTGTTATACTTCAAGCTTAGTTCTGTTCCATTTTAGGCAGCAAATATGTCCAAGGCATTCATTGGTAAACCAGCCCCAGAATTCACAGCTGAAGCCGTCGTAGATGGTGACTTCAAGACCGTCAGCTTGAAGGACTATAAGGGAAAGTACGTCGTGCTCTTCTTCTACCCATTGGACTTCACTTTTGTCTGTCCAACTGAAATCATCGCCTTCTCTGAAGCCGCCGAACAGTTCCGCAAGTTGGGCGTCGAAATCTTGGCCGCCAGCACCGATTCTAAATTCTCTCACTTGGCTTGGATCAATCAGCCACGTAAGCACGGCGGTCTCGGCGAGATGAAGATCCCAGTCTTGGCCGACACCAACCACCGCATCTCACGCGACTACGGAGTCTTGAAGGAGGATGAAGGAATCGCCTTCCGGTAGGTTTATATTTATTATATTTTAGTGTTAAAATGATTGAAAAATTGTTTTGTGCGGGCAAATTTATTTTTACATGATTATTTTCACGATAATATTGTAGATAACAAAAAATACATTTTTTACAGTGAAAAAAAAATTTTGAATTAGGATTTATAAACAAATTTCTTTTTGTTCTTTATTCTAATTTTTATAATTTCAGTGGGCTCTTCATCATTGACACTAAGGGAATCCTCCGTCAAATCACCATCAATGATCTCCCAGTTGGCCGTTCCGTCGAGGAAACCCTTCGTCTGGTCCAAGCCTTCCAATACACTGACAAGCACGGTGAGGTGTGCCCAGCCGGCTGGCAACCAGGATCCGACACCATCAAGCCCGATGTCAAGAAGTCTGCTGAATACTTCAACAAACACTAATTTTAACTCTCACTCTAAACAATTTATATTTTTGCAAATAGTAAATCTTGTGAATTTTGAATTTGGATATTGTTGTTATTTGGTATATGAGGGTTACTGAATGCTTCTTCATCTGAATCTTAAGTTAGGTCATTGAGAGCAATTATAGGCTTCTTATAGACGATAAAAACCTAACATAGTACATAAGCTCGAGTAGTATGTAGGCATGAGAAATATGCCGGACGGCACCTTTGATTTTTTCAGGCCGGGCCACAATCTGATATCCGATTTTTTCTGCGGGTCAGGCCCACCCCACTTTTCATTTCTAGTGGTATGGTCACGAATCTGTTCGGAAAACTATCACTGTTAAGTAAATAAATAGTGACACTTCGTAGCACAAACCATTGATTGCGTAAAATAAAAAAAGGAAATAAACATTTTTCTAAAGATGGATAAAGTAAACGTGATTCCACGATCGTTTTATTGAACAAAAAAGCGTTTGATAAGTATTCTGTTGTTATTTATTATATTTTCTTGTTGTTTTACTTGCTTTGGTTATATTTTTGGACCTATAACAATTTAATTCATGGAGCTGAAGGTTTAAACGGCAAGTTTGCTTTATATTTGAGAAGGTTACGTAATTTTTTAAGGGTTCTGGTGGCTTGGAATGCTCTTACATTTTATAGATATATTTGATGTTTAATTTTCTATTATAGGGGTCAATCATGGATGATATGGACAGTTTGTTGAAGGAGTTGGAGAACTCTGTTCAAAAGGAAATTCAACAAGAAAAGAATAAGGATCCGGTAGCTAAAGCTTCAACTTACAAGAATTCAATAGAAGATGATACTGAAGAGAAGCTGAGTTTGAAAGAAGTGTTGGAGATGGAGAATGCAAAACGAAAGAATGTAAGTTATTATTTCCTTTATGATTTTACATTTTTAGGTAACGGAAGCTCGGAAAAAGTCTGAGGAGATTGAAAATGCTTTGTCAGACAACGTAGAACCAGCCCTTTTATCTTCTCCGATTGTTAATATTGTTGAGCCAGCAGTTACTATAGTGGAACCTTCTCCAGAAGCGCATGGTGGCCTTCTGAATGTAAATTTCTTTCCTCGAGCTGGATCAACATCTTCGATACGTGAAGAAACAGAATCAGCAGATCCAGATGTAAAATACACGACGTTTGCGAAGATTTTTAATAAAGAAGGACGGCCTTTGAATCCAATTGTACATACTCTCAAAGTGGAAGAAGGATTTAGAAAGGTTGGCTCTAGTGGTTCGATATTGGATGATGGAGAAGATGATGAGGATGAAATGATGAAAGCGTTGGAGTTACTAGATGAGAAAAATGAAGTCTGTGAATCAGGTGATAAAGATAATGTTTACGTCACAAGGGATGAACCTGTTATAGATAAGGAGGATGGATCGGAGAAAGAAACAGTCAAAAACAAATTTGATATATCAACTGATGTTAAGCCAAAGGATGATGAGGCAGAGCATGTTGTATTTTCAGAACCAGATGATGACGATGTTGATGATAGCGCTGCTGTGGATGATGTAGATGGTGAGAAAAGCGTTGCTGAATGTATTGTTGATGTTAATTTGCAGTGTGATGAGAAAGCGAAGAGCATTAGCTCTGTGGAAAAGACTCATTACGTTATTTCTAATTGTGATATTCAACATAATCTCCAAGTGGCTTCTGTTGAAGCTGAAAATGGTGGCATTAAAGATCCGGATGCGCTCGTCAACGTAAATAGTACACGTATTGAGAATACTGGAATAAGGGAAGATAAGGTAGAAAGCATAAAAGAACCTCAAATTGAAGAAACATCGGATTTGGCACACGAGGGTTCACAAGAATGTATTACGATTAAAATTGACGAAAATACATCAGAAGACAAGCCAACACATGTTAATCGAGTACAATCTGATAGTACGAAGTTAAATTCGAAAGAATTGGAAGCGGTCGGTAATATTGACTTAAGTATCATCGCTGCAGCAGAAGATTCAATTTTGACCCCAGAAATGGAAGCAGAATTAGCAGAACTAGAAGAAGAACTGAGGGGTCAAGGGCTACTAGAAGATGAGATTGAAGACTTGAAAGATTTTGCAAAAGAAGAGCTTGTTGTAGAGAATGAGGTTCAAAAGGAGGCTGAACAAGTTGAAAGGGATGTTCAAAATAAGGATAGCAATATGGAAGACCAGGCTGATGTAGTAGAAAGTGACATTAACGGTCACGATCGTAATACTGACATTGTTAAGGACGAATCTGATAATCTTTTGGAACAAGTTAGACAAGTTGTGGACGATGTTGCTGAACAAGTTGTTAAGAACGCACTTGATTTTGTCGGGATTGTGGATGACAAAAGACAAATTGATGAGTTGGACGAAAAAGATGAAACTGTGAGGTCGGAGAAGTCAGACGGGGAGGATTCTAACGTAACGTTGAGAATTGACGACGTGGTTGCAGAGGAGGATAATTCTGAAGATGCTGATGAAGCTGAAGCAAACGGAAATCAAGAAGGTTCTATAAATGAAGCGGTAGATTCTGCAGACGCTCAAAACGATCATTTTGAAGACCAACATGATCAACGAGTTGAATCTTCTGAAAACCGTGATATGATCGATCAGAATGATTCACAAAACGACGATAATCGTCATGTTCAAGCAGTTGAAGACTTGGATCCAGACAATCAGAATTTAACCATGGAAGTTCACGGAGATCTGCCGACTACAGACATGCATATTCTTCCAGAACAAGCACGAACACTATCAGTTATAGCGTCAACTCATACTGTAGGTAATGTTGGTACTGACCTTCGACTAACTGAAAGTGAACTACAATTGGGAAAAGTGAAACCGAACTGGATCAAGGATGACGAATACAAGAAATGCATGCTTTGTTTAGCCAAGTTCACGTTGGTCAATCGGCGACATCATTGTAGATGTTGTGGTAGAGTGCTGTGTTCGGAATGTTGTTCAATCAGGAGGAAGTTGTCTTACATGGAAGAGAACGAGAAGGCACAAAGGGTCTGTCAACCTTGTAATTTAACTTTGGATAGGATTGAGGTCTACGAGAAAATGGCGGAAAATGCACAGTAAGATTACTTTATTTTTTATTATGATTACATTATATATGTATTTAGAGACTGTTGATATAAACCAAAGACTTTAAAGTTACTAATTTTTTTAAAAAAGTACAAAGTTATTACTTAAATATTATGTTTTAGACAAACAGCTCAAGAAGCGATTGAAATCGATGAACCAGCATCATCGACAGCTTCTTCAGAATCCCCTTTGTTAGCTAGACGAAAATCAGTTTTAAAACCAACAAAATCGGAATCAGAAGGCCAGTGTCCATCAGAAAACGGAGGAGATTTTCAACGTAAACGATCAGTAAGATTTCTTGATGGTATTGCGCCTGGGGCTGATAACACGCGACAAGAAGGTGCAGATGGTGCTCAAGCCTCAACAAAGCCCGCTAAACCTAAAGTAAAATTTTTATTTTTTACATTAATGTAATGTCAGCTTATTATTTTTAACTGGGTTTTTATTATTAGGCCGTTTACTTAATTCTGCGCTCTCTGACACAATATACAAAAAATAGTGTATTACTTTATGGCAGAACGTTTCTATATGACTAAAATGTTATATTACCATGACAAAAGAAGAATATTAATTCAAGGGGTCAAAGATTACGAATGTTAACGTTTTATCTTTCAGAGGGTCAGTTCACGAAAGTTGAAGGAATACATGGCTCAAGATGAAGGCAAATTGTTGTTGAGTGATGAATCTTTGTACACTGTGGCAGATTCGTTTACAGGAGAATTATGTAAAATTACTATGGAGAAGGTTGTGGAAAGGTTCACAACGGGTTTTGTGGTTACTTTGGTTGTAAAACGAAATATTTATCTTGTCATCAGTTATAATAACGGTCAGTTTTGATGAGAATATATAGTAGTTGTTACTAGTCATTGCACAAGTTTTTGATGTTGCTAAGGTTAAAGTTAAAAAATATAATACAAGTTTATCACTATTTTTGATTTATATTACTTTAGTGATTTTTTATTTCTTGGCCGATAATTTTTCATATATCTTTCATTTTAGCTACCAACGTTGTGTCAGTACATACATCTGGATTGTCATCATTAGGAGTTGAAGAAGTTTTATTTGCATACGAAACAGACGATGATATACCACAATTTCCTATGAATATTTGCAATGTTTTGGCTAACTTCACATCAGAATGTTTGAGGCCAAGAACAGCACATCTAGACGATATAAATGGAATCAGATTCTGTGGATCTAGAATGGCGAACGTTGTTGAATTGAATGAAGGCGATGGAATTAATGGATTTAAATACATCTTCTGGGCACCGTATATGGATCAGGAGTTAAATGGAATAACAGCACCTAATGTGGCCTTCAGAGTTGGTATCTTGGTGAAGGAAAGTGAATATCCGTTCATTAAAGCCTTGCCAATGAGAGTTTTGACTAGGCTGGGAATGGTCAATGATGGTAAGTTATAAATAGTTTGGTGGGGATTAAAATTTATTTTTAAAATTACTTTTTGTAAAATTAATCAAAATGTAAGCAAACGTTGCTTTAACTCTATTATTTGTTTTTTAGTGTATCCATACCCAATTGTCAACAACCTGAAGAGAGGATTATTGTTCCCGGAATCAGAAGACGGTACTCAGCCGTCATCACCTACAATTTTGAGCATGTTCCACGATTTTCGAGCTTGTAGCTATAGTATGCCCTATATTGCTACCAGTTGTGTCATAGTTGACGAAGGAAATACCAAAGTGTTACTACCAGTATGGGCTAAGGAACAGGTATATTTACATTAAATTTAGTGGTTATTATGTTAAAGTTAGCGATAATTATTTTGTAATGGCTGCTGGCTTTATACGGGCGACTGCGATGCTGCTTTAAAATGATGCTTTTCCAATAATTATTTTTGAAAATAAAATGATTTAATCAATATTGTTTTAGATGAAGTGTGTCCTGAACTCTCAAATGAACTTGATAGCATGGGCGTGTGATATTAGCGAGAGTTGTGATTCCGTACTAACATGTGAATATCTTGGCTCATCGTTCCAAACAAGGATGTTCATGAAACAAACAGACAGAAATTGTATTGGAGTATCCTTTGTTGCATTCTCGACCGGTTACAAAGGATTGGACAATGAATTCACTCAAACTTTGGTTGAAGATGGTGTTGTGATAAGGTTCACTGGTGATACATTGGAAATGGTGCAGAAGAAGCTTCAGAATGGAGATGACTTTGAATTGGAATCTAATGGGATCAAGTTGAAGGTAGAATGGGTGGAGAATGCTCTTTTGAACACTATGGGACCTATTAGGTCACCTATCGATGGGTTGGACTTGAGGGTAGGTGTTGTTATATTATTATGGAAAGGGTTAATTATATTTGATGATTTTAAAAGCATATTTCATTTTTTCACTTTTTAAAAAAAAATTTTAATACTTCTTTAAAAACCTCATTTTAGGGCTACATCCAATACGGTCTAACCATGGAAAGAGCATTACATTCAAATAACGTTTTCCAAAATTCTCGAAGCTATGCTCTCAGATTGGGTACTGTCATTCGGTTTGTGACCAAAAAACTCGAACCTCAACTTCAATCTCATTTCTTTGATGCCTGCGAACAACTAACGATGTGGTTGAGGTCAACACTTGAGGATTACGTGCCATTGTTAATTGGAATGGAGATGAAAATGATCGCCATCAGGTTGTACGCTTCTCAAGACAACGTCGGATTCGAACTAGCTGATTGGACTGGACTAGAAGAAGCGCATTCCGAGTACATTGGCATTCTATCTGAGAAGGTGAGCAACATTATGTTATTATAAGATGACATGTTTTAGATTTAAGTTGTTTGTTTTTAAGTTAATTTTGATATTGTTTTACAATTTGTAGTGTAGTATAGATGGTTTTAATCGAAAAATGTTGTAGGTACTCCCAATCCTGTACCAAATCCTAGCCAGTAACACTGGCGACTTTAATGTTGAACTTCACCTACCCATAATCTCGGTTCGGCCGTTACCCAAAGAAGACGAACTTACTGAGTAACATGTATTATCTTCATGTATTAAAAATATCTGTATTTTGAACATCCGGGCTTACTAATTACTTATCTGTGATTATGATAACTATTGTATTAATATATTTTACCAATTTTTACTGCTCAAAGTAATAAATTATTTTGTTGATCAAGCTTTGGATGTGATTATGAAAGAATAGTATGATAATAACATTAAAACTTGAAAAATATACTTTTTAGCTTTTAAATTGGCATAATTTTTGAAAATCTTAAAGGTTTTAGAGTGTGCAAACCGTTTTAAATCTTTTTGCGGCCAGTTTCTTTGTTTATGTTATGTATTCCTTGGTTTATAAGACTCAAATTTTCCTCTGTCTTTCGTTTATAAGACTGATCTTTCCCTCCATTTCATTCCCTGCTCCATTTAATATGTCATAATTATCATATGACATGTTCCCCTCCCTACCAATTTGTGATGAACACATTTTTCGACACTTGGCCCTTTTTATGACCATCCTTAATTTGTTAGTCATAAATCAACAGCTTTATGCGGTCAATGATCTGATTCCGCCGATTTGTGACTTTGCCTGGTTTATAAGAAACCGCAGCTGGCGCCTTTCGCCGATCCAGAAACAATCGTGCCTCGAGTTGATCCGCAAAGACAAACACTTGCTTATATTGCATATTATTTCGCTATTTATCGGCCATTCGTTTCGCCTCCAGGCATTTCCTGCCATTTAATATAGTCGCATTTTGCGCTCCATATAATTTGCGGCCCAACGACCGTTATTAATTTGCATGACCGTGTTTGTCTTGTAAATCCCTACAACTTCCGGTGGCTAAATTAACTGTTTATTGGCCGACTCAAGATTTGTTAAAATTTGAGTTATTTTTTATCTTTGAAGGCATCAGAAGCTATTTTTTGTTTTGAATATTGGATCTCTACACCAGTTGGCACTTATTGCTAATGAACGACACTAAAAATAAAATCCCTCCACTGTTCTAGATTTAAAGCCTAAAAATAAGTAGTTAAAACTAATTTAAACAGTTTTTCTAATGGAGTTATGGCATGAAAAAGCTCAAGATTTATATTGTAATTTTACTCTTTGTGGCGCTTTACTTATGGTACTTGAACAAACAGAAGCTCGAAGATACCTCGACTACTGAAACTTCTACAAAACGACTGCCTCAAGCCCTAATTATTGGTGCTCGAAAAGGTGGTACTCGTGCTCTAATCAACTCCTTAGCTCTACATTCTAAAATTAAGGTAGCCAAAAGAGAAGTGCACTATTTTGATGATGAAAACCTGTACCAAAATGGACTGGAATGGTACCGAAATCAAATGCCAAAAAGTGCTATTGATCAGGTATGCTCTTAGAGGTTTTTTTAAGACAATTTGTTGTATTATATTATAGATCACGATAGAAAAGACCCCTGCCTACTTTCCTTCGCCAAAAGTGCCAAAACGGGTATTCGAGGTGGACCCTAACATCAAAATAATACTGATCATCAGGAATCCCGTTGACAGAACTATCAGCGACTTTTCTCAGGTAAAATACAATTCCATGTTTATCAAGATAAGATCAAAAACATACCAAAGTTAAACCTTTTTTAATATCAGAGTCATATAAATATAAGTTGAGACTCAAAATGTTCTAATAATATAAAAAATATCACATTTAGGTGCAAGCTACGCGTACTTCTAAAAATCTACCTTTACTCGACTTCAAAAGCTCAGTATTTTTACCAAACTCAACTGATCTTAACTTAAAATTTAAACCGGTATTCAACTCTCTTTACGATCTTCATCTACAAAACTGGTTAGAATACTTTGGACTAGACCAAATACTTATTGTTGATGGCGACAAGTTCAAACAAGACCCTTTAAGTGAAGTAAGTTGAGTTTAATTGTAATATCAGGCCGTAGGGCATAAAAAGACAATATTAAACACGCCGTATTACGAATCTACTAAATACCATTTGAGAGTAATATGTTAAGCTTAACAACTAGAGCTAGATTAATATAACATTCATAAATAATACTATGGTAAAATACTTTCATATTCATAATAAAAATCAATATAACATCGCTTATATTCATGATAAAAAAAATATAACGTCACCCTCACTTCAGATTCGAAACGTGGAACGGTTTCTGAAACTAGAACCTGAAATCACTTCTGCCAACATCAGATTCAACGAGAAGAAGGGTTTCTACTGTTTCGTGGATAATAAACAACATGAAAAATGTTTGGGTGAAAACAAAGGACGACCTCAGGTGTTCGTATCTCAACGGGTTAGACGATTACTTTCAAACAACTTTAATCAGTACAACGAAAAGTTCTTTCAACTTATTAATCAGAGATTTTATTGGAAAAAGTGAATATAATAAATCTATTTATAACTAGTCTGGTTTATATTCACACTTGGTGCTACCAGAATCACGGCGAGCCCAAAGCTAGAAATAAATGGTCTTTTCGATTTTTGCGCAGGCTGCAGAAACCATGTCAAGTTTCTCATTTCGCGTCAAGTTTAATTCTTAATTTTTATTTTTTCTATTGAAAATTATCCAAGTTTGTAGCATTTCTGATGTTTTCTTCAACTTTTTGAATAATACTGTCTTATAATAACGCGGTAAACGTAAATACAAGTTAAAATTTAACTAAAGTTGTTTTACTCAATTATATTAACATTAATTTAAAGCTGTAGGTTATTGTTCAGACGTTAAGATGTTACAATATTAATATGGTTGTAAAACATAATTATATAAGTAAATAATTTACATATTAAACATAACACTTCAAAATTATTTTACTATGTTTTGTGCAATTTTTAGTTAATTACAAAATTCACGTTATACTTTGAATTATGTTACATTTACATAGGGCGAATAGGTTCTCCTAACAAATAGTATTCTATATAAAAATCTTACACTTTCCTCTACCCCTAACTCCTATCTTAATCTATTCTACTTTACCTCTCCTTACCTCACCCTACTCTAACTTACCTTACCTTCTAGCCCACCTTTCTATATGTCTATTTTATACTAGCTTATCACTTGGCCTAACTTAACCTTTCTTACTTTAATTCATCAAACTCAAATCTCTTTTTGTATGCCCCCCCCCCCTCCCTCCCCCATCAGTGTTTCCGTCCAGACCGAACCTACGAAATTACTGAATCGGACCTGAAAAAAATGGCGACCGGATTTCATGGATTTACAGTATGCTAAAGTATGAATAGAGTAGGGGTATAGCTAAAGTAGAGTTAAATGTAGGGTAGTAATCTGAAGATACGTTAGTGTGAAACTATAGTACAGTTGGAATTCAGGGGCAGGAGCAGGTGCAGGGCCAGGGGTGAAAAAATAATGGAGTTCAGCGAGATTTAAATTGGCCAAACGTATATAGCACATATAACTGTTTTCATCACCTTCGTTTGCAAAGTTAAATTCATGTTGTTTGCGGTGTATGCAGGCTTAGACGTAGGGCAGAGCAGACAACCATACCATACCCTACAATACGTTACCATATTATAAAATACCATACCCTAACATACTATACCTGGCTATATTATACCATTTACCTTGCTTTATTTACCTACTCTACCCTACCTATGGGTAGTACACAGTAGCGTTGTATAAGACTGGATAAGGTAAGATATGATACAGTATGGTGTGGTACAATATGTTATAGCCCGGCCCGTTTCAATTTTAGATCAAGGCCGCCTGGCCTAGATGGCCCGTTTCTCACCCCTAAGTAGGGTGAGTTTGGGTTGGGTTAAAATAGATGGGGCTGAAATCGGGTAGAGCTAAAAGGGTCCGGGGTGAGGCCGAGTAGAGCTAAAATGTTCAGGAGTGAAGTGAGGTAAGTAACATTACTTATTAGACACTAAACAATTTAAAATTAATTTTTTTTCAAAAAATATAAAAAAACATTTTTACCGGGCATTTACAAGGCATTACCGGGCGAGGCAAGCCCTGCCCAATTACAATCATGTGCCCTGCCCGGCCCTGTAACTGATCGTGAAAATGGGCCCTCGCCCGGCCCCAGGGCCGTGTCGAGCACAGGGGGCAACGCTCTACGTCCAAGCCTGGGTGTATAATGTGTTTTCAAAGCTTAGGGTTAAACTAATACATTAAAAATTACAAAAATAAAGGTAAAGCAGTTTAGAATAGCATAAGATGTTTATATAAACAGTTATTTACTTATCGGTAAGAATTATTTATGTTAACGTATCTTGGCAGCGCTCTTTAATAAGTCCTCGAGGCTTAGCTTAAACAACATACTCTAACTGGACCGCAAACTCATCATTAATAACCAAAAAATGGTTTTAATATGCATACTACAATTTAACTAACATTTCCTGGTTAAATAGTTATGTTTTAGCAAGAAGTTATGTTAAGGTAGTGTTAATTTGTCTTAAAAAAGTTTTCGAAAAGCATCTAGAAAAATATGTATTCAAAACAGCTAAAAACTTTCGAAAATAACCAAATAGCAATTATAATGAATGTGACAATGTTTTATCGACAACTTCTTACCTATTTAACAACTTATGTAGCAATATTTGGTTTAGGTACTGGTGACTAAAACAAGGTATTCAAACTGTATCTCAAAAAGTATACCATTTTTGAAGCTAGAACTTTCCAAAAACAAAGAAAACGTAATTTAGGTGTGTTTAACGTTTTTACTTTACTATTTATTTGTTTGACTTTGAAGTTATGTGGCCAAAACATGTTATTGTAGTGTTAATATGCCTAAAAAAAGTTTTCAAATCGTAGCTCAAAAAGTAGGTAAGTTTTTCAGCTGAAACTTCTTTAAATTAAAGTATACTTTGTTTTGATGAGTTTAACGTCTTAACTTTACCAATTATTTCTTTAAAATTAAAGTTATATACTTTTAAGTTAGTTTTGTTGATTTGCACTAGTTTTATTCGAGAGACCATAACTTTTTTAAAAATGCGTTTAAATAAAAAAAATTTAACACAGAGTAAAGTAGAATAACTACTTAATCTTTTAATTTTGTTTTGTTGATAATACCTCTTATCGTTTAACAGTTATATCGCTGTAAACCTCAAAGCGACTTGAAAGCGTGCTTTTTTTCGACCTGCGCCCGCGATTCCACTTTCATCTAGAAAATAAATAAAAGTGGGCTCACCGTGTAGAATCACAAAAAAACAGCCTAAAAATTATTTTGAAGTTATTTACTTGCGCGCTTTTCGTCCGTTTGGCATTTCGTTGCAAGTAAAATATTTATTTTTTGGAATTTTTCGCAAATTCGGAGATAAAAGCTTTATAACATCGTGAAAAGGTGTGTAGATGGCACGGAGATTAGTTAGAAAAGCTGGAAAAGTTGTGGGATTGATATGTCTTCCAATCGCGTTTCTGGACGGCATTGGCCAGCCGGCTTTGGTTCAAGGAACTTCGATGGAGGTGAGTTTGTTTTAGATTTTTGGGTGTTAATATCTTTTTTATTCTTAACATTAAGTGTATTATGAGTTGATTCATATTTGGATCAACTCATAATACACTTAATCGAGATTTTACTTGTTAAATATGTTTATTTGACTTAAGTTTTCGTAATTTAGCCAACGTTAAAAGGTAACAGTTCGAAATGGTACAACAACGACATTGTGTGGTTGAGGAAACAGTTTATACGACCTCACGAAGGAGACATTTTTGTTTTTATGTGAGTTTGGTTATTTTTATGCTTACTTTGATCTTTAGATCGCCAAGGAATGAAAGGGAAAGATTAATAAAGCGAGTAGTTGCTGAACCTGGAGAACGTGTGCATTGGAAGGATTCAACCAGGTAAATCTTTTTGTTAATTGTTGTCATGTTAATTTTGATTTATATTCTGTTGATTTGGGTTATATTCAGTTTTAATTTTTATAATAATTGATTGAGGAAAAACTCAACAAATCATACTTAACATAGTTTTAGGTTCACAGTTCCTTTGCATCACTATTGGGTCAAAGCTGACAACCCAAAATGTGCTATAGATTCTACTTATTTTGGTGCAGTGAATATTGGTCTGATGGAAGGCAAAGCGACACATGTTATATGGCCGCCAAGTCGGTGGAGGAAGCTATAGTTGTAGATGTTTAGGTTAATAAATTTATTTACTTTACTTGAGGATGTTGTTTTATGTTGTTGGAACGATTGATATTGTGATTGTATTTGTTTACACACTTTTATTTTGAAGCATGTAATTTTTATATAGTGTCGTAAATTGAATTTTTCACATTGTTTCATCTGATATTGTTTAAATCTTTAGTATTTGTAATGCTTTAGTGTTAATCATGTGTTTTAAGAATGGACAGCTTGCTGGGATTTCTTGGGCATAACAACAGTGGTGGCACCCCACAGTAAGTTCATCGGCTACTTTTATTATGTGTTATCATACTTATGTTGAACTGAGAGCAAACAGTAGTCAGTTTTTATCAGTGTTTGCATGGGCTCCGGAGCTAAAATTCGAAAATGGTCGGAGCCGGAGCTTGATTTTTTTTGGCACGGCCTCGGCTCCGCACATTTTTTTTTCTTTTTTATTTTTTTTGCTGGGAGAAGAGAAGGGCGGGGCGGGGCTTGCGCCTTTCTCCCGAAAAGCGCTTTTTCTTCTCCTTTTCAAAAAGAAGGGCGGAGCTTACGGGTGCTTTTTCGGGGAAAAAGAGGACAAAAAACTTTTTTTTTGCGATTTGTTGTGATATATTTCCCAAAAAGAAGAGAAACGAAAGAAAAGGAGAGCGTGATCATATAGCGGAATGGATAAAGCGTTATCCATCGGTGTTGCACACGCAGGTTCGAACCTCGCTGCGTGCAAACGCTTATTGCTTTTTGTTTGATTAAAAAAATGCTCTAAAAACACCACTAATAATATACTAAAACTTAATTACGGCGCGACTTTAGGCAGACCAGGCCAGGTTGAAGAAAAATTACAAACTTTTAGCTAGATTTACATTCAATCCTTTTACTTTAGCTACTAGATTCAGCCAGCATGAACAATTCTTTAGCAGATTGCAAGCAGTAGCTCTGTCGAAGTTTTGAAAATCTAAACGTGTTGGTCAGGCAAAAGAGGCTAATAGGGTTTAATAGTTCGTACACAAAGTAAAGTTTAACTTTGTTTTGTTAAATTATATATTTTTTTGTTACATCTTTCAATTAATAAATGTTGTTATATATGGCAAAACACGTCAATAACACCAAATTTAACGGTTTTTAACCATTTTTAAAAAAATCTGACCCGGAGCCGGAGCGGACTAAAATAAGGGCTCCGGAGCCCGGAGCCGGAGCCCACTTTGAAAAAAGGTCGGAGCCGGAGCCGGAGCTGGAGCCAAAAATTTCAAAAATGCAAACACTGGTTTTTATATAATTATATGCCAGTATTGCTTCTTTAGAAAAACTGAATTACTCTTCAAAGAAAATAATCTGAATGCTGGTGGACAACATCTGTCAAACGACACTTTCAATAACATGTGGCTGATGTTGCTTGAAACTATTGCAGTCAATCAAATGAACGAAGTTAAGGAGGGTAAGCAACATATTTAAGCTTGAATTCAAATCTATTATACGATGATTTAAACACTGATTAGGGGATTTATTTGGAGTACTTTTCAATGATACTAAAATTGCTATTTTTTCTAATTCTTTATTGAACACAGATTATATTGTTTAGAGAAGAAATTGTCTACTGGAGCCGAAGACAAAATATGTCTGCTACAGGAACAGTTGGAAAAGTTACAGGCCGACAATCGTGATTTGAAGTTGCTGAGGAACAAAGTCGATGTAGTGTACAAAGACTTGGTTAAGGAGGAGGAAGTTGTAAGTGCAATATTAACAGGGAAAATTTATTGGAAGAATGTTTTATAAATCTTCTTTATCAGTGAATTTTGATAAGCTCTGTCAGTTTATTCATATAAGTTTTTTGAAAGATTTACTGTAGTAGTGTCATTGCAATAAGCTAATATTTTCAGGCACTTCAAGCCTTTGTCGAGCACGCCACGTCTTTGCTGACAAAATATAATGCTGAACTCGGCCGGTTGGAAAGCATTAATCAGTAAGTAGTTAAATTTGAGTATTAGTAGTGTGAAACATTGAAAGTTGCACAGTAGGATCTTCGTGTAAAGATCCATGACGAAACCTCTTGGATTGTATCTTTGTTTGTGTATAATTTGTCATAGTTGGTTTTACTACTTTTTTTTGAAAAATTTTGTGTAAAAATTGTGATTACAGAGGAAAGAGAGAGCAAATAGAAACGTTGGAAAAGGAAAATAAAGAACTGTACTCGGAATGTGCTCGTCTCGAAAATGAAGTTCAGAAAATGGATGATGAAGTCACTTATAAGGTAAATCTTTATTCTCTACTATTTTTTGGCTATAAAACCAATGTTGAAGTCATTAAAGCAGATGTATGTTTAAAAAGCTTCTTTATACTTTTTTAAACTTACACTGCCTTTTGTTTCAGAATCACTCATACATTCAATCAATCATGAAGCAATAACTCTGCAAGAGGGCTCATTACAACAATATCTACTAACTCTGCTCACTGTACACTATAATTTACTTGAGATTAAACTGTATTATACATCTGTTGGCATACGTATTTGGTTATTGTGTTTTAACATAGATTGATATTGTTTTAGTTCAACCATTGATAAGATTATTTATTATTTTGCGTGGAAGAAGCAAAGTTTATATTTATTTTGTCTAAAACTTAAGTCTAACTTTGTTTTATTGGTTCTAGGTTTATTTTTTACTTTTTCACAGGTTTAAAGTAATTGTTTGATTTTAGAGTTATATTAAGGTGCAAAATGACAAAAACTGGATTTGTAACGGATCGTCGTATGTTAAAACATCGTTGTGAGTGGGACCCAGCTCATATGGAAGTGCCAGAAAGATTATCATGTATATTGGATAAGTTAGAGGTACGATTTGGATTTTTTTCTTCTTTGTTTGACTCCTAGCCACACTGAGCATTTTAAAAAGGCCAGGTCGGTCTGGAGGCTGCCTCTGCTCTTAGCTCAGTTTTTATTTTACTACTTTTGTTGTTATATGTTACTATTAACCTTTATTTTCTTAGGCATCAAATGTTTTGTCAGACTGTATTCAGCTTGATTCTCGGATGGCAACGCAAGAAGAATTACAGTTAGTGCATGACATAGATTACATTGATCAGATTGAGACTACAAAAAATATGGATTTGGTAAGAAATTGTTTAAAGTTGAGTCTGTAAAGTTCACAGAGTATATGTGAATTTTATTTTTTAAACTGTAATTTATTTAGGAACAACTGGAAAGGTTTTCAAGCCAATACGAAGATGTTTTCTTGAATGCTGACACTTGGGAGTGTAGTTTGCTGAGTGCTGGTTCGGCTTTGGAGCTGACGGAAAAAGTGATAAAACGAGAATTGGACAACGGTTTTGCGGCCATAAGGCCTCCAGGGCATCATGCTTGGAAGGACAAAGGTTGTGGGTTTTGTATCTTCAACAACATTGCCATTTGCGCCAAATATGTGAGTATCTTTTCTATCAACGTTGTTTGATGATTTCTTGGTAACAGAGTAATAGGGACTAAGTGGGCTTTAAGGAGTCAATTTATTAAGGCTTGCATTCATTTAAAAATTTTTAAAACCGATTTGTTAGTTAGAAAGCTTATTTTGAATCTTTTAAACGTATAGGCTAGATCTCAAGGCGTCGAAAGAGTGTTGATTGTCGATTGGGATGTACATGCAGGTCAAGGAACACAATATGTCATCAATGATGATCCGAATATTAAGTTAGTGTCAATTCATAGATACGAAAATGGAAAATACTGGCCACATTTACCAGAAAGTGCTGTTAAACATAAATGTAAGGGCTTCTAAAGTTAAAATACTAATAAGACATCGCAATCTTTCATACTATAGCTATACTTTTATGATATAAGGAATTGTATTTTCAGATAATAATACGATAAACATCCCATTGGATGTTACTGGATATACTGACAGTGCCTACATATCGATAATGCATTCTGTCGTTTTACCGTTGATTCATGAATGGAAACCGCAGTTAATCCTTGTTTCTTGTGGGTAAGTGATGCTATGATTGATGAAAAACGTTTTCAATAATTATACGTACAGTAGTTTGTAACGCTGAACTACTGTAACTTGTAGGTTTGACGCGGCATTAGGCGATAGAGATGGTGGAATGAAGGTAACTCCACTTGGTTATGAGTACATGGCAGCACTGTTGGCATCACAAAACATAAAATTAGTGCTGTTACTGGAAGGTGGATACTTTCTACAAATTATCAACGACTGCGCTGTTCATACTGTAAAAGCTTTGAAGACTAAGGTGGGTGTACTGTAATAGTTCAAGATATTGAAAATATAACAATATTAGACATTTCACATCGTTTTAAATGTTATATATGTAATCTGCTAGCTTTTTTCTCTTTTTTTACTGTTATATAAAAGTTGAGTCCTATTACATGTTGACATACTTCCAGACGGTACCAAACGCTAATTTTGGACTAAAAGGCCGATACTTTGGACCATTAATGGAAGTGTGGGACAAAGACCTGTTTAATTCAATAAATATGATCAAAAAGGCCAATGGACGAACTGAGTTGGATGTAGGTAACAATTGCACTATATGTATTATTCAGTTAAACCTTTATATTATTAAAGCTTCAATTACGACTCAAAACCAAATTATTATTATAATACTTTAAGTAACACGACATTTAAATACTTATACATTTACTGTTATTTAAACTTCAGAGTTTTGAAACGAGATACGAAGGTGAAGATATATTGAAGACGATCGTATCGCCATACCCTACTAGAGACTTGTACGAACTTCGAAGCAAAGAACAAGATGAAGCTTTCTTGATTGAACTAAAAGAGTTTTATTTTGAATATAAGAAAGAAAGAGAATCTGTGACTGTTACTAAAGGAGACCCATGGGTGATGAGATACAATAATAAGGAGTATAACATCCGGATTGGTTCTGATGTTGATGTAAAGTTTGTCTATTATCAGGTAAGGTTTGCATATTTTGGGGAAAAATCTTCAACCTACTTGAATTTATTTTACGAATAGTTAAGTGTATGTTCTATATAAAAAGTATGACATAACTTTATGTCTTTAATATTTTAGGTACTGCTACCATTGACAACGAGTTACTTGGTAGAGTTTGAGAGAAACATACTAACTCTTCAACCAATCAAATTCTTCCTACCATGTTTTAAACTTGCCAACGGCCACATATCACAAGAATTGGCAGAAGATCTTGCCCAACTTCCATTTTCTTCATTATTCTTCTGACTCTTGCTTTGTAAATGTATAAAGTGAATCCACATGCTTGGATACCTTTTGTTTCTCAAATTTAGTGAGTAGATTTATCTTTATTGATAAAAATTTCTGAAAGTTACAGCACTTTAATTGCCTTTTCAGAGATTCCAACATTGCTAATGCAGCTATACCAAGTGACAAGAATACCGTACGATACGATGTTTGTTGTTATGTTCAACTACTTTTGCGTGTCAGTACCTCGCAACGTCGATGATATTGCTTTAGAAGTAAGAGGTAATGGACAACTACCACAAAAGTGATTCGACTTTTGGAATCACTGATGAAATCAGTTGTGAGTCACTAGTTGTGTTAAGGAATGCCATCTACTGTCAATTGGAAGACCGTATTCGATGTTGGTACAAGTAAAGGTTTAGATGATTTTATGAAAGTTAAGAAAAATATCTTTCTTTACTTATTTATTTAAGTTGTTCTGCCCTAACGTACTCAGCCTTATCGTACCCAGCTCCTTTGTGCTACTGCACCATAAAGTCCCTCTTAATTTTTGTTTCCTTTATTAAATAAAGTTTAAAAAAATCAAAACAAAAACAATAATGTAATCAGTATTTAATAAACAATTAGATCAATAAATTGATAAAAATTCTACAACTTCTTCTTCCGTTTCATGGCGTTGGTTTCGGTTGTCCTTGTTTTATACTGAATTTATACTCACATAGCCTTGGGACGAAGATCTAGAATAAGATTGATATCTTCCCAAAGCCGCAAGCAGGTGTTAAGCGGTATGATTATGATTACTCCAGAACAAAGTGCCATCATACGATTAAAATGTACATTTTCCACTGTAACTATTAAATCCGCGTTGTAACTCAGTCTTGACAGAAGGATACGGAATTCACGCGGCATTGTCTGACGAGGATCGTAGGTTTTAACGTAGTAAAAATATTTTATCCATAGATAAAATGGAATGAAGTAATAAATAAGAATAATTATCTAAAAAGTAATTTTTATTAACATTTTGTATAAATAAGGTCACTGTAGTTTTTTTGGATAATTTAAAAATCTTACTGTCATGCCAACAAAGAGCTGTGTAGCGCGAATTAATGTTTCATCTGAATCAATTACTGATGGAAAATGTGCTTCATATATTTTAGTTAGTACGTAAGTTATAATAATATTCATATTAAGGTCCATCATCTAAAACACTCAATAGTACTTTTGTCATCTTCAATGCTTAAGTCATGGTTGAAAAAAAATACTTACCAACCTGTAAGCGGCTATAAAATTGTACGTATAACTCGTATTCATTGTTTCTGGCCATGACTTTAAATCGACCGGTTGATCAAGCGAGTAGACAGGGTTATAACAATGAAGAATAAACCTAGTCAAGTAGTAACTCATTATGATTGCAAATTTCGTTGTTTTGCGTTGAAAACATTTTAGTTCTTGTTTTAACATACTCCAACAGATAGTAAGGAAACGTAAAAGAAAGGATATAAATTTTAGGTGAAAATGGTATATGAGTGTCTTATAAAGAGGTATGGCTGAAAGTATATGTCTTGTGCGTTAGTTTTGTGATGCAATTATATTATACTAAAATCGCTTTTTTTGTGTTTTTTTTAAATTTTTTTAGTAGGTTTGACTACATATTATATTGTGTTGAAGAAAAAGAGGCTTGAATTTGCTGAGGGACAAAGTCGATGTAGTGCACAAAGCCTTGGTTAAGAAAGAGGACGGTTCGAATGTTGATTTAAAGTAAAACCGTCTTTATTGCACACATTAGTCCCACAACGAAAACATTCGTACCTGTGCCGATTTTTTGATCCCGCCCCCATACCAAAAGTACCCGCCCGGTCCTGGTGATATTGTAGAGTTTTTTACTGTGTAACAATGTACAGTGGCACGCCAAATAATCTTCGTCAAAAAGCTGGTACGTGTCGTGTCTTCCCCTACTTTTCGGTCAAGTTTGTTATTATTCCAAATGTTTTTGATGTAAAAAGTAATGAAAAACAACAGTGTTTAAAATTTCCTATGACTAAAATGTTTTAAAAATAATAATTAATTGTTTTACATAAGCAAATTTAAAAAACAATTTTTTTTGGACATATTTATTTATAAAACTCTGATACGTATGTATAAAAATAAATAAAAATTACAATAAAACTAATAATAACCCTGAAAAATAATAACAATAAAATGGAATATTAGTCAGAGATATCAAGGGAACGATCACTGTCTTATTCTACTGCAGTGGCTTCATAATTAAGCATGTAAATTTGTCATAGGTATCCACTACCAGTCGCTTCAGCTATAAGGTAAGACAAGGTAGAATATATAGCAAAGTGGGCTAGAAGATAAGGTAAGATAAATTAGCGTAGGGTAAAGTAGGGAAAACTAGGATAGGACTTACACTACTTGACTTGAAAGTAGTGTAAGAACATTGATAAGACTTTTATACTAACCTATTGGCCATTAACCCACGAGATGTTATATAATATTCAAAGTGTAGCTTGAATTTTGTATTCCTCAAATCCTATTAAAATATTTTTGATCTGTTGTTATGTTTAGTGTATTAATTATTTACTCATAGAGTTATATTTTACAACCTATTTGTATAATTTTGTATGACTTAACATCTGAACAATCACCTAGCGTTTTAAATTATATGATAAAATACTTGAGTATATCAACTTTAGTTAAATTTAAACTTGTATTGATGTTTACAGCGTCATTAATTAATATACTATTCAAAAAGTTGAAAAAAACTGCCGAAATGCAACAAAATTTGATATAAAAAATATAAGTAATAAAAATTAAGGATAAAACTTGACGCAAATGGTAAACTTGACACGCTTTTTGCAACCTGCGCAAAATCGAAAAAGCCATTTATATTTCTCGCTTTGGGATTGCCGTGTACACATTTATATCATATATATGCATTATATCTTTTCTTTTATCAATTATAATATAAATTATATTACTTTAGATGGATCAGGCAGCACAAAGGCCTGGTCCTTCACAAGGACCTCGAATAATAATGTCTCAGAACCTACCACAACGACCTTCAACTAAAATTGAAGATCTACTAAATTGCTTGAGAGATGGTTCACATCGTCTCAGCCAGAAGGTTACAATGTTGACTGTAAGATTGTTTAATGTAAATTTAATTTTTTGAAATTTAGAATTTTTATGAAAATCTGGACGAAATGATTAACACACAAACGTATGCAACATATCAAGGAGAAATCTACGAGCTTCTGATAGGAGATTTGAAGAAAACACAACCTCACTTTATTGCCGAGAATGAAACACAGGTAAACTTTTCGAACTAACCTTAATATAATATTTGTATGTTAAAAGAATCATTTCTGGTAACAAGTATTACCTAAAACATTTACTAAGCCATTTGTATTTTGTTATGTTAAAATTTAATTTATTATTTTAGCAACTACGTAAAGCAGTTATACAACTATTTTTGCGTCTTCCGATATCAGATCTAATCAAGAGAATTTCCCAAAAACATAATTTGATTGGAGAACTGCTGAATATCGTATCTTTTGACAATGAAGAAAATGGAGTTTTGGCGTTGAAGACATTGAATGATCAGCTGAAGATTAACAGAGTGAACACACAGGATTTGCCGGATTTCTTCGATAACTTCAAACAGTTTTATGTTAACTTTACGAGAGTGGCAGAGGAAAGGAAAGAGATTTTTTTGGCTAGACCTGTGACTGAAGTTAGCAGTATTGAAGATGAGGTTACGAAGTCGTTGTCTCGATTGTATTATACAAAGACTTTACTTTTGAGAAGGCCGGAAGATGCGGTATGTATTTTGAATATTGGTTAGTGAATTTTAGGTAACAATGAAAAGGCGTATATAAACTTTTTTGTTTGTGTTATAATAAATTTATTTAGAGTAAATTAATTTATAAATTAAGCATTTTATAATGTTTTTTAAAATCTGTATTTTAGACCTCATTTCAATACACTTTGATACCCAAAGCGTCGATGAGTGTGAAAGTCTTCTCAGAGATTCCACCATTGCTAATGCAGCTATATCAAGTGTCGCGAATACCGTACGATGCGATGTTTGTTGTTATGTTCAACTACTTTTGCGTGTCAGTACCTCGCAACGTCGATGATATTGCTTTAGAAGTTAGAGGAAATGGACCGCTACCGGCTTTGAATGCACCTTTGATTGATGAATTCCACAATTCTCAAGTTAGAGCTCTGTACTTTATGGCTTGGATTATCAAACAACAAAGGGCAAGTTTAGCTTTTACTTAATTTTTTTTCGTTTTAGGCATGAAGGTGAAAATTTTAGGTATAAATTAATGTTTTTGGGTATGAAACTTCATATTGAAGGGGAATATTGGAGGGTTTAACGTAGATTAATATCAACATTTTAGCAAGTATCAGTGCTAAACAGAGACAATGCTGCCAAGATGACAAAGGCTATGATTCGACTTCTGGAGTCTCTGAATCCACATGTTACAGCAGCTAGAAGAGAGTTCATCGCTGCTGTCAAGATATTACTGTTGTCAGAATGTAAAGGCTTGTTTGTTGGTGTGGTATCAGCTTTAACTTGTGAAAGATACATTCTTGGAGACAGTTATGCGTCACAAGATGTTTTGAGGAATGTCATCTACTCTCAACTGGCTGATGTTCTTCATCACATTCGGTTTGAGCTACCGTATTCTGTTTTGGTACAGTAAGTTGGTTTTAATATTATATTTTGGAAAAATAGAAAGAATTATAAATATATTATAATAGCATAGATAATTATGACGTTGGGGATATGAAATGGGTTAATTTATTTAATATTGTTATTTTAGTTTGTTCAATTTGTGTGTACGGTGTCTACATGACACGCAGCTGATATCTCACAATCAAACTATGTACGGCAAACTGTTAATGAATCTCTGTGATCCATTGTTGAAGTTTGAGAAGGATAGAATGCTACCGGTATGTTAAAATAATGTTCTTATAATAGTGTTATCTATCATAATTTTAACTATTTCAATCTCTTTTTTTATTTTAAAATCTGCTATTTTAGGCAAGAGAAACCTTTTTGTACGCATTCGAAGCCTTTGTGAAGAAAACCAACGTCTTGGCAGATCACACCTTTCCTCAAACAATTCAATCCGAAGTTGCCAAAAGAGACGCTTCAATTCAACTAAACCAACGTGATCACGACCAAAGCACGGAACTCGGCTCTTCTCCACGAAAACAGGTTCAGATGCCAACTCAAACCAACCTAGCGTACGTTCATTGGCAAGAACAGGCTACACCATTGACTCCACATGAATGCAGAAACATATTACGCTACACGATCAACCCTATCAAGATATTGTCCGTGGCACTGAGTAATTGCCATCTTACTGAAGATTCGACCAACTTTGCGGCTGAAAGAGAATTATTCTACAATTTCTTTGTTTATGGCATCAAATGTCTTCAGCAGTTCATATTATTGGTTAACCAAGTGGCTCAGAACAGTCAATATGCTGGACAGATCAAGGCTTTCAAGAAGGATGAAAAGGAATGCATCGAGATGTTTGCTTGCATTGTGAGTTCAAAATTTATATTTTTTTGCTAAAATGTTACCTAAAATGTTTTTTATTGATATGCTATCATTCATAATATAATATTAATGGCATTTTTATATTTTCAGTTCAGCGACGGTCATCCTCAAGTGTTCCAGTACATTATGTCGAAGAATATTGGCATCTTCGTAGAAGCTTTAATTGTTTGTAAACCTCTTCAAGACATTCCAACTCATTTCATGAATCATGCGAGAACGTGCACTATCATGGGTTCAGTACTACTCAAATACTTGTTGAAACAAATGAAGGAAATTGGACCAATTAACGACCGGTCGAAAGTTTACTTGGCTTTGTTTAGTTTGGTGTTTAAAATTGTTTCACAAGATCAGTCGAGCAATCAGGAGAGCATGTTAATGGTAAGTACGATAAGGTCGAGATGGTTAATATTTTTATTTATTTTTTAATGATTTATTGGTATGAATATTAAGTTAGGATTAAAAACCAGTTTTTTCTTTCATGTGTAATATTGCTTTTAGCCATACCTTCATGAAATCATTGCCGAAGCCTTACAATACGCGATCAGAAGCCGTGAGAATTGGAACTACTTCCAACTGCTACGAGGCCTCTTCAGATCGATTGGTACTGGAGCTCACGACCAACTTTACCGCGAGTTTCTACCTCTATTACCATCAATTCTACAACAATTGAATCGCTTTCAAAACGGATCTCACCGACAGACAATTCACGATGTTTTTGTCGAACTTTGTCTTACTGTACCTGTACGATTGTCATCTTTATTACCGTATCTCGCTCTTCTCATGGACCCATTGGTATGTGCTCTACATGGATCAACCACATTGGTACAACAAGGTCTACGAACTTTGGAGTTGTGTGTGGATAACCTTCAACCGGAATACTTCTTTGACCATATGGAGACAGTCAGAGCATCGTTGATGCAAGGGTTGTGGAGATGTTTGTATACTCAAGATTCAGCTGCATCCACGGCGGCGTTGAGAATCATGGCCAAGCTTGGTGGCAGCAGTAGACGAGCTTTTCTAGATGCTCAAGTCTACGAATTCATCGACGAAACAGACTCGGCTTTGTCGTTGAACTCGATGAAAGTGGCACAAACTTCGATGAAAGGAGAGGATGCGTTGAAGTTGCGGTTGAATACGATGATCGAAGTCGGAGGTACGACCATGCCGGTAGAACGAGGTATGAAGCGAAAGCATGAAGATGAGAATCTGGTCAGGGAGGTTCAGCCTTTAACTGCTGACATTTCTGTCGGTCAGGTTGTGGAATCAGCTGTTTCTATGATCAAGCAAGTTGTTTTAGATTTTTATTTTAAATTTTATTTTAAAAATTGTAAAGTAGAAGATTGTTAGCTTTAACGAAAATGTATAAGCTACCTAAAATTAAAAATATTAGGTTTTAAATATTAATTTTAAATTTTTCCAGAAATTTTAAAACTAACATGAATAATATTACATTTTAGGTCGTCACAAGTAAACGAACACCAACCACCTCTCAGCGTGAATTGGGCACATTGGCAAAGTGGGTTTTCATCAGGAGTCAGGAATCCAAAGGCATACGCTTTGGAAGTCTGTAAGACGGTCATCTATACGGTAATTCAAAAGAATCCGATTCATTTGTTGACAAAGCAACAGAAACGAGAACTTTGCCAAAAAGCATTCGAAAAATGGATTCAAACTGATCAGTAAGTCAAATATGGTTAGAGTTATGGGCTCTGTTAAGCAGATTTTGTTGTGTTATGTTAAAACAAAAGTTATGTTTTAAAGGCCTACTGAATAATATTTTAAAGGCTTACTGGCTAAAAAATATGTTTTAAGGATCTACTGGATAATATTGTTATGAATATCTTATTTGTTAAGAATTATATTCCATTTCAGAAAAGCAACAGTCTACCGATGCACAGACACTCGCTCCAGAACAGTCTTTGGAGAAGCTCTTTCCGGAATCTTCTTTGGAATTGTAGCCAGCGAGTACCGTGAACAGACTCTACCGTTCTTCAGCGCCATCATTGTTCATCTGACTACACAATCCATCCTAGAATCTATGGAAAATAGGTCTGAAGGAATGGACGGCTTCATTCTAATCGACGTTATCACCAGAGTTTTGTCTGATTCCTGCAAAGAGTTTGCGTATTCTGGGCTGATTGCCTTGTCCTACATCAAACTTACAGTATCTTACCTGTTCGAACTATCAGATTTGTCTAAGGCGTCAAAGTTGATCTTCTTCAGTGAATTGTTGGAACAGATCAGATTGTTGTGTTACAAAAGGGAATGGTACGCCAAGTTGGGCGGATGCACGGCTTTGAGATTCTTTTTGGAGAACTTCCCAAGAGATTTTGTGGTTTCAAGGGCTTCTGAAATCATAGATGCACTTTTTACTACTATTTCTGGTAGGTTTATATGAACTAGAAGTAGTTCTTGATGAAGTCCGGAAGATTTTCAAATGAAATTAGCTTTATATTAGCTGAGAGAAAGTAATATAAGACAATAAAAAGTTCAGAACTCTTAAAATTTGACAATGTCACAGCTCATAAATTATTCGAAAAGTATTTTCAATTAAAGACGGTCAATAGTAATATAAAATTCTAGGTGTGGCGGATGAAGTATCATCAGGAGCAGTTGATGTTGCCTCGAAATGTTTGGATCTCTTTGTTACTGTGTGTTTTTCAAGTCTGGAATACGACGAATCACTCTTGAATACAGTCATTTCTTACATTATCGGTCGTTTCTGTGATCCAGAAGCATTTGTCAGAAGTGAGAGCTACAGATTACTGGAAAGAGTTGCTACACTTACAGATAAAAATATATGTCAACTACTGGAAGATAAACACAATGTTTTGAAGCAGCTATTACTGGAAGGATTTACTAACTTTGCCACAATGACTTCTTTCGCTCAAATTGCTTTCTTGGTAGGTTTTAAGTCGAAATTGACATTTTAATATGAAGATTTAGATAAAAAGTTAGAAAAAGTATTATTTTAGTATTTTTATGACATGAAAAGTCAAATAATCACAATTTATGTGCAATAATATTACTTTTTAGGAGTTTATAAGCCGTTTTCTAATTGACGGCAACCTTTACGACGATACCTACATCGACCAATCCGTCCATTTCATCTCAAATCTTCAATTGATTGTCGCAAACACTGATGTCGCTCTAAATGCAATGCCTTCTTGCCGATACGCCACTTCCAACATGAACAGAGGATCACATTCTCTAGAAGCTCAACTAAAAAGTGTCAAAGAAGAGGCTCTGAAGACGTTGGAGGTACACACAAAAGTGCTTGTTAAAATGAGGAAAAGCTTGAGAGACGGACGAGAAGTTAGTCAGACCGAGAAGTTGGCTGTTGTTCTACAAGCGATTGATGTGGAGAAAATGAAAAAGAATGGTAAGGATTTAAAATGTGGGAAATTATACAAAATGTTATTTTAAATTGAAAAGTAGTTGAGATATATTAGAAACTTGATTTTTTAAGAACTTTCTTTTAGAAAATTAATTAAAATTAATTTTTAGGTGAAGATTCGTTGAAAGAGCTAGTAAAAATGGCGTTTGAACTTGCGGATCTTGACTTGCCAGACATGGAATTGGACGATACTAACATTGATGAACAAATTGAAGAATTAAAAGAACTGCTAGAGCACCAAAGAATCAACAATCTTTCGGAAAACGAACACAAATCATTGTTACTCACAAGTTTTCTCGATGATATTGTCAAGTTTTACCTGAGATTAGCTTCACACCCAACTCATCCACTCCAATCTGAAGCCAAAAAGATTTTGAAGAAGTTGTTTGCGGATGAACCAGTCTTTTCTGTGTATGTTAGAGCTGAACTGAACCATCAATTGGAGCTGATTCAACCAATTTTAACGCTAAATCAGTCGGTTGGGCATTCTAAAAAGGCGGCCGAGAAACTGAACTTCTTGGACGCTTCTGACAAGTTTAAGTTGTTCAAATCGTACGATGGAATTCAAGCTCCAGCTCAAGGTAACGGTGGAAGAGACCAGTCAAAACGAAGAGTCAATTTGTGTGTAGATCTAGATGGAGAAGAAACAGTGGAAGCACTACTCAAAGGAGACCTCTTGTTCAAGTTGAAAGACCAGTCTGGGAATACGTTAGCCTTGGGTAAAGTGCTAGGTTACGTTCCTGTAGCATACCGTGCCGACAATAAGAACAGCGGAATCAGCGTTGAGGAAATAGAATCTATCGCTGGAGTGAGACGTCTTAAGGATGACAGTCAGGAGATGCTGGAGAAGATGCAGCCGGTCAACGTGGAACGCGAAGACTACGAGTATGTGGAGACCGAGAAGGTGAACGAGCTCGTCAAGGACATTGGAGACAACGATGACATTCCAGAAGTCAAGGAGAACGAGTTGAATCAAGTCACGTTTGTCGTGGCTGATCGAACAGAAAATGCGTATACCTTCAAGAGATACGTCGGCTCATTACCTCCAAAGATCAATGGGACTTTTGTCACATTCACAAGATTACCTACTGGAGAGTTGGTCAGATCCATCAAAACTTATGGTCAAGCAAAGGTGGACCAAAGAATCGACTATTTCGGGGAATCAGAATTGGAACGACAGTTTGGTCATCCGGCGTGCTCGATGATTTTCGAAGAAATCGACGAGACTACAGCTGCCCATCTGACAGAAGTGGCCAATATGTTGATGTTGGAAGCTCAAAGTCTAGGCTTGGATAAGCCTACTTATACTGTAACGCTGGAAAGTGTACCAAACGATGGAGGTAATCCAGAAGAGATGGGTCAACATGGTCTTCAGGACATCGGAATGTTTGATATTGATGATCAGGCTTTGCAGGTATGGTTGTGCGGCTCAAAAGACAGTTCTTAAAGAATATAAAATGATTTTTTTGAGAAAATAAAATATCTAAATAAGCTTTAAAAAAATTTTTACCTAAAACAATATTATAGGATATTGAAAACACGCTCTTCGAAACCCCGGATGATATGTTGTTCAACGAGAGCAACGCCAGTCCAGAAAAGTCTAACAACGAACCCTCGACTTCTGAACAACCTTCAGAACCAGAAAAGCCTTCTGAAGATCAACTTCCGGAACCTTCAACATCAGCCGAAGAGCCAGTACAAACTGATATCGATCTAAAAGACGGATTAGATGCCGGATACATAAAGCAAGTCGAACAGAATCAACATCTGGCAGACGAGAATCTGGACGAATCAGCTGGAGACAAACCTCTGGAAGATGAGATCAAGAAGGAGCCAGAAGAACCAATGGACACTTCAGAAGTCGTCGAAGAGAAGGCTACAGAGAAGAGCAAAGAAACAACGGTAGAGGACATTCTGGTGCTTCGAACTGACAAGAAGTGGACTCGACCAGTCGTTTGCCACTTCCCAATTGACAAAGAACACCGTGCCAACTTTGAACAAGGTCATGTGGCTATGGACGAGACTCTGAAGTTGAATGGGGAAGGTGCCGAGACCATAGATGACCTTTCTCTAGGCCAACATGACGATAACCCTGTAGCACAACATCCAAGTGAAACCTTTGAACCAGCGTTCATTGGAGGTGAGACGAAAAAGCAGAAGCGGATTCCAGGAAAGAAGCGAGTGTCTTTGGATGAGAAAATGATCTCAGACACGGAATTTGAACATTTATTGGACGAAACGGAACGATCTGATGGGTTAAGTGGAGATGAGATAGGTGGTGAAGTTGTGAAGAGGAAGAAGATCAAGCTGATAATCGATGGAGCTGAGAGAATCGACATTCAGAGTGTTGAATTGCCAGAAAAGCTGATGGAGAATATCGCCGAAGAGAAGGTTTATATCGGTACTGAAGGTGAGAGTGGGAAGGCTTCTAGAATGGGCAAGGATCTGGAGGTAAGACGACGGTTTTGTGAAAAAATTTCAAATTATTTTGAGAAATCATTAAAAGTCGTATTTTAACTCTATTTTTAAGTTGGGATCCGAAGCCACAGGACCATATGACTACATTACTGATGAAAAACTGAAGAACTTCTTTAACAATTTGCATAAATTGTCGCCAAAACGGGCTTCGAATGCTTTGAAATACTATACAAAGAAGCTGACAGAAGCCATACGAAAGGAGCATGTCCCAACATTACCTGTAGATTCAGATGGTGTACTTCGGATTCAATACGCTTCAGAATCAGTCATTCTGCCAAGCAAAACAATCGTACAAACGATGCCAAGAACAATATTTAACTATCTTTCGAATGAAATCTTTGATGAGATGAAGGTAAGTGGGATGTTGAGGATCATATTGGACTTGATTACTATTTTATATAATCATTTGTTCTATATACTTTGTAGGACCTGGACCGACTAGACAAGGAAGTAAAACAAACCATCAAGAACCAAGCCTTGAACAAAGACCTATTTGATGTCGACTACAATCAACCAGACAGTGATGACGAGCTAGAAGCCGTCGACCTAACAGAAGGCTTCCTAACAGTCAAGAAACTAAAAACTATGTCAGATTTACGAGAAATGATCGACGCCAAAATACCCGACAACCTCATGTTTTACATTTGTGGTGAAGTCTCGACCCAAGTGTTCTCGAAGAATGTCCATGAAGTAACCGAAGAAGACCTCAGCATCCTTTATCACGGTCTTGAACTGTTGTTATCGGCCGATATTACAGTAATGGAACAGTTATTTGCGTTTCTGGTCAATTCGATCTCCTTTTTGGCTGGAACCAAGTACCATTTCAACATTACTGATTACAAGATGTTGGATGAAACAGCTGCCAAACTAATGCAATGTTTGGCTAGAATCCCGAAAAGGTCAGCCAGTCTGTTGTTGAGTTATACTGTGTTGATTCATCGTGCTACAGGAATCTTTGTTAATGAAATGTTGATGTTGGATGGAGCTGAAGCCTTAAGGAGCAGCATTTTGAAGAATTACAAACGAATAGAGACATTGTTGTATGGAGAGACGATTGAGGACGAAAGTGATGGTAAGTTCTGAAGTGACATTAAGTTTTCAAGTTTGGAACTTTGGGTTTTGTAGCTCTAAAAACTAAATTTGGGTCTAATATATGTCAATATAAACCATAACTTTTCAAAAGTAATAAAATAAAAAGCCCTGAAAATACTTACAACGCCTGTTATAACGTTACTCTTCAGAGTTCCTCCAATACTCACCAGAACTGAAGGGAAAGCAACGTCTCTCTCTTGACTATGTTCTCTTCTCAATGATGTATTCGATCGCTCAAACATCGTCAGAAGACTTTGCCAATTCCTCGGAGTTGTTAACCATTTTGGTGCGCTTCTGGAGATCAGATGACATGAGAAGGAGGTATACAGTCAGAGATGGCTACGCTCCCAATGTTGGAGACCAAATCCTGAGCAATATGCTGACTGTAGCTGACTCGAGAAAGGTTCATTCTGCCAGTGGAGACATGATTGCTGTTCCTGAATTGATTATTAAGACTTTTGTGGAGTTTACAAAGTAAGATTATATTGTTATTGGCAGGGTTTTTTAAGTTTTTGAGCTTAAAATCGTTTTTATTATATTTGACAGAAAGCAATCATTTGTCTTGGATAACATAGAAAAGGCGTTAGTACAAGTATTTTGAATATAAAATGTGATGTTTTTAAGAATGAATTTTGTTGGATAAAAGGGCAGGGGCGTCGCTAGGATTTTTTTTGTGGATCCACCTCCCCCCCCCCCCCCTAGCGACGCCTGTAAAAGGGTAGAGAAGAATAAAAAGCATAGTTGACTTACCTTATTTTAGTTTGCACCCACAACGAATTGATGTTCTGTACTACTCCTGCTTCGCCTTCTCTCACAAGTTCGTCACTGACTTTGCCTTCTTCAAGAAGCACATCGACGAATACATAATCCCGTTGATGGACATTGAATGGCGACACAAAGCCTTTGACAAGGTTATCGAATTCTTCAAGCCAAAACGAACTCAGTTCGGTGTGACGGAATCGGAAATTCTGGCCAGATTCATTCAGTACGTGGTAACACCGTCGTTCGTCTACGCCTTTAACAAGTTCCCAGTGAACGACGTCGTCGGCTGCGAACCGAATCCAGAAGAAAAGAACGAGAAGAGCATCATGTGGCAGTTCTGTTTGCACGTTATTGAACCCTACAACAAACAATTCCCTGTGCCGGACTTGCTGAAGATCACATTGTATCAGTTTTGTGCTTTATTGGTGCAGAAGTGTCCTATTCACATTCATGATAACAAAAAACAAAAGTAAGTTGAGATGGATGAGTCGCATTTGGAAATTTGCAAAAATTTTTTTTCAATGTTTTTAGGTATGAAGTATATTCTGTAACACTTTTGGGTACTAAATTAAGATAGTATTGAAAAGTATCTTAATGCTGCTCTACAGAGCTAAAAAACAAAAATAAAATTTAAAAACTAAAAATATTTTTTTAGAAGACAAGGTGAATGTCTTCGACTGTTCATGCTCTTCGGATGGCCATGCCTTCAAGCACAACATCAAGGTGATCAAATCGAAAAGTATGCAGGACAGTATCTGATAGTAAACCTAATGGAAGAGTTTTCAATTGCTAAGAAAATCGTACTACAAGCCCTAACGGCTCTAGTTTGTGCTCACCAAACCGAGTTGAGGGAAGTGGTCAAAAAGTCGATAGAAATCATCATTCCGTCAATGTCAAATCGAATGGAAGATGGTGATCAACAAATTGTACTCGTGTTGAAGAAGTGTATTGAAGAGCCTACTACTTCACAGGTATGTCTTAGTGATTTTAGGTAGGAAAAAGCTTGATAGGATTAATTTAGACTAGGTTAGGGCATGGTTAAGGTAGTAATACGGCAAGTCTTGGTAAAAAAGTGTGAGATATTTGACATATGATGGCTCGGACTATGGTAAGGTGTGGGTAGACTTGGGTATGGCCAGAGTAGTTATCTTTCTACCAGGGACGTCGCTACGGTTTTTCTCTGGGGGGGGGAGGTCGAAAAATTTAAAAATTTTTTTTATTTCACAGGTACCTGTGGACCGATTTTTTCAAAATTTTTTTTTTGTTTTTTCGCGTACAGGTACCTACCTGTGGAATTTTTTTTTCGGATCGGCTCTGGGGGGGGAGTTTGCACCCCCCCTACTCCCCCCCAAACGACGTCCCTGCTTTCTACGTCTGAAAAATATAATTTTAGATTGTTCACTGCATTTCGATAGCTGCTAGACACTATAAGGTGTTGTTTAACATGCGGTGCACTGTAGCCAAGATGATGAACTCAGCAGTACAACGATTGATTTCTCAGAATGTGAACGAAACCAAGAAAGTTGCTTTGGATATGTGTGAAACTTGCATTAAATGGGAACAACATCGACAGAAGATGTTGGAGGTAAGGAATATATTTGAAATACAATTTTCTATACTTAGGAAGTGTCAAAGCTGTTGCAATTTTAATATTTTAGCTGATTCAATATTTTTAACGTTGTTTTAAACTAATTTCTTCTTATTTTAGACTGTCAGAACCAATGAAAGGAACGGAGTTCCAATTCCTCGAATCTTTCAACAACAAAGACCCATGCCAGACGTCACTGTGGAGAATCTAAAGGAATCTTTTGATCAATCTGTCATCGATTCCATCTTCAACATCCTTCTAAAACTGGCTACATCGGTGGAACAGTCAGTGTCCCAAACGATGGATCCGAATGTACGGAGAGCGTTGATGCTACTTCGATTGGCTGTCAAACCTCACATCTTTGGAGAATCCAAATTTAAATTGACTTTACTTGAGAAACCGTTTGCTGATTTTGCATCACTTCAACCAGATGTACAGCAACAACCTCCAAGGATTAGTATTGTGGTTGGAACACTGGATGTGATCACTACTATTATTGCTGGATTGGTTAGTATATTGGGCGTTTTGATAGTATTATATTATAGGATTTGTACATAAGCAATGCAGTTTTTGGAATATTTTAGGTTTTTTTGAAACAAATCATGTTGTTGTAGATATAATTTTAATATATTAAAATATTTTATTAATTTTTAATACTTTTTAGTCTGGAGATACCTTAAAAATGATCGTTGGCAGATTAGAAAAACACTTGGCAAACTGTCTCACCTACCCATATACACCTATCAGCCAAGCTCTTATTAAGTTTTTGACCAAATTTGTCGAAGTAACAGAAATCACATCTTATGGAGCAGAACAATTCGAAGAACTCAACAACGCTCTTCGTCGCTACATCAACAACAATATAGTGGCGATACAGAATGCTCCGTCTCTGAACGGCGGCAGTGTCATCAGCCAAATTACTGTAACTTTGGCTTTGTTCCGGGTGTTTTGCAAGATCAATTCAGCTTATATCGATCCGTACTTGGGCAATTTCTTCAAGTTCTTCTTGAGATTAACCAAAGATTACAGTCCAGTACCGAGCTCGCAGTCAGATCGACCGTTAGAGTTTATCATATTGAGTATGGAGTTGGTACGGCCAAGAATTGCGACTTTGGAGTTTGAAAGTAGGAGAACATTGCTACAGCTATTGATGCATTTGACCGAGAAAAACCTGCCGGAAAGGCTGATGGACAAGCTTGTTCAGATCATGACGGAGTTGATTAAGGTAAAGATAAGAAAAAGGCGTTTTTAATTGAATTAAAAATGAATTTAAAGTACATAAATCATGTTGTTTTAGTAAGAGAAGGCGGTGATAACAACAGTTTTAATATTAATAATAATTTTTCAGTACGACAAAGAAGTGGTACCAAACTATTCGGTCCAGTTATTATCAAAGCTCATTCCTCTGCTTCAAAAACAATATCACAACTCGAGTACGACTGTGTTGCGCTTCCTCAACATTGTACACTCGATTTTCAATGACAAAGACCTACGAAAGTCTGACGGTGCACAGAAGCTTCAGACGGCCTTCTTCTGGGGATTGGCCAATTCTGATGAGAGCACCAGACGATCCTTCTTCCAGCTGTTTGAATCCCAATTTCCGAGGTCTTTATTTGAGAGAATTATGTTTATTTTGGGTGAACAGAACTGGATTCCGATGAGTAACACCTTCTGGATCAATCATTGTTTGAATGTCATCATGAAGTGGGTTTTTGAGGGTATTTGGACTTAAGTCGATATTAAGTTGTTCAAATAATTCTGTACTCCTTTACTTAGAAAAGTGAAGGAGCACTGAATGTTTTGAACAACATACTATTATTTTTCTAAAATTTTGTTTCTGAAGAATTATTTAATTTTTTCTTTCAGAGCCGTCCTACCTCCAGCCAATCAAAAAACCACCATATCCTTGTTAAATGGTCGCACTTTTGATAGTGAACGTCGTCAGTTTGCTGGCATTGAACTGTCCGATATAAGTGTTGCGGAACCAGAAGAAGAAATCAAAACTGAAGTCATGGATACAGATGCTAATGTATCATCTGTAGTTAATACTTTAATGTGGAGAAATTCTCCTATCACTCCTGACGCCAAAGTAACTCCAGAACAACTCATGGACTTTGAGAATCAGTAAGTTTGATATAGGGTTTTTAAATAGTTCTGTGCCCTAACCCCGAAATTTTTTTGAGAGGGGGCACAGAATTATTTGGACAGTTTTATAATTGATAAAATATGTAATTTTAGACTACTGGCCGACCCTCCCACTCAACCAGACGACTTCCTTCGCTCATTGATGGAGATGTGTTACACTGATGTGAGACTATGCAAGAAGATGTTCATCGACTTTTTTGTTTCGATTTGGAGCCAAATGCCGATGGATGAAATGGAGAAACGGTCTAAAGTGGCGTCGTTCTTCTTGTGCAGTGGAGTTGCCTTAACTACTGCTGACATGCCCATAACACCATTGAATTGTTTCTACGAAGCCCTGATTAAATGCCAGTCGGATATTAAACTGGATGCTCAAATGATGGAGTAAGGAAAAGGGTTTTGATGATCTTTATTGTTTTAGCTAGGGCTGTTGCGTTAAAAATCATGTTTTTTTAAATGTTTTTTTTTTAAATTTATTATATTTAAAATGACATTTTAGATACCTCGCAACAACTCACAAAGACTGGTACAATGTTTTAGATCGAATGGAAAGTAAATTCAGGAAAAGTCAGCTAGCCAGACACATGATGAACTCCACCAGACTGTACCATGACGATATTCGTCTGATGGATGCGTTATCATCATTGTACGAAAGGCTAGGAGAACATGACTTACTGGCAGCAATGTGGAGAAAGAGGGCTTGTTTAAATGGTACCATTGAAGCTATTCAGTTCTACCATCAAGGAATGTACAGAGAGGCTCGGATTCAGGTAAACAATATTTTATGATTTAAGCTCACTGATGGTTTTGAAATTTAAAGGTTTTGTTTTTGTAAAGTAGAAGCTATTTTGGTCCATTTCAGAGTCGACTAGCGATCAAAAAAGGTCGTGAACTCTTCTCCCAAGACGCTCTAACAGACCCAACACAACAACAAACAGTAACTTCAACAGCCCCATTCTACGACATCAGAGTAGTCGATATAGAGCTACGAAAACTAGAGGAGATCTGGATTCAAAGTTGTACAGAAATGGGAGATTGGAAGACTCTACTACAATATGTCAACAACCCAGATGTCGCGAACACAGAAGTCCTGGCTGATGCTGCTTGGCATCTCGGAGAATGGAGATTGTTAAGAGAACTGAGCAATCAAATCGAAGCTACAGGACAAAAGGAACAAGTCGCCAAAGCCCTCCTCTACCGAACCATGTGTAATATCACCGAATTCGAATTGAATCAGAACCGCAAGCTACTGGAGTACAATCCCACAGAAGTCTCGAACACTTTGATCGCCGAATGGCGTCAACTACCATCAATCACAAGCGAGGTACACATGCAAGTACTACGCAAAGCACAACTGGTACAGGAAATTACGGAGAGCGCTACAGTAGGACAGACGGCTTGCGAGAAAATGATAACGGTAACCACAGCTGACAGCTACAATTACAACACTAATCGTATTCAGTTCCACGTCGACAACGCCATGGTCAACGAGATCAAGCAGTTTATCAAGACATGGCGTTGTCGGGCATCCTACCTCTCCGTAGACCCACTTTCCCATCTGTCATCAACCTTTGCTTGGCGTGTACAACAATACTTCAATGTGATGAGGATTTTCGACGGAGCTGACAGTAGCTCTGTTCCTCACCAAGGTCAGATGCAACCTCTGCATTCGATCGCTCAAGCTCAAATCATGTTCGCCAGAATGTACAAGAAGGCCGAGTTGTACGAGGAATCGATGCAGCAACTCGCTCAGCTACACGCCATGACCAAGATCTACCGTATCGACGGATGCATGAGGATCATCGAAGAAGCCAAGTGCTTCATGGGTCTGGCCGAAAAAATTGGCCGCGTCCAAAAGTACCAAGACCGATGTGTTGACGAGAACAAAGTCAACGTATCATACGGTCTACAGTCGTACGAACGGTTACTGTACGGTAACGAACACACCGCCTTCATTGAGAAAGCCCTCGAGCTTGTAGACAGTGTGAATCCAGCACTATTCCCGAAAGAACTGGCCGCCAGTGTATTCACATTGCGAGCTCAGATACTGTCAACTATTGGCAAGATTACTGAAGCTGATCGTACCTTCTCTATAGCTGCTCAGTTGGCTGAAGATGCACCTCCTTTGCCAGCGTCCTTGAACGGAAAAACCGTTTGGAAGTATTGGGCGGTGCATCTGGAGCAAAAGTTTTGTCGAAAGCTGAGGGATGTGACTTCAGAATCTCTGACGGAGTAGGTTCAAATTGAAAAAGTTTAATTTTTTGATCTAAATTTACTTTTTAGGCATGATTTGGCCAAAAACAGTGTTAAAGCTAATGTTAACAATGACATTTTACTGATTTATAATCTTATTTTAGTGACCTTTTTAAAGAAATTCGGGGAATTGGCGTAGAAGCTCTGACGTCGCTGATGGAGATGCTTCGTACCGTTACAGAAACCAAAGTACGACGATACATGTGTAGATTCTTCCACGTCTACAGGTCCATTATGGCGTTGGATGCGATTGTGGGAGAAGAAAGACTCGAGAACATGAGGAACGAGGCTTCTGAAGACGAAAGACTGCTTTTGATGCCAATGGACGAGCTGCTTCAGAATCAAGCTACTGCTATTCCAGTTGTCATGTGGCTGTTTTGGTAGGTATTTGGTTAAAGTAATATTGTTTCCTAGCTTCTAATCGTTTGAACCTCGGTTAAAACCTATTTTTGCTGATATACTAATCTACTGTAATATCAAAGCTCATCTTACCTACTACAACATAAAATTCTTGTTTTAGGCTGGAACAAATCATCAAAGAAGTGTCGGAAAGAGGTAGCAAAGGAATGGCAGCGTTATTGCGCAGGATCGCTGATACATACCCACAACAGACGTTGGTAGCTATCAGGACAGTCTTATCGCCACAATTGATTACCCAAAAGATCGAGGATTGTAAGTTAGGCTTCTCTTCATGACCCTGAATGTAAAAAATGTACCATTGTGAAATTACATTTAAAATGGCATAAAAATATAACTATTAGGTTGTTCAAGTAATTTTGTGCCCTTTCTGAAAGAAAATTTTAGAGGTTAGGAGGCACAGAATTATTTGAACTATGTAATAGTACAATATGGGAGTGAACAATTTAATATTGTAAAATACCAACTTTCAGTGCAAAAACGCCTCCCCCTGATCAGCGATTGGATGAAATGTGCACCACCTTTGGACGAACGGGACGAAAAGAGCTTCCAATCACAAGATGTGAAAATGAATGAATCAGAAGATGAAGTCGTACCAGAACAAGACCATCCAGATCATGAATATCTGGCCAGAAAGAGAGACGAATCTCTAAAAGTCACCATCAGAACCTTGATTTTGTTGGAGAAGAAGGTGGAATCCGAACAAGACAAAGAGAAGAAACTAAAGCTGGAAGAGATCAAAACACTTGTGAATCAAAGAATTTGCATGTTACAGTACTTACAGGAGAATAATTTTGTTCCTAGAGTCGAGAATCTGAAAAAAGAAAGGGAATTCAGATTGGAAACGAGTGTTGAAAGAGAGTTTGAAGTGTTGTCATTGGAGAATTCTGATGGTGAAGGTGAAGACGAAGGGTTTGTGAAGGTAAGGCGACGATAAAGTGGTAGGAAAGGTGTAAAATATAACGTAAGATGTCATTATTGACTAATGAGAGCGGTTATTGACTTATACAAAAACAGTTGATAAACAATTTTTAAGGAAAAAATAAAAAAATGGTCAGAAATTGGGCGCAGCTTGGGAAAAATGTTCTGCAAGCTGCGCGAACATTTCATACTTAAAATTGTTGATTGTTTAATGAAAAAAAGTTTGAAAAAAAAGGATTTTTTATGAATTATAGTCTTAATCAATTACAATATTTTTTTAATTAAATGTTAAAATTTTGTCATTTAGAGTCCATTTTAAAATTTTTAGATAAAAGTTCCACGAAAGAAATCGACCGAATCCATGGACATTCTCATCGATACTCGAAACTTGGCCAAAGACGACTATGACATTGAAATCACTTTTGGACGCCAAAAAGATGGTCTAAAAGCAACAGAGCTGGAACTGAAAGAGAATGAAACAAGGAAAGAGGAAGAAGCGATGCCATTGTTGTTGAGTGTCATCGACACTGTCTGTATCGATCGTTACGCGGACATCAAAGCCTTGAATCAGATTCTGAATGAACTCGACAACTTCCCTGAAACCTGGGCGGAGCAGGTTTATAAACGACTGGTCGATTTGGTTCATCTTCTTAATGTGTAAGGTCTTTGATTATGTTGAGTTTGATTAGTTATAATTTGTATTATAATATTTATTTGGGTATATTTTTTAAGTATATTTTATGCTTTGTGTAAAACACAAATTGATTGTTAAAAGTTATGTAAAATACGTCGTTTTGACGATTTTTTCATGTATAAATCAATGTTTTTAGCGAGCTACGTCAAAAAGAAGAGCTAGAGCTGGTTTCTGATGAACTACAAGCAGCTTTGAAGACGTTATATGACAGACTTTTGGAAATCAAGCCGCTGAATGTTGAGTTAAGTCCGGTAGAAGTTGAAATCGAAGGGAAGATTGCTGTAGAATGTCGAAAAATGAAAGAAAATGAGGCAAAACCTACCTTACAGCTAATGAAACAATGGCTGGCTGAGTTCTTGATGCCATTGGAAGAGTACCTGAAGGGATTGGAAGGGTAAGACGGAAATCTTATGATTGGTTTTTAGTAAAGTTCAATCATTCTTCTATTATTTTATGTACCTAACTGGATGTTTCTTTTCAGAATGGTCTTCCTAGCCGATCTCTCACCGTTCCTCTCACGATTCAATGGAAAGTCAGCTCAAGTTGATGTACCTTCAATGTGGATATCGACCAGAAATTGTCTTCACAGTGCTCAGATTGCCTACTTCTTACCAACATGTCAACGTATCTTCAGAGGAACTGGAATTGCTTATATCTTTTCGGTTTTATCACAAAATGGCAAAGTATTCTCGTATCTGCTACAACGCGAAGAAGCGAACAAATTCAACAACAGATGGAATCAGATGATCATCATGTTGAACGCTGAGATTCAGAAGAATAGAGTGAGTTTAAATTGATGTTATAGTAGATATTCGTAAATTTGGTGTTACAATAAAACGGGTTGTAATGAGAAGATTTGGGTCGGTATTGAGGCTTTTTGGGTTTATACGAGGTTTGGGTCGTTACTTGGTCAACAACTTCATAGAAAAGTTTTTTTTTCTGTTGGACTTAGCTTTTCGATTTTTTGATTTGGGCTTGGCGATTACTGATTATATTTTGCATAGTTAACCAAGTTTTTATATTTTTTTCAAACTGTTTTTTAATTTTTAAAAAGTTTACAAAAAAATGACATTTTAATTCCAGGAAATGAGCCGTCGCCAACTACACCTTCCAACTGCCTTCAAGTTCCAAACAGGGCCTCGAAAGGTGATAACCGAAATGTATCCTCTCTCATCGGCCGCTTCGTTCCCTCAAACAGAAATCGACCGGTCAACCAATTCCCTCCTCTCCCTAACCTCATTGGCCCAACGAACCCTCTATCGATCGTGGCCACAAATCTCTCTATGGTCGGATCACAACCCGGCAGTGATGGAAACCGAGTTCTCGGATTGGATGAGAGAACACTACCCAGACACGGCGACGTTCTGGACGGTGAGGAAGAAGTTGTCGCAACAGTGGGGCCTTCTGATGGCATTAGAATTGGCATTCGGGCTGAAAGAGGTCGACTTCGATAGTACCTTTGTCGGAATGTTCACAGCACAGTTGTTTGTCACCAAATCGGAGATGAAGATCAAATTTGAAAATGGAAAATGTAAGGATTTTTTAGGGTCGGGCAAGGGTTTTTTTGTTTGGTAGGGGGAGGGGGGGGGGGAGTGTTTTACAGAACAAAGTATATAACTTTATTAAAAATGAAACTTTAAACAATTTATTGTTTTTCAAATTTTTTCGAACTTAAAAAAATGTCATTATACCATATTAAGGTTTTGTAGAAGAGTAATTTCTTTCTTTCTTTTTAGTCTCACTGGATCTCGCCACGAATTCCTTGCGTTTGTCGCCTAATATCTCCGAATTCTTCCAGACATATCATCTGAACGAAGCCGTCTTCTTGTCAGGCCATCTGACTGGAGCCTTCGTTTCGACCTGTCGATTCCTGGCAGCTTCGAAGACAGTACCATTAATCCTAAGAGCTTTGTTGTGGGATCAACTGGAGGAGTTGAGTGGCGATCAATGGCAAAAGCCTGAAGTTCAGTTGGAAGCCATGGACTTTTGCAATCGGACGGTCGCGGAAATTGTGGACAGAATATCAGGTATGGGCGTTGGAGGGGATAAGGGGGTTGTTTTAGAGAAATGTTTGAATACAGGGGTAGATTGGGTTCACAGGTGCCTGTAAGTGTGAAAATTAGAAAAAGTTTTTAAAAATTTGTGCACTTGTGGACCAAAAATTTGTTTTTTGACTCTAGAAAAATCTGTAGGGAATTTCCTGGATCGGGTACCTACCTATGTTAATATTGACGGAAAAACTATTTTTGAGTTGCTAGAATGAAATGGCGCGGTGTAAATCAAAATTTTTGTTATAAATTTGTATCGTGATCTTCATTTTCTAAAAATTCGGTTTTGACGCGCCATTCTTTTTGCATCAACGTGATTTAGAGTTTTTTTAAAATTTAATAATTTTTTTTTCGAATTTAAAAAAGGGACATGACATGCTTTTTTGATGATAAAAAGTGTTCAAAACATTCAAATTAACGATGATTTCAATGTTTTTACGTGTAAATCTGGAAATTTTAAATTTCGAGATTTGTGGATGAATAGAGTTAATTACACCTATATTTTTGCTATTTCTAAATTTTCAAATTGACTATGTCACTTTACATGCATATTTACATCTTTGAAATGAAATGTATTTTGTCACTTTACTTACATATTTTGCAATTTTTAAAATTATGACATTTTCAGGTTTGGCACAGTTCAAAACAGGCCAATTCAAAGCTCTGGAGCCGGTCATCGAAGCCGCCAAAGGCCGAAACCAAACTCCAGATTACTGTCCTTGGTTCTAAGTGGTATGAGCGAGCCAACTAACTTGTTTATGTTTACTCTGATGTCATAACCTCCTAATTTATTATTTTTTTAATTGTTGTATAAAGTTTTGAAAATATAGTATTTTGGGTAACATTATATTCGGTCTACAAGTACCAAATTACGTTTTTTAACAGTTTTGACGAAGTCTAGTCAAAGAAATACTAATTGATAAAAAAATTAATATTAGATTGTTCAAATAATTCTGAGCTTCTTCTCAAAGCAAATTTTGGGGGTTAGCGGGTACAGAATTATTTGAACAACTAAATATTATAATGTTAGTGCTTTTTACAAACATGATTAATCATAAGTGTCACATATTTAAAAAATGGGTGTTTATGTTTTTATAGTGGTATCAATCCTGTAGTTAAGTTATTATGTTGTTATAGTGCTCATTAAGCGGTAATAGATGTGATGGCACATGGAAAGTATGACCTATATAAACGACAAATTTGAACTTTGGTAAATAGTTATATTCGGAATGTAAAGGGGAGAGTAATTACTACATTATTATGTTTATCACTATTATTTTAGAGTATTTTCTCTTAAAGGAGCTTAATTTTGAGTTTGAACCACTATAAAAATGCTTTGGCACTTAAGTTTTTAGGTCATAAGTAATAGGTCAGATTGAATTTTTTTGGATTAGAGGGCAGAGTATTGTTTAAATAACTTAATACATTAGTTTTTAAAGGTTTTTTTACTAAATTAGACTTGTTTTACGTAGTTCGTTAACGCTTGCTTTCCTACCTTAAACTACGTTGAACGCCTTTGACAGTAAACCTATAATAACTCTCAAAGTAAACCCTATGGTATCTTCAATCATACTCAACGCTTTTCTTTTAATGTAACAGCAAAAACGGAAACCTTTAGGTATAATTTATGAGACGAAATACGATACATTCGCAGATTATGCAAACGCATTGTTTCGGGAATTAAATTGGCACTTGGCTTTTGTGCCGGGGGGCATGGGAACGGTGGCGTGGCTGAGAGGGGAGGGGACTATATTATTGTCTTCTTCTGGTGATGACAACCGGTTTTCGGATGGTGGCATCGTTTTTTTGAGGGACTGTGGCTTTTATTTTTTGTGGTCAGAACGTTCGTAGAATTGAGGTCAAAAAGTACGTAGAAGTCGGGTAATAAGGTTTATAGAAGGATGATCAAAAAGTAAGTGGAAAGAGGGAGACAAGTAGCTAAAAGGGGTCTAAAGGTAACTTTGTGAGCTTTCTTTTTGTGATGGTCAAAAAGTACGTAGAAGTGGGGTAAGAATGTACATTGAAGATTGGTCAAAAAGTGTTTGGAAAGAAGATTAAAGAGTAGATGGAAAAGTGGTTGAAAGGTGGCTTCTTAGTCTATAAAAGAAGCTTACTGTATTTTATATGGCCTATAACAACATAATTTTTATTTTTTCGAAAACAATCAACTTCTGCCTTCAAGAATCTGTCTTTTGCCGTGTTTCACGAACGGTATCCTCTCGCTTCCGGGCCGTTCTCTTCGTTCCTCGGACAATATTCGTATTTTCAAGAACAATATTCCCCCAGCCTTAAGCATCGCCCGAAGGGGTTCTATTTGCATGTTTAGGGAACGAGGAAAGGAGGAAGACAAGGTTTGTGGGGCCGGAATCACACGCTTCGCGAAAGGCCAAGAGGTGGAGTGCCGGCTGTTTTTTATCGAAAAACAATTTCACCCCCTCAGGCGGCGTGTAGCTTCTTCAGGGGGGGGGGAGGAGGAAGGCGCCGAAGCGCGAGGCGTCCGTCTTCTACCTACTTTTTGCCTCTACTTTTTGTCTGTCCTTTAAACTCTTTAGGGACCGCTGGGGGCAGGGAGAACAACAAAAAACCGCCGGGGGGATGGCCAGAAGTCGCAAGTTCGAAGCCGGCCTTTTATTCTCGGCCCCAGGAGAAAAACGGGCGACAGATTGATCCCTCCGCCACTTTTTCATACATTTTCCAAGTTTCGGCCCAAATATTGTCGGCCATAATATTATAGTACGAGGCGAAGGTTGGGCCCGGCTTCAGTGTTTGAGGATTGGTCATCACTATTAGATTTGGGGCCGGTTTAACGGGATTACGGTAGATACAACGCGGTTTGAGTGGGATTACGATAGATGGATTGGGAATTGTATTATGAAGAGTATAGTCCCCGTCAATTAAAAGGGCAGCCTTCGTTCTTTGAGATGGTAACACCTAAACAAAAAATTTTTTCTGTTATCGATAGACCGATGATTTTCATGCAAATTTTTAAAAAATCAAGAATTTTGCTTTTATTTTACGAGCTACAGAAATTATTAAAATTTTCAAAGCAGCAATTAAAAGGGAAGTCTATAAAATATTCAAATATAATGTTTACTTTATGAATTATTTCTTTGTAAAACGTGACTACGCGTGTTTTTTGGACAGTGAATATGTTATCAAAAGTACAGAAACGAAGAATCATCGACTTGTACATTGATATTGGCAATTGCAACATAGTGGCTGAAAGGTTGGGTCATTCTGTTAAGACTGTACTGAAAGTGATCAAAGCAACTCCACGGAAGTAAAGAAAACGACCACCACGTCCCAAGTTAATAGATGAACGAATTGGAAGACAAATCATACGATCATTTCAGCCAAAATTACTGCCGGACATCTAGTAAACCCAGGAATGGTAAACAGTGAGTTGAATTTGATACGTTCCAAAAGTGTTGTGCAACTGTTTCTGAAGACAAGTGATGTGCAATATCAAAAAACTCGACAATTACTGGAATTAAGCCCTAATCATCGACAACGAATGACGTTTGCCAATAACCACTTACGAAGTTCTACCAACTTTAAGAAATGGATCTTTAATGGTGAAAAAAGATTCTGTGATGACGGGACTGACAATATGGGGACATATGTACTCAAAAATTCATTTCACCCCCCCCTGGATTCCGCCATCAAGGTGGTTTGGTTAATCCAACTCAATTCCGGGTCGATTGGTGTCTGCTTCGGTCAAAAATGGCAATACTATATAATATATTTGTTTCGTATTAATAAAGCTTCCCTTTTAATTGCTGCTTTGAAAATTTGAATAATTTCTGTAGCTCGTAAAATAAAAGCAAAATTCTTGATTTTTTAAAAATTTGCATGAAAATCATCGGTCTATCGATAACAGAAAAAATTTTTTGTTTAGGTGTTACCATCTCAGAGAACGAAAGCTGCCCTTTTAATTGACGGGGACTATATGAAGCAGTTTTGGGAAGTCATGGTAGACATTGTAATGTTTGGTAGGCTACTGTATAGGGTATCGAAATGAATTAATGGCTATAGTTTACAGTGTATCTTTATGAAGATATAGCCTTAATTTTAAAATAAATTTGGCTGTTTTTGCGCAGTAAATTTTACTGCAAAGTAAAAGTTCAAAAAGCAGATTTTGGGTAACAAAACACTAGCGTTTTACTTTTAATTGGTAAACAAGAATATTGTACTTTGCGTGCTTAAAAAATTAACTTTTTTGTATTTGAAAGCGTGCACATAACATATATATGCCTTAGTACAAACTTACCGACTGTTAGCGCTACTTTACCGACTGTAAAACCCATTTCACCCTTGACTTTTCAGTAATATACCCATACTTTTTTAGTAACTCATTCATACCTTTTCAGTAAGTGATGAACAGACCTCCCTTGCTGTAATATATGCAAGTCATGGCGGTCGCTGATCCACCGCCGGCCGTGATGAACGGGTCTGAGGACAACGTGCGCAAGATCACGACCGCCTCCAACAGCACGGCATCGGCCGCGTTGGCCGCCGCTGCAGCCGACGCCAGCGCCGACTATCGTGTCGCCGTGTTCGGGGCCGGCGGCGTGGGGAAGTCGTCGATTGTGCTGCGATTTGTGAAAGGGACCTTCTCCGACAACTACGTCCCGACCATCGAGGACAAGTACGACCAGGTGATCAGTTGTAATCAGAAGAGTGTGTGCACGCTACAAGTCACTGATACCACCGGAAGTCATCAGTTTCCGGCGATGCAGAGGCTGAGCATCAGTAAGGGGCACGCTTTTATATTGGTGTACTCGATCACGTCGATCCAGAGCTTCGTCGAGTTGAGGTTGATATGGGAGATGATAAAGGAAGTGAAGGGAGATCAGTTGAGTGACGTGCCCGTCATGTTGGTGGGCAACAAGAAGGACGAGGAGTCGGTAAGGGCAGTTTTGAAGGCTAAATTTTTGAAAAATGCATTTTCTGAGTTAAGTTCTAGTTAAAATTGACTCTTTTACTATATTGAAATAGGTCCAAGCTAGAGTTTACTCAAAATTGTGTAAAAAATTTTAACTTTTTCAATTTAAATTTAAAAAATTTAAAATTTTCTAAACTTTTTACTAAACTTATGGTAGTAAAAAGCCTATTTTGGACCCAGCATAATGCTGTTGTTTGTTCGATACGATATTAATAACGCTGTAAGCACCCGCTGTGCTCAATAATATAATATTTTTGGATTTGTCCTCAGGGCTTGTTCTAAAAGTTTTTCGTGCAGGAAATGTAATATAAGACAAAAGGCACTTATCTTTTGTTTTTCCAAAGCACAAAGTAGTAATAGGGCTATTACTGTAACAGTAAATTGAAAAACGTTACAGTTAAAATGGAAAATTATGATTATATTGTAGTAGAACAAAATTTTTTATTAAAAACATTGAAATACAAAACGTTTTGTTGTGTATTAGGTTGTTCAAATAATTCTGTGCCTCATTATTGGATTGTTCAAATAATTCTGAGCTCCTTAACTCTAAAAATTTACTATGTGATGTAGCTCAGAATTAATTGAACAACCTAATGTAACAGGTTTTTGTTTTAAAATACGATTAAATGTAAAGTAATATACAGTAAATAAATATTGTAAAGTAAAAAACATTTTTTTTTATTTTTGAGTCAAGAAATGTAAAATACGTTATGTATCTTCATGAAAAACTTTTAAAATTTCAGAAGCGGCAGATCAAAGGCTCTGTTGGCCAGGAACAAGCTCAATTATGGGGCACAGGATTTATTGAAACTAGTGCCAAAAACAACGAAAATATTACAGAGTAAGTTTTTTTATTATTAGGTTGTTCAAATAATATTGTGTCTTGTTATCAAATTGTTCAAATAATTTTGAGCCCTATTATTATGTTGTTCAAATAATTCTGAGCCTTATATAAAAGCAAATTTTCAGGGTTGTTAACTCAGAATTTATTATAAATTGCTTTGAAAGGGGGCACAGAATTATTTGAACAACATAATATTGCGACTGTAGGTCATCACTTCTATAGCATGGTGGCTTACTGTTTCTCTTCTAATCTGGACTATTCTTTAAAGTTTTAAGCTTTATGCAAAAAAAAACAGTACCAACTGCACTTTTTTTTCCTACTTTTCAAATTTTACTGTCATGACATGTCATTTTACATTTGTTTCGTTAAAATATTCAAAATAGCCATTTTCGAGACGAAAACGTTAGTGCCAGCCGTCTTTTAACGCGTGAAATTTCATAAATTTCAAAGCGTTGTCACTTCATACATAATATAATTGTTTTTTCTCGAACTCAACTTTGAATTGGCTTCGTATAACCAGTAATTGGATGTTACAATCGTAAAACTTGCAATTTGTTACGAAAACTTTTAAAAAAAGTTAATTCGCCTAAAGCATTTTAAGTTTTGGTAATTTTACATTTAATTTTGGTTTTTACAATAAGAAATTACTCTGTAATTTTTATGGTCTTAATTAAAACTGATATTTTGCGTTACCCTACCATATTCTACCCAGCCTTGTCGTGTCCTGTTCTGTCGTGCCCTGCCCTGTCATGCCTTGCCTTGTCTTGCGCTACTACTACCCTATCTTACGTACCTAGCCTTGTCTTACCTTACCTTACCCTACCTTGTTTTACTCCACCCTACTCTGCTCTACTTTGCCCAGACCTTTCCCCCCCTACTTCACCCTACCCTACACTGCCCTGCTTTGTTCTACCTTATCTTACCCTACTTTTTACGGTCTTGCCCTGCCTTATGCAAATTCTTTCAGCCCTACTCTATATCAAACTACCCTATATCGCTTTACCTTACGTTACAGTAGGCTTTGTTGTATTTCAAAAAATTCAAAAAATTTTTTTAAAAATCAAATCTTATCATCTGCCACTTTCAGATTATTCCAAAAACTGCTTTCCATGGAAAAGAAACGACATTTGGCCTTAACGGCGAACGACGAGGACGCCAAGAACGGCGCGCGACGCCGCTGTAACCTCATGTAAACCCAAAAATGAAACCGGTTTGTTTGTTACTGTACAGTAGATGAATCCACACAGAATTCTAAGTTATTCTCACGTATTTTATTTAATAAAACTGTGACTGTAAGACGACATTGAGATCTTGATATGAGGATAAATACGATAGATACCACGGTAGGGATGTGCACGGTAAAGAGTTATGTATAGGGTTATGAACATAGTAAATAGTGAACAATAAAGAAGATAGTCAATCATGTACAAGATGAGTATAGTTAACAAAATAAAGGAAAATAAACAGAGTTATGACATTTAAGAAGTTTGTGACTGGTAAAACACGCTTAAAATTAACATTACGGTAAGAATACTGTAGCTTTTAAGAAAAAATTATGTTACAGTAATACATAAGGCCTTCCTACATGTATCTATCAAAATAAAAATCATGATTTGAGTACAAAAAATAAGTTATCAGACGATAAGCAACTTACTATAACATAAGACCTGATGTTCAATGTACAAGAATTCCTGCATCACAGTACGATGCGTATAACATTAAACATAGAATAATGATGTGTAATATACATCATCAAGTCTCTATACAATTTTTGACCTTAAACAGCATCAATTGCAGCTGACGCTATTCCAGAATCCAGACTGGCATCAGAATTCCTCGATGTGTTTCCAGTGCCATTCCTTGTAGTACCCACACTGTCCTGACTGATCTGACTCAACTCGCTGTCGTGGCTGACATCGCTGCTTTGACTATTTAACGTCATACTCTTGTCATGGTGCTCAATCTTATCGACCAGTCGATTTTCGTCAAACAAACCTTTGCCGATCGCTTCATTTTCGAAGAAAGTCTTGTTTACCGGTCGATCTTCGATGCCATTTCTCTCTGCTTGACTCTCAATTGTCTTATCAAGTCTCTCCATTCCCTTATCCAGTCTCTCATCGACCAGCGGCATCTTCTTGTCCCCGACTTTGTCGCGGTTGATCAATCGTCGGCCCAGGTATCGATTGCTGGCTCTGGGCGGGATCGGAATCCGGAGAATCGAGTTCTTCCGCGAGAAATACTGAACGTTCGGCTTCAGATTGTCCACATCGTCGTCGTCCTCCACGTACAGGCGTGTGATCGCCGACATTGACGCGCTGAACGGCTGCGACACCATCGGTCGCCATTCGTCGTCTTCTTCGGCGTTCGAGGACAGCGACGTCTCGCTGGACGAGCGATTCTGAATCCCCTGCTTTTCGCGAAGGTCTTGGATCGTGTCGCCGAGGGTCAGGAGCTTTTCGAACAACTGAATGTCGTTTTCGATTAAGGAGATCTGAAACGAGGGAAAGTTAGACGTTGGGAAAGTAATGGAACATTATTTCTTTGAAGTTTTGTTTTTTTTGCAAAATATTTATGTTAACATTGAGAAAAAGGTCTGAAAAATAAAAATTGACCATATGTCGAAGAAAATAATTTTTGCCGCTGTAAACCAATGTTATGGAGCCCAAAACAATATTAAAAGAAGCTCTTGAGGTGAATGAAAAATATCTAAAACATGTTCCGTTGTGGTCTAGTGGTTAGGATTTGCGGCTCTCACCCGCAAGGCCCGGGTTCGATTCCCGGCAACGGAAGAAGATTTTTTGCTCGTTTTTTCTCGATTTTTCGACAATTTTAAAAGAAAAAAAGCTTTAAAACTATTCTAAAATACGATTTTGATTTTAAAATACGGTCCTAATTTAATTTTTTTTGCAAGATAACGTTAAAAAGGTTTTTTTTTAGTAAAATTTCTTTGTTTTTCACCAGAACTACTGTTATGACAGTCTATAAAATGCTCTTTAGACCTTCTGGACTTTAAACTTCAATTATTTGTTTTACAACCCAATTCCTCTTGAACCAAAAGCACTCTTTAGCCCAAAAGCAGTCGTCAAAACAAGGTCGTTAATCAAACCGAGTGATTAATCAACTCACCATCTTCTGTTTCAGCATCTGAAACGCGTTGCAGTTTTCAGCAGATGGTGGAGCGGCTTCGGCTGACGATGACGCAACTGGCTCTTCTGAATCTGAATGTGTGGATTCTCGATTTCTGGCTTCTGAATCAGACCCTCTGCTTTCAGTTTCTGACTTTCGGGCCTCTGAATCTGAATTTCTCGATTCAGAATCACCATTTAAGGCTTCTGAACTCTGATTCATGGTTGTTTTGGCTTCTGAATTTGTAGAGATATTGTCCATGGAACAGAACGACTTCGACTTTTTGTAGCGTTCCAAGCGACGTACTCGACTTTCGCATAGTTTGCGGTACGTACTGAACTTGTCTGGGTTGGAATTGCGTTCGTATTTTGGGACAAAGTCATCACGCATCTCTGGAAATGATTTAGGTTAAAAAAGGTGTTATAGTACTTAGTTTGTTACTTAAATAGTACTGAATTTGGAGTAAAATCACATGATATGGTATGACACGTAAAATCATCGCGTTTTTATTAAATTTTAAAATTTTGAAAATAAAAAAACATGAATTTTGTAGCTAAGTTTATGTACCTAAATATATCAAAGAATAATTTTTTTTACAGTAAGCCAATGCAAAGTTGTGATGAATGTACCACAACATACCAGATGTCTCTCTAAATCAACTTTTTTCTCCCAAAACTTAAAAACTTGTTTTCAAATACTTAAATTATCTCAAACTACTCTACTATAACATTCCAAAACTCCCCCACCCCACCCTCAGTCCGAAAACACCTTCATTAGCCCGATATTATCATAGACACCACCCGCCACAACAAGAACAACATAAAAAACAGCAAATGTATGACAAAAATCCGGAAGGTTAACGCTCGAATTCCATTAAATAAATATCTCTTATCACTTAAGGGAAGAGGGCTTTGGTTGTTGATTAACGCGCACACCACGGCTCTCTAGCAAATTCCACCAAACCCTAAGGGTTTCGCTTTAAAACATTTCAAAGAAATAGCCAAAACGTTGGTTTGGAACAGGTAACAGAGGGAACAACTGTTTGTTGTGGTAAGGGGTCATTGATATTGTAGTAGGTAGTACTTAGGGCGTAGTAAGTATCATACTTATTTTGAAAAACATTACAGTACAGTAATCTAAATATAAAAAAAGGCTACAGAACTCCTAATATTCAAAAAGTTATAGTAACCTGAATTACCAAAAAAAGTTACAGTAAACTTAATACACAAGAAATTACAATAAACGCGAGACTTTAAAAACAGCAAAAAACATTAAAACTACCACAGTAAATACGGTGAAAACAAGCAATATTGATGCCAAAACCAATAACAACAACATACGACGAAGCGATACCTCTAAAAAGGTAAATAAAGTTGCAAAACTTCCGTTTACCTTATCGAGAAACAACAATAAAAGTTGTTAATTCGATTACAACATCTTCCTCTAGCGCTATTTACCTCGGTATGCGTGGTATGTTACTTTATAGTAATGTGAGTAGAAGCTCCTTATAGTAATCAGAGTAGAACAAGAGGCTGGTTTACCCTACCCTTGCCACACCATTGCCCTTGCCTTGCCTTACTACTGCATTACCATACCTACCTTACCCGACCCAACTTTACTCTACTTTACCTTATCCTACCCTACCTCACTTTACCCTACTCTATCCTATTCTACCCTACCCTAGGCTCTACAGTATTCTCAACCTTACAGTACTATAGGCCATAAAACATCGTACCTTGCTTTGTTTTACTCTACTCGACCCCACTCTACCCTACCTTACGTTGCCCAGCCCTTTTCTCCCTTCACTACCCTTTTCCTTCATTTCACCCCATCCAATCAAACCTAAAATAAACTTCGTTTACTAAGCTCCAATACCAGAGTAACCTTTGAAAAAGTTGCAAACGTTTACAAAACTAAATGAGAGCAACCTCTTCGTATGTTTTCTCTTTATAACACTGAATTTACAACGTAAAGAGAAAACGTTTAGACAGTAATTATTGTCGTAACCTCGAGACCTCAATCCGCCGACGTCAAGAGCCCTCAGGCTGACGTCTTTCTGGAATTTAAATATTTCATTTGTTTGTTATTGGGCTGGTCTGAAAGTAACGGGAAGCTTGAAAGGTTCCAATTGATGCCGACATAAAGGACCCGCCATACTTTGCCTGTGATTCCCTGTAAAAAATGGCGGGTTCTTTATGTCGGCACATAATACTTAATTCAAAAACGTCTCCCCCACATCCCTCCTTTATTAACATCTCCCCTCTGCCTTATTATTAGGTGGTTCAAATCATTCTGAGCCTTTACAAAAACAAATTTTTGTGGCTAGGGGCACAGAATTATTTAAACAACCTAATTTTTCTACGTCATCAAAAAGTGATCAAATCTTTCGATCTTCTTCATCTTCACCCCGTTCTCTTGAATCTAACATTTTGTCTCGCTTAACAACCCCGACCCCAAAAAAAAATTATTTTTATAAACTACTCCTCCCTCTTTTTTGCCTTATCCTACTATTTCAACCTCTACACTTTCCCCTCCCTCTCCTACCTCTCTTTCAACTTAGTATACGGCGTCAGGCAATGTTCAAATTTTGTAACCTCCCCCCCTTCTTTAACAAAATTTAAATTTTACCTTATCCTGCCCCTTATTTTTTTAATTTTTTTAATTTTAAACCCACCCCCTTTAAATTTAAAAGCCACCATAAACTGCCCCTCCCCTACTTCCAATCTCTACCTTCTTTCCCTACCCTCCTCCATCTTTACCCCTTCTTCCCTTCTCCCCCCCCTCCCCCCCCTCCACCTTCCCTCTAAATAGTTTGTTCATAATCGAATCGGCTGGAACCGCTCCTCCACGCACTCTTCTGCTTCGTATGTTTATCACAACAGAGGTTAAAGGCCTACAAAACCATTAAGACGAATACTCCAATTAAAAAACACTAAGTGACTGAAGGGGGGGGGTGCGACAACCGGTTCCTCAAATAAAGTTAAGGGCATTGTTTCTATTAAATGTAGTTGTAACCACCACTTTTACTGCAATGTAAATATTTTGCAAAAGTAAAAAGTAATCTTCTACAACATTACAGTGATATCATGATACGATGGGTTGGCAGTAAATCGAAGATAGGCAGTTATTAATACCTAGATGGGCAGGTAGTGATGGATAACAATATATATTATCTCTGATTCAAGTACAGTAAATACTGATCATTATTGACGTAGAAGATAACAGTTATCAATGATTAAAGTCAATTATAAATCAAAACGTAAGCAGTATATGATCATAAATTAGAATAGTCAACATGTTATCGACCGTTATGTAAGTTAAACAAAATATGACCAAATCATAACACAACTACATAAACATGTCAATATGGAACATACTCTACAGCTAGACAAATATTTTGTTAAAAGTGCAGTCTCAACCACCCTACCCTAGACCTAAATTTGGCATACTCTACACTACAGTACTCTACCCTATCTTACAAATACGTCCCCCTGCCTTACCCGGCTCTACAGTCATTTGTCTTGCTTTAAAATACTCTGCCCAACATTGATTCATTCAACCCTACTCTATCCTACAGTATCTCACTCTGTCCTACCCTACACTAACCATAAAATTTCAATTTATTCTACACTAAAATGCCTCAGAGCGTTTTACTTTAATCCTACTCTAGCTCTATTATTATCCTACCTTAACCTATTGTAACCTTAGCCTAACTTTATCTACCTACCCTACCCTACGCTCATCTGAACCCCTCACCAACATTAAAACCCCACTTTCACTGCCATAACCAGTATTATGTCCCAAAAGATGTCATAAGATCCAGAAACCCAGCCCGCGTCAAGTGCGAATGCCACCAGATATTTTCCGAATGGCACCGTAAACATTTGCATATTCAAGTGCAAAGTAGGGGGATTATTGCGCAACAGTAAGAGCCTGCTGAGCACAAGTTCAAATACGACTGCCACATTCAAGAAGCCGCCCCCATTCTCGACCTGACAAACAAGACTGGTCGTAAAATTAAAGGTAAAACTGTCAGTTATGCTGTAGTGTAAAAATTATATATTGAGGGTTGTCAAAATTGGCACAAATGTCATTTTTAACCAAATCTTAGAGTGGTTAGGCTTAAGAAAATAGAGTTTTAAAAGTGTCATAACTTTCTTGATGTCAATTGAAATATTTTTAAATTTGGCCACTATATTGTCTATAGATAAGGCCTTAACACTTTAAAATATCATTACTACAGCTTGCCTCAAAAGTAAGATATAAGCTATCAAACTTGATCATTAAAGCACCTGCGTTCAAAAGCCGGAAGGTAGAGAAAAGACAAGGAATAACCACCCTTCCTAGCTCTTTTTTTGCAAAAGAAAACTAGAGCTAAAATTTTATGTTACAGTAAAACCTATTTAGTAAAACTCTTAATAATAGTATGAAATTCGATAGTATGACCCTCGGTGGTACGAAATCATCTTAATAATGACAGTTTTCTGACCGTCCTTTACAATAAGACTCCTATCATAAAGTACTTGGATAGTGTGATACCCTGGTTAGACGTACAGGTTTTGACTAGTCTCTTTAGTCATGAGTGTCATGCTAAAGAGAGGTGACTTTAATTTCCAAAAAATCCCTAGTTCTGTACTACCTACTTTCTTCTTAATGATAGCAAGCTTCTGCTCCGCCCCTTCACAACAAAACTATTATTGGTAATTTGCTCAGCCGTACCAGTACATTTTTTATGGCTGGCTAGGTCATGCCAGTACAGTTTGAACTAAATTACTTTTTTTATAATTTATTTAAAACACTTTTTGATTTACTAGCACTCGAAGCATCACAAAGACTATATAAAACTTTGGCCTACACCAGCTTACGACTATGAAGCCTTGAAAAGCACCTCATCACAACAGGGTAGCTCGAGAAACAGAATCACCGGTGCCCAATTAGAAACAGCTACAGTGGATTGCTCTGACGGTCTTCACTAAACCCTTACCATCCCCAATTACGTTTCACATCACAAAGTTTCTGACTACATAAAAAGTTTAAATCTACGATGTAAAATACTTCAATTCCCGATGTAAAGTTTAGTTATAGAATCCAAAATGTTCAGAATATAATTGAGTAAAACATATACATGACACACAACCCTACTTCTACTATTATACGAACGGATTACCCTACATTCCAGTCCTTTTTGTTTCAAAATTTTTATATCTATAACGTGTTGTGTTATCTTATTCTAGTAATGAGGGTATATACATCAAAATCTAGTAGAAACCGCTACCTATAAAAAACACCTCTCATAGTAAACAAGATATACACTACCACGCCCATTAAAAGAAACTGTTTTTTACTTAAAATATGTTACTAGTACAAAAGTTACTGAGCAAAAGCAACATCATCCTCTCTATACCTACCAACTCTGACTTTCCCAAAGGGTAGAGTATATCTACCAAAAGATTTGAGTAAGTATTAACAAAAGCCATGCCCTTCTTCGGCGACCAATCGGTTCAAAAATAACCCGCCGTATATTATATTACTCCAGAGTAATTAAAATTCGAAAGATGATTAATCCACTCGAACATACCATGTGTATATGCCGCCGTTAGCTATAAAGACGCCGCTTTCACCGACGGATTCGAAAACGGCTTCGAATAAGAAAGACAGATTTCAATTATCTACTACAATATGTTATTGTACACACGGAGTGGGGCTTTTACTGTTGGCAAAAGACACACGTTCTAACCTGCCCTAAGATATTCTTCTCTAAGCTATTCTAACGTACCCTACCCTACCTACCCTACCTTACCCTACCCTACCCTACCCTACCCTACCCTACCCTACCCTACCCTACCCTACCCTACCCTACCCTACCCTACCCTACCCTACCCTACCCTACCCTACCCTACCCTACCATACCCTACCCTACCCTACCCTACCCTACCCTACCCTACCCTACCCTACCCTACCCTACCCTACCCTACCCTACCCTACCCTACCCTACCCTACCCTACCCTACCCTACCCTACCCTACCCTACCCTACCCTACCCTACCCTACCCTACCCTGCCCTACCCTACCCTACCCTACCCTGCCCTACCCTACCCTACCCTACCCTACCCTACCCTACCCTACCCTACCCTACCCTACCCTACCCTACCCTACCCTACCCTACAAAAAGTATTTTACCAAAAACAAGTACAAGTTGTTACCTAATCAGTAATAAATAACAAATAAACATGTTATCAGCAAACTTGTTAAGTTCCTCGAAATAAATTTAATTGATAAATATTGCGACAACGAAAACCCTTAATTTACGAAAAGTGGAATGACAATTAACTTGATGACATTACAATCAATGCAACCACTTCTCAACAAACCTTGTTACATAAAGAATACATAGCTGGGCGTAGTAGGCTATACGAAGTTTAGCAACAAAGGATTTCAATTTTTGAAATTGCCCAAAAACGTTAAATTTAATAAAGTTAAGATTAAAAAAATTTTGAGAAGGGGAGAGAATGTAAATAAAAAACGGTAAAAAAATTTCTTTAATTGAAGGGCAGTTTCTTACTATAGCTTGCTTCAAAAGTAAAGTATAAGCCGCCATACTTGGTTACTAAAACACCTGCATTCAAAAGCCGGGCGGAAAAGAAAAAGCAAAAAAATGCACAATCTCTTTAAAAAAAAGCAATTTTGTTAATTTTTTTACAAAAATCACAACTTTTCCTCCGAAATACTTTGCTCTACATGACAATAATCTCTGAAAAACCCCCTTCACACAAAAAAAATTTTTTGCTGCCATACTCGACTATGCTAGTACAATTTCAATGTCATACCCGCCCATATCAGTACAGTTTTAAACAAAAAAACTTATCATAATCTTTTAAAAATACATTTTAGTTTACTAGCACCCAACACCCTTTAAAGTAGTGCTAATACATTTATAAAAAGAGCTGATCATTTGGTAGTCCATATACTAGGTTTTTCAGATCGTTCTGCGCTTCTGAAACCAGAAGATTTGCTTTGAGAGGAAGCACAGAATTATTTGAACAACTTAATATTAAAAAAACTTTCAGAAGATTATAACACTAGTAATACATAAAAAAACATAAACTCAATATCAAAAAAATTTAAAATTTTTTTTGAAATTCTCAATAAACTTCAAATTTAAAGCATCAAAAATTTTGAAAAATCCAGTTTTTATCGACCAAATAATTTAAAAATTAATAAACCAAAAAATTAAAAAAAAATTTTTTTTAACCCTTGTTCATCCCCTCCCCACCCAAAAAAAAGCCAAATTTCCCATTTTTTTCAAAAAAAACATGTGCCAACACTTGCATGGCTAAACGAAATTAAGGGATTTGTACCTAATTCAGTACCTAATTCGGTGCGCCTGCTTCTCGATAGGACAGGAAATCGGGTCGAGAGTGAGACGAGAGAAAAGTTGTGTCAACAATCGAGGGCCCATTCGTGTGAAGAGTTGCGCGGAATATTGAAGAGGAAATAAATGGATCATCCAAATAAAGAAAGGGTTTTCACTTCTGACCATTACGTCTCCATTCACGGGTTTCACGGTAATATTCCCTCCGGTCAATCCGGAATGGGTTTCTTTTCGATCGCATACCTTGATACGTTTGGAGATACACCCAATATACGGCTGGGCATGGAGAATAGAAGGGTGGCTACCTATATAAATTCAAAAATATATTTATTGTACATTTCATTTGAATAGTAGATACAGATAAAAAAAGTAAAAAACTTTACTCTGCTCTAGATTTAGCCCCTAGAGATGACTCTGCCCTACCCTACTCTTCCCTACCATACCCAACCCTAGCCTTAGCCCTAGTGATAGCCCTACCTATCCTAACCTGTACCCTAGAAAACGTCTATTACTTGTAAACGTCCTCCCCTGCCCTCCTATCACAACAGATTTTCTTGATCAAATTCTTACCCCGCCCAATCGTGCCAAATATCGTAAAGTTCAAGTAAAACGTCAGAACTTTAAAAATTTCACACAATTTTCAAGTTTAAAGTACGAAAACTGATTTAATTGAACGGACGGTTAAGTAATCAGACAAAAAGAACAATGAACGGTCTACTTGTAATAACATTACATTAAGTTTAGTCAGCTAACAGAAGAGGCGACTTTTAAAAACAAAAGTAATTAGACAGTAGTTTGTGCCACAAAGCAACCAAAAACAAACCATATTGCTAATTAAAAAATAAATCACCCCCCCCTAAAAATTTTTATCCCCCCCCTTCATCCACAAGGCCACTTCACAAAAAAATGCAAAATTTTTACCCCTCCCACGTCAAGAAACATAATATTTATCCCTCCCTTATCAAGAAATATAATTTCTACCCCTCCCACATCAAGTAGCACAATATTTTACCCCTCCCACATCAAGAAGCACAATATTTACCCCTCTCTGACCAAGCAATACAATACTTACCCCTTCCTCACCAAGCAGTACAATATTAACCCCAGCCGTGCATGACCCTATGTGGCTGACATCAGGTTGACCCTCCTAACGCCTAAAACAACATTACGGTTCCGCGAACAATGACCTTTCGAATAATACTTGGAAACAATTTACAGGCCTCGTAAATCTCGAGGCCAGGATCGAGGGTATCCTTTCAAGGCCGTTTCGAAATTATTTAAAAAACAGCGGCTGGGCAGGGTGAATTATTATATTTAGATCAGGGGGTACATAGAAAGAGAAAAAAAATTATTCTGCCCTTCCTTTCCTTTCTTCTCTACCCCGCCCTTCCTTTTTACCCTGCCCTAACTAGTAAGAAAGAAAAGCAAGGCGGGGTAGAGAAGAAAGAAAAGATAGGGCAGGGTAAAAAAGTAAACCTCTCCAAAAAGACCCATAAATAATAAAAACCAAAATACAAAGCAAAGATAGATATGCTATAATAGAGAAAGTGCGCGACAGCTGCCTTCTGGACGCTCGTGGCCATCGCTCTTGACCCCGTGCCTCCCGCCCTTATACCGACCGCTGTTTTGACCGTTTCGCAGCACTCGAAACCGGTGAATGGGCTCGTTAATTTGCATAATTCGCGGCGCATCTGGCGATTGTCAGCTGCGGCGGAGTCTTTACGCTGATCCCAATCCAGGATAAACGTGCTGATAGCTTCAGGGCATTGTGGTGGGCTTTGATATTAAGATATTTTAGCCACATGTCATCTTTGACATCGTGTTTTTTAGCCAAATGTCAGCTTTGATGTTATAATACCTCATTTTAACTATAACACGTAAATTCTTTCAGTCATCCTTGGTCAAAAAGTTTATAGAATAATCTAATATTATATGATGATAAATTTGAAGGCAAATCCAAGCTAAAATAAGCAAAAAACGAACGGTTTTATAAGTAAAATGTAGTTGGAATACAGTAGAAAATGTTTGGCAAAAAAACTACAGTAAGACTTACTTACAAAATACTTTAATTTTACGTTTCAAGAATTAAAAATTGAAAGAGTAATATAACAGATACAAGAACCTCGGTTCTACCCACTTTTTGACCAAAACTTACAACCATTAAAACCATTTTTCAATTAGAAAATTTAAAAATTTTTACAAATTACAAAATTAAAAAATCAGCTTACGTCCTTCACAACCTCCCTCACACCTAAAACATTACAAATGACTCCTTTATCCTCGAAAATCTCAAGAATGATCTCGCCATTTCCTCCTTCAGCCCTCAGGCATTATGAGGTGCAAGAATGGCAAGGTCGCGCGCAATTGCCATCAATTGAAACTTTATTAAAGGCCCGTTTCGAAGTGGGGCTCTTCGAAATTCGAGCGAAAGTGCGCGGAGATAAGACGGGGTGGGCGACCTTGAGCCGCGGCTAATATAATAGATAGCTATCGGTGGAAAGTGAGAAACGTATGATTAAAACTATTCATTTCTCAAACAAACAACAAAAATTAATTGGATCGGGCGAACGTGCGCGCAACGATCAGTGGAAAGACGAGGGTTGCGTCAGAATGCAGTTTCACCGGTTCGATGCCGTGACGCAGCTTGCCCCAGCTGACGGCTTCGTCCGGCGAGGCGCCCGAGTCGCTGCCATCGAATTCCTGAAAAAACAACAATTATTACAGCATATGTTCGTGGGGAAGCGACGTCGAACATGATTTATTCCTCGTTTTTCGAAAATGAGGTTTTTTCGAATATTCATCATAGTTGGAAATGCATTTCAGAGAATAGTCATCATTATACCAAAAAAATATAAAAGATACGTTTAAAATTTTAAATGAATTTCATTGCCTATGAGCCTTATTTATTAAAAATTTTTAAAAACTTCAAAACAAACTTAATTTTAAAAATTGCTGTTTTTATTAGGTTGTTCAAATAATTTTGCGCCCCTAATCCCGAAAATTTTCTTTCAAAGGCGGCACAGAATTATTAAACAACCTAATAGTCCGTAAAAACTCAAGCCTAAACTTATGCTGTTTTTAGAATGTTAACCATGTTCAAACATATCCTAAAACAAGTTGCAAGACTGTTCGACTTTAATGATCTCACTTTAATTACTATTTAAAGCTACTTTATGTTATATCCTTCGCAATCCAGCTCAAAAACGCTTCGAATCTTCATAATCTTGCATCAAAAAATATCCAAAAATTTTTAAAAATTCAATTTTTGCTAACCCCTATCATCCGTCTCCCCTCTTTTTAACCAAAAGATGTAAAGCAAGCACCAAAACCTTCATACCTGTCCAGTATTGATGTAAACCGCATAATTGGACCCGTTTCTCATGAGATTGGCATTGTTAATATGATGTTTCACAAATCCTCCGCCCAGAATAATAACTCCAGTGTTCTGTGACTTGACCGCCATCGTGTTGATGTGTGCCACATCTTCAGCAATATCAACCCTCAGCTTCTTCTCGGCTTTGATGTTGAAGAAGTAAATCATATCACCCAGCGATCCATCCGTTAAGGCTGGACAAAAGACCGGGATGTTGTTGACAGCCGTCCAGTAATATATCGACTCCTTGTTGTTGATCTCCAGTCCTAATCTGTGAATTATCTGAAAGAACACTCAATTTATTGATATAGTGCACAACAATATAGTGTATGCCCTCCCTTCACAAGAAAATTTCTCTTCTCGTTGGCGAAAAACATAATTATACCATTAATATTAGGTTGGCCGGAAAGTTCTGCAATATTTGAGTAGGTAAACTTTGAAAAATCAGGAAAAATTTATTTCTTGACGGAAAGAAAAAATTCTTTTTTGTTTGTTTGTTACCTAAATTATTCAAAAAGGTAAGTTACATAACTTAATTTCATTTTTTTGTATTGTTTTAGGTATTAGAAAAAAATGGAGAAATCTCGCCTGCGCGTGATTATATGGAATGAATTCAAACGCGGAAATACTGCGGCAGAAACCTTCAGAATCATAAACGAAAATGAGGGTAAGAATGTTGTGAGTTATTCTACGGTGACCAGATGGTTCGCAAAGTTTCGTGTGGACGATGAGAAGCTTGAAGACAAACCACGTGCAGGAAGACCCAGCAAACTTGACAAAGATGCCCTGAGGCGCAAGACTGAAGATGACCCACATATTACAATCCGGGAGTTAGAAGAGTTACCAAACTGTGGAAAAAGTACCATTGGTGATCATTTGAAGGCAATGGGTATGGTCAAAAAGTTGGACAAATGGGTGCCTCACAATTTGACTGATCTGCAAAAAGCCAAGAGACGATGTGCTTCCGAAAAGCTTCTGCAACGCTGCAAAAACGAAGAATTCTTGGATCGAATTGTAACTATTGACGAGAAGTGGATCTCGTTTAACAATACTAGAAGATCTACAAGTTGGTGTAAGCGTGGAGAAGCTCCTAAGCACGTTCCGAAGCCAGAATTGCACGAAAAGAAGCTTATGGTGACTGTCTGGTGGTGTAGCTCTGGAGTGATCCAGTACGATTTCATGAAACCTGGCCAAAGTATTACGGCCGACACCTACTGTGCCCAGATTGACAAACTGCGACACAATCTTCCAACAATGGTCAGAAGGAGGGGTCCGATCATTCTGCAGGATAACGCACGGCCCCATGCTGCAAAGAAGACCGTGGCAAAATTCAGGGAACTGGGATACGAAGTCTTGGAGCACCCTCCTTATTCTCCAGACTTGGCTCCAACGGACTTTCACCTTTTTAAACACTTGTCTTCGTTTCTTAATGGAAGAATCTTCAAAACTCCAGACGATGCCAAGAATGCCTTCAAGAACTTCATCAACTCCAGAAACCCGGAATTCTACAATCGTAGAATAAAAAAAGCTTGTAAATCGTTGGCAAGACTGTATTGATTCAGACGGTAATTACTTTGATTGATTGTAGTTGTTAATTATATTGTTATTATTGTTAGTTCAAAAGTGAATAAATATTGCAGAACTTTCCGGACAACCTAATATTAATAGTGTCAACTTTTTTAAGCAGTTTACCTTTGACGGTGTCCAATTGACATCTTCTTGTGTCATTTTCTCCAGAATCGGTGTTATCCATGTCTCAAATTCGCAGTAATTTTGGTTTGGAATCAGAAGGTTACCCGCTCGATTTAACCCGTTTTTGCGTAGCTTAGCTCCATCTAGTCTAAAATCCCCTGAAAGTCAAAAATTAGAAGTAAAAAGCATCACAAAATGTAAGTTTAACTCTTTAAGAAACAACAAAAATAATATGAAGCATAACTGCAAATAGTTCAATAAACAACGCTATACTGAACAAATATCAAAAATAACATTTCCTTAAACTTTCATAAGACAATACGCTTAATTTCCAACAAATTTAAACCAGAAAAAACGCAGCTTTCCATCGAATTACCTCCAAAACCTTACCCAAATACGTGTCCTTGAGACATTTAATGAAGTCTTCCTCAATTCCGCCAGCACTAGTAACAATACAATCAACTAGATTGTGTTCTGCTAGATACCTAAAAGTCTAAACTATATTATAGTACATAAAACTACAAGTAAAGCAAAATTTCTCATGCTAAAATTGCTTTAACTTACCTCTCTTAACCCCGAAGTGACCAAATTTGATGTGTATCCCAAGAATATCGTACAACCAGTCTTCTTGCGTCCTTCAGGATACGAAAAAGTATCTTCATAGCCCTCAAACGGCTTTTTCCGACATTCAATCATCTTGTTAATGACCTAAACAACAAGAATATATAGTTAAAAATGCAACATACCTCAACAGATTTACCAAAATGAGTTGCTTGAAAACCTGTGCACAAATAAGACTCCAAAATCTTTTCATAATCTATTCCTTGATTGAAATCGTAGCCTTTTATAGGCACGGCATCTTCTCCAATGTCTCCAGATGGCCCCAAAACAGCGTTTTGAGCTGTTTCCAACACTCCATCGTTGTTCGCCATCTACAAGTGAAAATATTTTTTAAAATTAAAAATTTTTTAGGCCTAAAGTCAAAAGGTTGACAATGATTTAATAGTTGAAACGGAAAATTCAAGGATAAAATAATTTTTATTTGTAGACGAGCTTCAACAAGCGAATGAGACGAAGTGTCAAATTATAACTTGCTTTGCGGAAATAATAAAAAGAAGACAGTTTAGCTTTGTAGATAGTATAATTTCTTACATTTGTAGCACGCTTTATTGTTCAGTTGAAACTTTCTAACTGTGATATATATATATTGGAGTATTGTTTTAAAAGGTATAATCTTTTTCTAAAACATTGTTTAAACTTTTTTTGCCCACATTGGATCTAAACTAAATTTCTCTATCTACAGGACCAATGGAGACTACTGGTGGTGACTTCCCGTCTGTTTCGACACCTTCAAAACGGCCGCCAGGTGAAGTTTTTGAATCGAGGGCTTACACCGTGACAGAATCAAACCGATACACGTTCACTCACAGCTGGTTGACGAACAATGTTAGTGCGATTGAGAAGCGGTTCTTGGAGACGAACGTTGAATTCATACACAGCGAACCAGATACTTTTCAGTATGGAATGGAAGAGCTTGTTTTAGAGACAAATATCACGAAAACATTTCGAGCCAGGTTTCATCCGAAGGGCAATAAGGATTCTAACAAGGATTTTTGTTTTTTTCAAGTGAGGTTTTGATGCTTTATTTTGAATTTTAGGTAATTGAAGTCATAAGTAGATAAAGAAACGTATATTGAAGACATTGTGTGCTGATCTCGCTTTAAACTCATGTTGAGTTACTGCATATTAGGCTAAACCTTTCTTGTGTTTCAGGTTTTTCCAGTCACTCCAGTCTCAAACTATCGGGTCAAGTTTCATGTTTACAATATGCGCTCAGAACCTCTTCCACTAACAGTTTATCAGGGAAATCAACAAGTAAGCTTTTATATCGTAAATATTGTTTTTGTTTTAGGTTTACATGAATTTTGACTATGTTTATGTTTTTTAACAGCTGTTTTTGGCGTATTTATGTGTATCTAACGTATATTCAAGGGTGTACACATATAGTTAAGTGCGTAATTTTTGTTGAGTTATTTTGAATAGAAAATTAAAATTGTAGTTAAACGGGTATTTTGAATATGTGCGGCGGGATGCTCTTCTACAACATATCGCTCCAGAAGACGAACTTATGCTTAAAATAACTCTGACATTTTTCTCTGAACCTTGGACGCATATGGAAGTGTTTCCTAAAGAGAGAGGCACGCAATTGACTGACGATGTAAGTTACAACATGTTTTTATTTATGTGCATTATACAATTGGTGTTTTTGTCATCTAAAATATGGTTTAGTATATTGTTTTATGGAAAATGTGGTAAAAGACCTTATTTCAGGTTGGAAAGGACTTTGAAGCTCTGTTCAAGAACCCACAGTTCTCCGACTTCAAGATCAAATGTAAATACGACGGCAAAGTAAAAGTTCTTAATGTACATAAAGCTATTTTGGTAGCACGATCTCAGTTCTTCAAAGCCATGTTGTCCGAGCATACGAAAGAGTCGAAGGATAATGAAGTCATCTTTGATGACATTGATCACAGTGTGTTGCTGGAACTGGTTAGGTTCATATATACGGGTAAAGCTCCAAAGGTCGACTCTATGGCATTGGAATTGATGGGGTTGGCTGACCGTTTCCAAGTTCTGGTTTTGAAGAGAATGGCAGAGAAGTCGCTGCTGAAGAAGTTGAATGTGAGTAACGTTTGTGAGGTTCTGGTTGTGGCCGACGTTTACAACAGTGAGCATGTAAAGCAAGAAGCATTGAACTACATCGGAGCAAATGCATCTGAAGTTGTTAAAGTAAGGACGGTTTGATGTAAGGGGATAATTGTTTTTATAATCTTACTTACTATAATATGCTTTATTCTTAAAAAATAAATTATTTTCACAAATTAAAAGTTTTGTTGTAATTAGTCAGTGGTTTTTAAACTACAACAATATGTGTGGCTTTATCATTCAGACTACTATAATTTGTGTTGTTTCAGACAGACGGATGGCAAGCAATGCTAAAAGATCATTCTCAGCTACTAACTGATGTCGTTATGAAGATTAACAATGGGGGCAATAGTAAGTTTGAGCACATAGTGGTTCTTTGGGGATGGTGGGAGGTATATATGGTTCTTTGAGCTATACTAAGCCTGCCCTCTCTTGCCTAGCCAAGAAATCACTGAAAGTTTACTTGCTGGGGGATGGACTAATTTTTACTTTTGATTTAACACGTATTTTAAATTTGGTTTTAAAAAAGTTTAGTGTTAGGACTATAGAATAACATTTTAAAACGTTATTTTAAATACCTGACCGCTCATTTTCAAATTTTAATTCAAAAATGACTTCTTTTGAGTTTTTTTTGCTAATCCTGCGCCATTTTTTCTTATAAAACGGAGCAGGATTTTCTTTTTTTTCTGCTCCATTTTTTTAACTTTTGCTGAAATGGCGCAGGATTTTTACGGACCCTGCGCCATTTTTAAAAAAATATTCAAGTATTAATTTTATTTTATAAGAATTCAAAGATATTTTATAAAAATCAAAATACAACAAAAATGCACAGACCATAGCGGGCCCGTAGGGCCCGCGTTGGTCTGGTAACATGTAAGCCCTTTTTTATTCGTAAAGCGATCTGATTTCTTGATCGCTGTTCGAAAAACAAATAATAAATGACATTTTCAGTGGAACCTTTGGCCAAGCGTATTCGGAAGTTCTAATTGTAATATCTTTGTGCTTGTTAAACGATTGGTAATGAATAAACTTACATTAATAAGCCCTTAAGCCGTGATTGTTATTTTGTTTGTTTCAAAGTTTAGACGTTATTTGTGTTCTTATCATTAGAGGTTCAAAGTCCATTCGCTTTATTTTCGAGCCGGCTTTTTATTTCGACGCGGCGATCGACGTCAGTCCGGTCATTTGCTTAGTCGACTAACCGCGTGTTCCGTAGACAGTTGACTTGAGAAACCGTTAACAAGGTCTTCTTGAAGTTGTACTTAAGTTGACAAGGTTCACTCTTTGATTCTGTCCACGATCGCCGGTTTCTTCAACTATTACCTTGATTCAAACCTAAATTTGTCTCAATTTTAAGCTAAAATCATGCTGGCTTCACGATTCCTACGCTCCGGCTCCAAATATGCCCTTCAGAACACTCGGATGGCTTCGAAGAAAGTGGAAGAATCCAAGAGTTTTGTCATGAACTTGTTCAGAGGACGTGCTGTAACTGAGCATGTCTTTCCATACCCATTGAACTTGGATGAGGACAGAAGGGAGACCTTGAGCATGATCATTGACCCGACGCAAAAGTTCTTGGAAGAAGTTAATGATCCTTTCAAGTAAGTATCTATAGTTTTTCTCTGTTTTATAACGGCTTTGAAATATGTTTTTAAAACTTTTTATGAAGGTATTATCTATTAAATACTAAGTCTTTAAGTTTTCTTAGGCAAAATAATATGCTTTTTTCAAATTATCTATTATCTAAAATCACTAATTTTCTTCCAGAAACGACGAAAATGCCGAGATCCCAATGAAAAAACTGAAGCAATTTGCTGAACTCGGAGCTTTTGGTGCAGTAGTACCAGAAGAGTACGAAGGAGCAGGTCTTGTGAATGCTCAGATGGCCAGACTCGCCGAGATTGTTGGCTCAAACGATCTTGGTCTGGGAGTAGTGATGGGAGCTCACCAGTCGATTGGCTATAAAGGAATCCTTCTTTTCGGTACTCCAGAGCAGAAAAAGAAGTATCTGCCAGATGTAGCGACGGCCAGAAAGTTTGCTGCCTTCTGTTTGACCGAACCTTCCTCTGGGTCTGATGCCAATGTAAGTTGATATTGTTTCTGATTAGTTTTTGAAGTTTAGTCAATCAAAACAAAGGCTGTGAAGTCAGAGGATGGTAAACATTATATTCTGAACGGTGGAAAGATCTGGATCAGTAATGGAGGTTTCGCTGAAGTCTTTACTGTGTTTGCTAAGGTAAGAAGATCAAGGCGTATATTTTTGATTGAATTCTTTTTATTTTGGAAGGTTTTAGAGTAATGAATGTAGGTAACACAATGTTACTAATTATATTAAGTTACTCTTTATTTTTTACAATTTTTTATTTTAGACCCCAGTAAAACAAGCGGATGGATCAGTAAAAGAGAAAGTATCAGCCTTCATCGTAGAACGAGGCTTTGGAGGAGTCACAAACTCTCCTCCAGAGAAGAAAATGGGCATCAAAGGCTCGAACACAGCCGAGGTTCACTTTGAAAACACAAAAATACCGGTCGAAAACTTGTTGGGCGAAGAAGGCGAAGGCTTTAAAGTAGCCATGAACATCTTGAACAATGGTAGATTCGGAATCCCAGCAGCGATGACTGGTTGTATGAGATGGTGCATTCAGAAGACGGTAGACCACGTCAACTCGAGAGTTCAGTTCGGCAAGAAGATCAAGGACTTTGGCAATGTTCAGGAGAAGCTGGCTGACATGGTACAGCGAGTTTATGCCACTGAGAGTGTGGTCTACATGTTGGCGTCGAACATGGACAGAGGTGTCGCGGACTATCAGTTGGAGGCTGCTATTGGCAAAGTCATGTCATCTGTAAGTTGCGTAGTAACGAGTTGGATTAGCTAGTATACAATCGTACTTTCTTTTTATTGTAGTTTGTTATGTTTTTGGGATGGTTAACATTGAGTACTGAGATTGTTGAATAATTTTTTTTGAAGTTTTAAAATTTCGATTGTTACAGTAGTTTTTAAAGTAAGTATTTGCTCGATATAAGTAAGATTATTGTAGGAAAACGCCTGGCACGTGTGCGACGAAGCGATTCAGCTGTACGGTGGCATGGGATTTATGAGAGAGACGGGGTTGGAGCGAGTGCTACGTGACATCAGAATCTTTAGAATCTTCGAAGGAGCCAACGATGTCATGAGGCTATTTGTAGCACTAACTGGCATCCAACATGCTGGAAAGCATCTACAACAAACGGCCAAGGAGATTAAAGGCGGAGGGCTGGGCACTCTCTTTGGAGAATTGAAGAGAAGAGCTGTTGGGTAAGGATACCTTCTGGAATCTTGATTTTTAACTATTTTGACGGATTTAAAGGTTATTTCGAGTAATATAGTTTACTATAGGATCATTGGAAGTTGTATTCTGAATTTTATTTGATTTTGATATTTAGTTAACTAATGCCTTTGTTTTAGTGGAGACACCGACTTTTCATCTCAAGTCCATTCATCTCTTCAAAGCGAAGCCAAGGCCTTGTCTACTGATGTCGCAACTTTCGGAAAAACTGTAGATGCACTTTTACTGAAACACAAGAAGGGCATCGTTGGTAAGGTATTTATGACATTAGGATAGCTTGATTTTGGTTATAACAATCGGAAAGTTAAGAATAATGTCTAAAATAAGGTAGAAAGTGAGTTTCAGGTCAATGTTAATTGATTACTGTATGGATTTACTTTCTTAAATTCAGCTGATTTTGAATTTTATATCTTGCAACAATTTAAAAAATAAAATTTGAAATTTGGGCTCTAACATCACTTTTAGAGCGACAATACGAACTGACCCGTCTGGCCGACGCCGCCATCGACATCTACAGCACCATTGCCGTTCTCTCGCGAGCATCTTACGTCCTGAACAAGCATTCGGATGCCAAAATCGATCTCCAAATCGCCCAATTGTTCTCCCAAAACGCTTCGATCAGAATCCAACGGAACCTGAAGGACGCCGCTGCTGCTAGTTCGAACAAACTCGGATTAATAGCTGACATCTCGAAACAAGTCACCGAGAACGAAGGACTAGTCCACCAACACATTATCGACGTTTAGAAGCACTTTATATTGTTTTAGATCTAATGCCGAGTAAATATTCATAAATCACGGTTTAGTATATAGTAGGTGGTGTACTAGGGAACGTTTGTTAGTTGTGTCAGTAATATGGGATGGATTTTACTTTTTGGACTTTATGTTATTTACTTTGTTACAATATTTATTGATTTCATCAAACATCAGCGTAGAAATTATTAAATTATGGATTCAAGAGTTCACCGTGCTACCGTTTTAAGTATTTAAGGGTAGAATACCGTAATGCTTATTTCGTAAAATTGTTTCAGCTTTTGTCAACATTGGCACTGTATCGCTCTTTTCGCGTAGTTTCACTCTATTGAGGACTTTGAGGTAGTTCGACGCGATCAAGTTTACGTCGGCGGTAGAATCAGTAGTGACCTTCAGGATGGCGAACATGGCATTGTGTTGCTGGACTGGTTTAAACGTTCTGGTTATCAGGCGATCTGTAACAAAAATTTCAGTATTATATTATCTTTGACATTTCTATTGAAACAACTGGCATATGAAAGTAAAGTAAAATATGTTCCTCACTCGCTAAATAGTACTATAAGATTATATACAAAAAGTTGACAAGAAACGATAACTTACCATTCTTAAACTCAATGTGAACAGCAAAACCCGGAGACTTTGTAGGTTCAAAAGTATAGCCTAGCGTTGCCGTATGAAATGGTGGCACCAATGTATCAATTGTAAGTGCCATAATACGATGATGACATTTTGTGGTGTAAATCCATTGTTCCCTTCTTGTGTCGTAAACTACGTACTAAAGAGAAAATATTAAGTATGAGAAAATGTCGTATCTTTTTTGAAAAGTAAATTACTTTCTTTATAAGAAACTTAATACAGTGATCTCTATCTATATAGTGAATCATATGTGTAAGGAGCTCTCTTTATAATAAACAAAAAATTTGTCCCCGCCGAGTCAATTTGCACTAAAAATCACTCTGTAAAAACAACAACCCCTATAGGAAACACGAAACGTCGGTCCCTTCGGGTTGCTTATACAGTATGTACTTTCTTGGGAGTGTTGTCTTCACTGAGTGATTTTTAGCACAATTTGGCTTGGCGGGGCCAAATTTCTTGTTTAATATAAGGAATGTTGCTTATACAGATGGTTCACTATATAGAGAGACTATTGTATAGAGAAAGTACTGTAAAAAAGATTAAAATTGAACATAATTTTGATTAAAAAATGAAAAAAAACCCTTAGACAACAACAACTTGTTATGTTCTCCTACTATTTAAAAACAATACTGTAAGCTTTATACGCTAAAAAAATTTTAAAAATGACTTACTTCTCGAGAACAACGACTATAGATCATTTCGTTGGAAAACAGGCATGCTCCGCTGATGTGTTTAGTAAATACACATTCTCCTGTGTCCAAGTTGTAAATATATACCTTTTTATCTGGAATACATTAGTATAAACAACAATCTGTAAACTGTAATTAAAATATTTTGACTTCTTTCATCATCCGACGTTTTCTGCCACAATTATATAATGCAACGACTTACGGGTAGCATATATGTAAAATCCATTGATTTCCACCATGTCTCCTCTGTAGCTATGTTTCAATACAGGTAACTCCACTTCTTTTCCAGTTTTCAAATTCAAAATCATATGTCCCTTTGTCTTATGGAAGTACTGTATGTAATTCCGCTCGTTGAACATGTCATTTGGATGTAGATGTGCTTTGAACTGTTTATTTGGCATAGTTGCTTCCAACTTTAGCTTTCGTTGATTGTAGATATCAATCAAAGTGCCATCTCTTCTTCTCAACAGATACCAACCATATTCTGATTTCGGCACGTAATGGTAGACTTTAATTGACTTGCCGCGAACAATGTCATAAACATAATAGTAGTCTGCTGTTTGTAGAATTAGCTGAGTGCCTTTCTTGATTAGTTGAGAATCGGTGATTATGTGTGGTGAACAGTTGATCACTTCGAACTTTTTTAAAGAAGCATCGATGTTCGTGATGAAAACGAAGGATTTGCTCACCAAATTCGCTATCATGCCCGAATGTGGACAACATATAGAGTTGGCCAGAAATAAACTTGCGTGTTTGTTGTTGACTGATTGGGTTACTTGGCCAAACGTACGGTTATTCGAACTAAAAAGGTTGGTTTGATAGGTATAGATCAATAATTTATATCGGTCGATATACCACTACTTTATATTACTATACAGTTATGTCTCTATATAGTGAACCATCGTAGTAAACAACAAATTGGGCTAACTTACTGTTGAAAGGCATAAGCCCAAGTCTCTCCTTTGGTACGAAAAATGGCGTTTTTGTAACACAAGTTTTTAAAATCTTCATTGACTACTTTGTAACAGTACATATTGACCATGGCCAATGAGCACACGTCTTCCATTGATGTCAGGTGGTTCAGAATATTTGGCCATAGCTAAAATAAGTTTTTAGTTTAGATTTGTAGTATAAACAACAATGGTGGTGTGGGTTTGAAAGGCAAAATGAAATGTAGCAAAACTCACAAATTTAGGCCAGGACTGATACAATTGATCCATAGCTGGCAATTTATTGGGAATATATTTTTATAAGAAAGGTATTTGCTAATAAGATAAATGTCGCACTAAGAGTTATTGACTGTCTTTTTAGGGTGCGTTATTATATCCCAGGACTAACCACAAGTTAGGGGTCAATAATGGCGCCAAGTGTAAGTTGTTGCATATCTTTAGATTTATGCATATAAATAAAACGTGATTTAATGTTTTTTTTATTTGATCCTGGATTGTACTGGATTTGAAATTGTCCTAGATTTGGAATTGTTCACAGATGATTTAATATATGCCATGAGTGTCTGCGTATAAGCAATAAAGAAACTTTGAAGGAACAAACGTATGTAAACACAGTACAGGGTGTCCCAAGTATTTTGGAGAAAAGTAGACGTGGAGAATGGTCAAGCCAAACTTGAGTTTTCGCTAAAAAACGCCCGGTCCACGTTAAAAAATCGAGCAGACCTAGCTTAGCCCGTTCCCCATGTCTAGAGAAAAGTAAAAGCTTCGTTTTCGAAAAGTACTAGTCAAAATTGGACGATTTTTTAACACTTGAAATTGCGGGCGGATTTGGTATTAGTATTTCGATTTTATACTCGGCGTCGGCGGAGGCCGACGGAGGCTATTGTTTTGCTTTTGACTAATCCAAAACTTTAATTTTTGGTTTCTATGACATCTGCTGATTTGTCAAAACGACTACGATAATATCTTTTATTGTATACATATTATGACCTATCTTATATTTTATATTATGGCCGATTTTCTCCGCCGGTCATCCGCCAATTTAAATTTTTTTAGTTTAAAAAAATTAAAATGGTTGAAAAACTCAAAAGAATGTCTCCAGTTTTGGTCCGGTGAAAAAATATTGAGTTTAAGCGCAGTTAAGGCCTACGCCGTTTTTCTCCGCCGATCGTCCGCGAGAACTCAGAAAACAAAATTTTTTAATTACAAAGGTTTTCGGCGTATCACCGGGTGTTATAAGGACTGAAAATCCAAGTTTTGGATTAGACAAAGCAAAAAAGTAGCCTCCGCCGATGTTCGCCGAATATTCAAAAACGGAGTATTAATACCATCTTTTCCTGCAATTTTAAGTGTTAAAAAAAAAGAATCGTTCAATTTAGACTAGTACTTTTCGAGAAGGAAGCTTTTACTTTTCTACTTGCAACACCTGTATTTAAAACTGACATTATTTGCTATTTTTGAGTAAATTACAATTTACTTTTTAAACTGTTACTATTAATATCATTTATAACTTGTAACTAACTATCATAGCTTTGTGTTTAGTGTCCATTAGCACAAAGACGATTGCAATTAAGGCGCGTGTTCCAATTTCAATTGGGTTTGTTGTGATAGCGGGCGTTGAGAATGAGGTACAAGTTGTGTAGTTAGATCAGTGTTGATTCCCTTCGATCATTTCGACTAAAACCACCGATTTGGAGAGATGGACCCTCAGAAGGCGCGACAATGGCGTCCCGAGCCCAGCATCATGGACTACAGTACACGCGATGCTGTGATCTATGCTCTTGGCCGTAAGTAGTGTTAATGGGGATTTGAAATACGTGGTTAATATATATTTTTTAACAAGGTTTAGCAACTTTTTATCAACAAGTTGATTGATTACAGATCAATATTAACATAGCTAGTGACTAATTACGGTTTGCAGTGTAAAAATAATATCTTCGCAACAATTTTGTGGTAAACAAGGTCGAATATAGGGGTTTTAAATACACATAGATAAAAGCAAAATTTTACATTTTAAACTTAAAATTTAGATTTAAATTTAAAGTTCTAACCATCTGCGTCATCTCAAAAATTTCAAAAATAAAAAAAAAGATTTTTACGTACTGTAGTGAAATATTTTAGTTGGATGTAACGTCAAGGACGATTTACAGTATCTCTATGAGAATCACCAAGACTTCCAAGTGTTCCCAACGTTTGTTGTTCGACCTGGACTAACCTCAATTTCATTGGATGGTGCTCCAGGTATTTTTACGTTTAAACTTTATTTTTAAAATGAAAAAATGCTTTTATTATACGTTATGATATATATTATTCAAGCAACTAATCCACTAATAATATATTTTGTAAAATACGGCTTTAAAATCAGTCAGTTAAAATACATTTCAGGTATTGCATTTGATTTGCAAAACATTTTACATGGTGAACAATACATTGAACTGATCAATCCCATCCCGGACGATGGCCAATTCCGAACTGAAGTTCAAATCGTAGACATCTTGGACAAGGGAAATTCAGCTGTTATTGTCACTAATGGTATGCCATTTTTAATAGAGTAGTCTCTCAATATAAGAAGTTGAAATGAAAGTGCATTTTGTATGACTATAGCGTTGGTTGAGCTAAAGTGGACGTGGGTAGGCTTGCTTAGATAGATTATAATTGGCAGTGTTAGGCTTAGGCAGGGCTAAGAGAGCAGGGCTAGACTTGAGAGGACTATAATGAGCAGGACTACGCTCTGCTAAAGCTAGAAAGAGCTAATTTTTGAATTCACGTGAAGAATGTTTCAGCTACAACTTATGACAACAAGACCAATCAAAAGTTGGCAGTCCAACAATTTGGAACCTTCCAAGTAGGATCAGGCAAATTTGGAGGTAATCGTACCAATCCTGGAGAGAAAACAGCCGTGCCAGTACCAAAACGAACCCCTGACAAGGTGTTGGAGCTTCAAACTACTGTAGATCAGGTAAGATATTCACAATTTACACTGCTGTTGATCGAGTAAATGATAATGTTGATATAAGTATAATTAATAATAGTCTTAATGAATGAATATTGTGTGGTATTTTTACACTTTTATTATATTATAGTAACTACCTATATTAAGTATCAAGTAAAACACTATATATAGCTATTCATATCTTACTTATGATCTTACAGGCAGCTCTGTACCGTCACGGTTCAGGTGATATGAATCCTCTGCATATTGACAAACAATTTGCCAAAGTTGCCGGCTTCAAACAACCAATCCTCCACGGCCTTTGTACTATGGGAGTATCAACTCGTGCTGTCTTGAAAGCTTACGGTAACAACGATGGCAACAACTTCAAGGCTATCAAAGTCAGATTCTCTGCTCCAGTCGTTCCTGGACAAACGCTGAAGGTCGAGATGTGGAAGGAGGGAAACAGAATCCATTTCCAAACCAAGGTAAGGTCGATATTTAGTTTGTAAAGGTACTATATATTAGAGAAGACAGTTTGAAATGACATTTAAGTGGATTCAAAGTTAATATTAACTTTTGATCTTTAGAAACCAAACAAGTATTACACAAAATATAGCCAAATTCTCACAAAAAATATTGTTTTAGGTCAAAGAAACGGACAAAATTGTCATTTCAAGCGCTTACATTGACTTGAAGTCGGCTTCAGCTACTGCATCTTCTGAAGTCATTTCTGCTTCCTCAGAAGAATTAGTTTCCGATGCCATTTTTGCACAAATCAACGAGCAACTCCCTCATCAACAAGGAATTTGCAAGAAGATCAACAGTATTGTGCTGTATGACATTACCAAGAATGGCAAACATGCTGCTTATTATAGTAAGTTACTCTACCTTATTCTATCTTTCTTTACTATATTTTAATTAACCTAACAGTTTATGTCCAACCCTACTCAACCCAGAATGTCTAATACAAACTTCGTTTATTTTCCACAATTAAATGTATTTTTACTTTGTCTTATCTACAATTATACCTAAAACAACATTTTATAGCACTTGACCTGAAGACCGGCCCAGAAGGAAAAGCCTTCAAAGGAGAACCCAAAGAAAAGCCGGCTGTCACAGTGATTGTTGATGACCAAGACTTCTTGAAGGTAGTCACTGGTGAATTGAGTGGAATGAAGGCCTTTATGAGCGGAAAGCTAAAGGCCCGAGGTAATGTTTTGGTCCTTCAGAAGCTACAAGGAGTTTTGTCTGGCGCTACACAATCCAAACTCTAAATTATCATTGCTGATGTTGTCATTGCATTCCGTATATAAATATTTTATAACTAAACTTTTTGTTTTGTAAATTTCAATCTGTAAGGTAATATAAAGCTTCAACAGGTAGATAATAAGACTTCAATGGGAAAATAAACAGCAAAAATTAAAATAAATCGTTTTAAACTTAAATAACTAACGTTTTAAGGCGTATTCATTAGTTTACCTTGAAGTGAGACTCAAGTAAAGCTTCAGCTTCATAATTCAGCGTTGCTTCACAGCCAACGCGGTTTTCTTGGCATTCCGAATTCAAAACCGATAATAAAGCGACGAAGTGTCACGAAAAATCGGCGGTATTTTGTGTAAATCAATTTTATTTATATTTTTGCAGTTTTTTATTATTTTCGAGTCTGTAGCTTTCTAAAAAACGTCTTGTAAATTTCCCCCAATATGACGGAAGCTGTGGTACTCGGTTCTGATCCTCTAAATTGGCTGGAACAGGTTAAAAAATGTCGTTATTTGCCGGAAACCGAGATGAACAAACTTTGTCGAATGTAAGTTCATTTTTAACTTTACTGGACGTTTAGATCTTAAAAAAGTTGATTTAAAGATGCTGAAGGCTTTTCAAAACACTAAAATTCAGTTTTGACAGCGTTTTGGGATGAAAGTTACAAAAACTGCTATAATTTATATTATTGTAGGTTGCGAAATCGAATGGTAAATATGCCTTCTGTAGTTCGAGTTAGTTCACCGGTAACCGTTTGTGGAGATATCCATGGACAGTTTTATGACTTGTTAAGGTTGTTTCAGTTAGGAGGTGAACCATCAGACATAAAATACGTCTTTCTTGGAGGTAAGCGTTTATCTATAACAATATATTTGATTTTTAGGTGAAGAACTACGTTTTCTTGGTATTTCTTATTTTGTACAGATGACTAGTGTTTTATGGCATACACATATAAAGATTTTAAAATTTTGAATTTCTATAATTTGGAATAGTGAAATAACGTGATATTATTTTAGACTACGTTGATCGAGGTCATTATTCAGTGGAAACTGTCACATTGTTGTTCCTGTATTTCTTGTGCTATCCAGATAATGTAACGCTAATTAGGGGGAATCACGAAACAAGGAGAATTTCAGTTCAATACGGGTTTTATGAAGAATGTCAAGAGAAATACGGACATTCTGCTGTTTGGCTAAATTGCTGTCGGGTAAGTGCATTATTTATATTGTTTGTGTTTAGTTATTTAAACGATAGAATTGTCTAATTGGCTAAGCCTTAATACTATGACTGTCATAGTCATTCTCTATAAAGTTATGTTGAGTTAGCCCTTTTAAGCTCCATTTTAACGTTTGAAGTTTTATTTATTACAATAACGTTATTTATTTTTTGATAAACTTTAGGTATTTGACATGCTTCCAATTGCTGCCTTAATAGACGATTCCTACTTTTGCGTTCACGGTGGAATCTCTCCAAGTCTCCCAACAATAGATCACATTCTGGCTTTGCAAAGGGACGTTGAAGTGCCACTATCAGGTATTTTGTCAGACATCTTGTGGTCTGATCCGGATGACACGATTGGTACATTCGCTCCTAATCAACGAGGTGCTGGATTTGTAAGTTCTTGATTGTTACTTTATGTGTGTATGAGTATTTTTCAATTTGGTAGTTCCAACACATGGATTATTATGTTTTTCAATTAATTCTGCGCTGTCTGATCTCGAAAATTTGCTTTGAGTGGGGCACATAATTATTTGAAAAACCTAATAGAAGTGGTTTAAAAGCTTTAAGAATTATTTTAGTTGTTCGGAGAACAAGCTGTTGACAAGTTTCTGGACGACAATAAGGTGAACATGATAGTAAGGTCTCACCAGCTGGTAATGGAGGGATTCAAGTATATGTTCAACGAAAAGTTAGCTACTGTTTGGTCAGGTACGTTTCTCTTCATTACTGGCCATACTCGTTTTTTTATTTTATGTTGTTTTATGTCTAAAAAATGTTTTTTGAGTGTAATATCATGTATAATATCATCAAATTAAAACAGTGTCTTTTACCGCTCAATTATTGGCTAGAACAAAAAGAATATCGTTTTCTTTTACATTTAAAACTTTTTATAAAATAAAATAAAATTTTTTACTTAAATCTTTATAAACAATGTCATTTCAGCGCCAAACTACTGTTACCGCTGTGGTAACATGGCGAGTATGTTCAACATCTCGGGAGTTTGTGATCCGGTTCCTAGGAAGTTTGATTGTGCACCAAATTGGCAACGGAAGATACCAGACAGAATGGTCACGCCTTACTTTTTGTAAAACTTATTCGTCGGTGTTACAGTATGCTAATTCGTACGAAAGTAATGTTGATGTTACTACAGTAATTTTGTAATCAGCTGTTATTATTGTAAGGTAATATTGTAATCATTTCTAAATATATTATAGTAGCCTTTTGCTTGTTATAGTGACCTTGTGCTTATTATAGTGACCTTATGCTTGTAGAATGTTATGTATAATACTTTCATTCTTGCTGTTTTATCACAATATTTTACTTGGTTTTTATTTGTATTATTGCTATATTGCCTTTTACAATGTTATTTCATAGTAACTACGATTTTACTCCTTACAATAATACAGTAACCCCAACATCACTGTCCAAATTCACTTTCAAACTCCGAGTTTTGTCTTCTCACCTCTTCGAAATCTGTCTCAAAATGGAAAACGGTTAAAGCTGTATTAGTTTGATGTTTAATGATCTTGAAACAAATAAATTATAACAAAATAAATAGAAGTAGACCTAGTGGTAGTGACAGAAGACGGTGTTTGACTATGAGTGTGATTAAAAATGAATTTTGTCGCCTTGAGGCAGTCAAATACCAACTTCTGTCGTGGTGAAGGTAGACAATTTAGAGTTGGAGATGTAGTTGGTGTAGAATACTGGTGGGGTCAAAAAGTAACGGGTTTAGGAAGGAAAAGGCCGAAAGTAATTTTGTGAAAAGATTTGAAATTTAAAGTCAAGAAATAAGGGGATTCTTGAGTGAAAAGGGTTTGAGAAGAGTTAAGACTTACAACAATATAATTGTGAATTTTTAAAAACTTATTGACCGAAAAAGTATAACACTGACATTTCTATACATGATGAACAATATGTACAACAAAGTATTTGGCTTTGAAACAGAAATAAATAATAAATTAGTGATTTGCTACAGTCTTGGCTTATAATAGACATAACGTAACATGATATACGACTATAACCTAATCGTATCATTTAGGGAATTCGCTACAGACTTCCCTGAATCTAGGTAATTGTAGTCTTACAGACGTCGACAGACCAAGAGCTTTACAATGTAAACTTTCGTCGTGGTATACTGATCAACTGATCGGCCGTCTGACCATGCACGGTCCAGGTAATCGACCGTAACGACAAGTTACGTTTACAGAATGACATGGGAACACTGATTGGTACCACCTTCTTTCTCGTGTTGGCTCCAATCATGTTTAGTGCCATTTTGTCGTCCATCGTACTGAAACCGTGATTCCAGTTGGATGGGTCGTTGCCGTATACTGGAACGTACACGTATCTAAAGGCGAACATATTATTATAAGTATTACTATAATTTTATGTAAAAGTAAGTGGTATTTAAGTCAAAAAGTACGTAGAATCGCCCAGTTTAACAATTTTAAAAATATGTTGACCAGCTATTGATATTAACCTTACTTTATGTGACAAAAATTGTAAAATTTGATAAAAGATACCATAAATTTAGATATAAACTCACTTATCAGTAGTCAGAGCCGCTGTGTAGAATCCGCAGTTTCCGATTGGTGTTAGGCCGCTGATTGGCAGATCGATGAGCATGATCTCGTTCCTGAACTTGCGATTGATCTCCGTCTCCAAGGCTGTTCGTTCCGGTTCTTTGAGCGGAGGAATGGCTAGGATCTAAGAACATTCACACATAAGTGATGTCACTACTCTGTTGACTATTTTGCTTATTAGGGAAGCTATGGTTACCATGAAACTGCAAGTTTTACTAGTCTAACATACAGTGTTTTACTATTCCCTACCTTATGCTGGTATACCTTCTCCTGTGCTATTTACAGTAACAAATTTGATACTGTCATTTCCTTTTCCTATCTTAGTCTGTTCTACTCTGAAGTACCATACTATAAGGTACTTTTCTTAATCGTACTCGACCTTCTCTTATCCTATCTTGTCTTACTCTTTCATATATTTACTATCAGAGCTCTCAAGAGCTACGCAACCTGCTCCGGCTCAGGGGCAGCTTTGGCTTTAGAGCTGGAGCCAAAAAATGTCAAATTTCAGTATAAAAAACCCCCGGAGCCGGAGCTAAAGTTTAAAAAAAGGCGAAGCTAGAACCGAAAATTTTAAATTTGGAAATTCTGATTAATATTACAACTAAAAGGTCAGTCATGTCCCCCAAAAGCTAGTGTACATCACTTATGTGCGTTTTTACTGTTATCACGTACGTGATCACTTCAATATCTCTTATTATGTTAGCAATTAATGGGCGATAAAACTCGCTGATTCAATCAAAAATCGCTTCGAAATAAATCACCGATTGATTGTTTTTAAAAATAGATACTTACATCATCGTCGATAAATAAAAAGATATCATCCAGGCGCTGTGTGTCGTAGTCCTCAGGCTTCTCCACCATCACCACCTTAACAGAAAGAAACCGGGTTAAAACGTTGGTCAAGGTGTTAGTTATTACTATTAGACATTATTAATTATTACTGCTTATTAACTAATAATGTCTTATTATGTTAGGGCAAGAGGTTGGGTGCAGTGGGCACGGATTTTAGGGGATAAAAGCGATTCTTAATTTTTTTTTTATTTTGAATGTGAAGGGTACGGTGAAATTACTGTAACGTAAAAATAAATCTAAATTTGAAAATGTTGATCTAAATAAAGGTTAGTTGAAGACTATATTACCTGAATTTCGGCAAATTTGTTCACAATTATCTATTCTCTCAAATAAGTTATAGCAAAAACTAAAACCCCGCACCAATACCTACTACAACACCAACCCTCTTATCTTAATTAAATTATTAGAGTAATAATAACTTTTCGAAACGCGTTGAACAGCTTGATCATGATGCCCCATTCCGGCAGCCGGTTCTCGTTCAGTCGTTGTGCCACCTGAAACCAACTCGTTATGGTCGTATGTTGACCTACTTGTGAGACGACCGCCTTGTTCACCCCATTGTCGACCACATCACGACCCGACAGTGCCAACTCGGTCTCCCTCTTATCAATACGGATTCGGTTTTCGATCAGGAAGCGATTGAAACCGTCGTCCACCTGTTTGTCGCTGATATCGGCCATGTTCTTGTTCCTGAAAACATACCGTGCTGGCGTTAGTCGAAGGCACCGAGTATAACATGGAAAAAAGAGGTTACCTGTAAATGAACTTGACCAGATTCTTCACTCCCAACGGCGCGTAGTCGTGCACGTTGATGTCGTAGAGGTTGGCCTCGATCAATGCGTCATAAGGAAGGCGGTTCTTCATGTTCGGCACCCGCCCATCCAAATAAGGCATTGTGTGTTTGTCCGCGATCAGTACGACATTCTCGTGCTCGTGCAAGGTCTTTGCGAATTCCAGTTGGAAGTTGATTATGTCGACAAACTCGTCTTGGTACACATTGTCCCTGGAACGGAAGATTTTCAATCGGGAAAATTTAAAATATTAGCGTTAAAGTTTTAAAGTTTTTAAAATTTTAACTCTTTACTTAATCAGAAGATATAAATTTCTTTCCAATAAATGCTCTCCTATTCCCTGAAAATCTCATAGAAAATATATTTTCTAATAAATCAGACTACCCCCATTAGACAGTTGTCTCTCGTCAGCGCGAAACGCCTGATCCTTGGCATTATGTTATATTGCCTTTCTCAAATCCTAGGTTTGCCTAGAGGATGTGCTTGGCTAGAGGACTATAGTCTGACTATTCTAACAAAACTACCTGTAGTTTGAGAATGTTTTGCCTAACTATCTTGATCTACCTATCTGTCTCATTGACCGGTAACAGGTCAGAGCGTCAAGCGATGAAACGACGACCTTCTTCTTAAGCATTACAGTGCAATACTCAAAAAGAGCGATCGTAGCTGCGCAGTTAGTCACAAAAGATCTTTCATTATCAAAAGGCCGAAAAAAATTGTCACAGATACTCATGTTACACACTGTTTAGGCTTGGGCGCAACTTTGGCTATAAAAGTTTTGGCACGACGACATCATGTAAGCTTTTTGCCAACTGCGACAAATTTCATGAGGTTTTTAACTAATAAACAAAACTGATTTAATCTGCGCTTTTAAATTCAAAAAAAATTAATATTACTTTTCAAGCTTCAGGTTGTGTTCTCAGGTAATGAAGTGTGTAAAAAGTCACGGTAAGCAATTTAATGCAAGGCAAAATTAAAAGCTCAAGACAGTGCGGTAAAATAATTTAAAAGATCTTTTAAATAACATATGTTTTTATATGGTTATTAGGTATTTTTTGATGTCCATCAATAGCTACTACCCCTCTCTCATCTATACCTATACAAATTCCAAAAAGTAGTTTGAGATTTTTTTGCCTTAAGTAATGTCTCACTCCACCCAAATCCCCCGCCCCAAACTAACCATACTGACGGCGCCACCATCACAATCAACGTCCGATTCTCGTGGGCCATGTTAAAGGGCCGGGCCGCGCGCTGGGCCCGCACACCCGTCCAGAGGATGACCCATATTAGTAGGGAAATATGTCGCGACATGACACAATTAAAAAGTGCTCACAAAAAAGTAGGGCGAGATGATATAACTTTGGCGCCGCTCCTTCGTTCCAACGGTCTGGGCGGCAATAAAAACGAGGCGGAGGATTCACAACATAACCTGAGGCAAAAGGAATGCCAGGAGAGAAGCGACGTGAAAACACGCAGCCCCGCCGTTCCAAAAATCAACCATCGCCGCCGAGCTGAAACGGGTTTCTCGGCAGACGGATTAAGTCATCGCGAGCTTTCGGGCGACGTCGACTCTCGACACTTTTTGGCAGCGGAAGTACGTCGGTGAGGTAAGTGATTAATGGCCACAAGTTTTGTTACTTTTTAGAGTGAATATTCGCCTTATTAAAGTAACAGTGTTCTTTCAAAGCACCTTGTAGTCAACCTTATGTTAACTCTTCTTATTCTTTGTACTCAATCGTCTTATCTTTACAGTGATTATAGTCAACTCTTACGGTCTTTCCTAGCTCTTAAGGCTCATTTTTTAACAATAATTCTAATTTACTCCATTATTTAGTATTGGCAGTGTGATTGAAGCTGCTTTGAAAAAGTTTACCTTTTAAGGTATAGCCAAATCGTGTAAAACAAATTTCTACGTGAAATAGGTGAGAACTGATTATAAAACTCATATTATGGTATAGAAAAAGCTGTGTTGTTCTTGGACACGTTTAAAAGCGACAGGAATGATTTTAATACTCTACTGTTGTCTATCGCGTGAAAAGAAAGCTACATATCTATGTGAACCAAGACGTATAATGGATTTTTCTTGTTTTATGGTCAATTGTATATTCGTAAAATCAAATTTCCTTTATATCATATTTTAATTTTAATGATTTTGGTTTTCTTGCTTTCAATCAGAATATTAAAACCGTCTTTAGACCTATTAGGCAATATTTTAATATTATCTTTGGACATACTGTTTCCTCAATTTGTCTTTTCTCATTCTTCACTTTATATCTGACAAAATATGCCTAGATTGTTGCCAACTGAATTTCTATCTCCATTGTAATCGCCGTTCTCCCTTTTAACCTCCAAATTTCCATTTCATTCGAACCCATATTGTCCATGTGAAGAAGCCGCAACCATTGTTCCAAATTGATTGTCGCGGAAGACGGACATTGTTCATAATAATAACATAGCGCTCTTTGCAAAACGAGTTTGTTGCGACAAAATGATTGCGAGGAAGAGAGCGATGGCACACTTAAACTGGCTCGCTCGAAGAGGAAGGTGTGGTAAAGAAAGGGGGGAGGGGGGAACGGCACGAAAGTGGAACAAGAACAGCCACTTTTGAAACAGTCGGGTTTGGAACTCGTTTTGGGCGATTTAGGCGGTTTCAAAGTGAATTTGAGTTGCAAATACAATAGTAAACCAAAAGTGGTTTAGTATAATATTTGAAAAGTCAAAAACCGTATAATCAATACAGTAGAACGCATAATCAATGCAGTAAACCACATGATACAGTAGGGTAAAACCATTATTTCTTCAAAAAAGCCTTCTCTACCAAAAACTTTAACAAAATATTATTAAAACCTCGTAAATCTCAACAATATATTATACTTGATTACTATATGACAATACTTAGATACAGTGTAACTACTGTATAACAGATCGCTCTAGGATTTTAAGCTAGTTATAAAAGAGTTCGTTATATAGAATTTAGATTGTAATCCGTTATACAAGAGTTCCACCGTATTTAGCCATAACTAATTGAGCTGTCGCATTTGCTGTAGGAATACTCTGATCGAGTCGCCAAAAACCCCCATATTTTGTTCGGCAAAGTCGAATATCTGGCGATAAATGCGTAATTGTTCGCGGAGAACGTCGTTTTTGGTTCGACGGCCTAAAAATTTTAAATTTAAATTTAAAAAATTCACATTTTCATTTGTTTAAAACTTAAAAATACAAAAAATTAGTTAAAATTTGGTATACGTTTTGATTCTACCATGTTACACAGAAGTTATACCTAAAAAATATATTACTTTAACATACTTTACATTATCTAAGAGTTATACCTACAAAATAACTTTTATCGACATATTTTACATTATATACTAAACAACTATAACATAATAACCTTTCCTCTCTCACCTTCACTAATCCTGACCAACTCCTGCTCGAGCTGCGCCCTCAGCGCGGGTTTGCTGAACTCCTGCCTGCCCATCCGCCGATAACAGTCCACCAATGCCAGTCCCATGAAAGTCGGTTCAAACTTTTGTTCTCGATTCACCTGCACGTACTGTCGGCTCTTGATCTTCTCGATGTGTTCGGAATGGGTCGCATCTGTGCCAATTCCATGTTTGTCCATTAGAGCGATCAAGTCCGCTTCACTCAAGAGTTGTGGAGCCGTGGTTTGTCCCGAAGCAATATTTACCGTGAATTTGGGGAGGACTTCATGTAGCGCGTAAAAGGGGATCTGCTTGCCGTACCATTTGTCGTACTTGTAGACAGCTAGGTATCCTTCGTCTAGTACTACAAGGCCATTGGTCCAGAATTCTTCGCCGTTTACTCCAACCTCAAAAGTAAAGTAAAATAAGAAATCACCGTATATTACCACAAAAAATGCTATTTACTATGACCATACACAACTATTAAAATTTTAAAAATATAAAGGTTCTTTAGAGATTTTAAGTGTAAATAATTTCAAAATTATGATAAATTAGATGTAAACTTACTGTAACTTTAGTCTCTTCCCCTTTGGCATCTCTTGAACAGGTGGCCAAGAAATGACGTACAACAAGCTCGTACACCAACCATTCGTCGAACTTGTTTGCAAAGGTATCTCTGAACAATAACCATGTCATTATTTTTTTAAATTATAATATCCTATAGTCAAAAATGGCCACCAAAACACAAACCAGTTTAGCCACATCTAGAAAGTTTGCTTTCAAGTCTAGTACCATAAAAATGGCCAAAAAATCCATGAAAGCACTTAATGTTACCTACTTTGTAGCCGACTTCAGAGGATGTATGGGAGGGTGAGCAGCATCAGATTTTCGACCATTTCTTGGATTTGGTCCGTTCGGTTGATCCAGAACTGATTGGGCAAAGTTTCCCCACTCAATGTGATTGGTCTGTTGTTGTACTAAATGTTCCAGACCAAAATTCGGCGGAAATTGATTTGTTTCTGTCCTAAAATGTTATTTTATAACTCTATCGACATTTTTATGTAGTAAAATAACTGAACATAACTTAGCACATACCATAGTAAAAAACAAAATGTCAGCACCTTACCTAGGATAAGATATAAACCCTTGTGTGTACAGCTTCTCGGCCGCTGCCATTGTTCTTTTGGCCGTGATTTTAAGTTTCTTTGATCCCAACTTTTCCAAAGCTATTGTGTCCAATGGATAGGGCCTCATTCGAGCGGTCGGTTTCTTGTCCACCGCCTTTACTGTGGGCTTCATGTTCTCGTTACACAAGTTATAGTACATTTGGACCGCTTCCTCGTCGAATAAACGCACTTTCGCCCAATTAAAATCCACGTTTTTGGCTTCGTCGCGGCCTGTAAGAAATATTAAAATGTCTTTTAAATTAATTTACATTTTACAGTACATTGGGCAGTAAGAAATTATGCTTTTAATACCTAATTTAATCAAAAAACAACAAAAAATTATAAAATTTGTATTTTTTTGCTTTATTTTGCATTTTCTATATACTTTCCCAGCTAACAAAGGTAAAAGATTTTTAGGTAAAGTCACGTAAATGACACAATACATTAATGAGTAAATATAAAAGTCACCCACAACATGACTTACCAACTAATTTCCAAAAAGGTTCTGGCATGAAGTTCTCCCGTTCCAGGTATCGTTCCACAACAAATCCTAATGTAGGGAATTGACATGACCCGTATGATATGACCTTTTGGTCAGAGATCTCACTCATAGCCTGAGGACAATGATTTTTTAAGTATAATGTTTGTAATCGAGTGAATGCGGCTCCTGAAACATATAATGGTAAGTTTACAGAAAATAATTTTCTATACGTTTCAATATTATATATTACATAACCCATGCCGAAATATATAGCATTATAATTTCGTAGAATATGAGGGGGTACCCCCCCCCCCCCCCAAACGACGTCCCTGCATAATAGCATTTCGAAATCCGTATTTTAAAATTAATTCCAATCCCCTTACCAATCCTGAGATCCAACTCCATTCGGCAATAAACGGCATCCACAACATTCTGATCCATCTGAACCAAGTTGTCAATGGCTCTTCTGATGGAAGACCTTGTAATCTCCGAGAATCTGGCTCTATATACAGGTAGGTTTCTTTTAACTGATCTACAGACACTAACAACTTCGGCTCCAATATTTTCTCCTTCCCTGTCGCAATCTGTCCAGATTACTAGAGCATCAGCGTTCCTTGCTTCGTTTCTGGAAATACTAGATTTATCACTTCTTCTACTATAACATATTTCCTTATAAAAACTTTAATATAATTTAAAATGCCAAATAATTCCTCCTAGGCTTTAGTAAAAACAAGATGACTTACTTTAGCTGTTGTTCAACTTGTTTCATTTCTGGAGCGACTGTATATAGTAAAGGCTCTGTGAAACAATTGGCAACCGGTACTCCACTCCAGTTCTTCATTCCAGATGGAAACTCATAGTTCATCATGTGACCGGATACACTTGTGAACACCACATTCGAGTTGGCTCCACATAAATCGTACTAAAAATGATTTTTTAATTTTAAGTTATTTTAAACTGATGTTAAGTGAAATTTAGGCTTTTTTTATCTTCAAAAGGCTTCCAAAAACGTGATTTTATGGCATAAAATACAGTAAGACAAGTTAAATTAGCCGTAGCAACATAAAATCAAAGAAACGCTGTAATTTCAAAACAAAAGAACCTTAAAAATTCCAAAATAACACAATGAAACACGTAAAACAACATACCTTCAAGCAGTACAGTTTATTGAATCTTGACGCTCCATTTCTTAATGTTGGTTTAGCTGGGCTAGTTAATATATTGGCAATACTCTTAGCGGCGTCGTTCTTCTCTGCTACACACAATACCTTCTTCACCATGTTCTTCTTAGCTTTCGCTGCGTTTCTAACTGATAACACTAATTTTAATCTCGGATGTAGGAGCTTTACCACATTGTTCATCAAAAGATTTCTGTAAAAAATCATAAACACTTTAAAACCGTCTGATTAGTGAATAAAATGTTACTAAATCAAAAGTAATAGCTAGAATAATATAAAAAGTAAAGATCTTTTAAAAATATATGAAGAACCTTTGATTATTACACAATAAAATATTGTTTTCTTTACATTTTACCTCAACAATAACAAGATACTTCAAAAATCGATTTATTTCAAAACATAAAATAATGTCATTATCACAATATCTCTGTAAATTGCGGCACATGTAACCGATCAGACACTTGGTTCAGTCAGACTCGAATCTCAAAGGCAAATCTTTATTAACTTATTTACAACTTTAAAACAAAATTTAAAAAAAAAACAAAAAAAAAATTTAAAAGATCAAAAAAACTATTAAAAACAAAAGCACAATAAATACAAGTGACAATAGATAATATTTGGCGGTATATCCTAACAATATAGAGTGAATTACATCAAACAAAAAAAAAGTTTTGAGTTTAGTCAACATAAAATTTTAAAAACTAAAAAAAAATTAAAACACAAATTTGTAAATGACTTTAGTCAATGTTAAGATACTAGAATATTTTAAGCTCATAGCAAATACTTATTTTTCAAAAACAGAAAGTTAATCTGCAATGTGCACCTTCAAAACTTTAAAATGCATCATACAAGCCGAAATTTAATTTTAGGTTTGCACAGTGCATAATTTAGTAAAAACTGCACCGCACCGTGCAAATTACAAAACCATTTTTGAAACCAAATAACAATAATAAATGTCGAAAAGTAAATCAGAAATTAGTCAAATTTAACAACACCGTCTTTAACTTTGTCACCAGAAGACCTTTCTTGCCCAGAAGCTGCTTCAACCCGCTGTATCACTGAGTTTCCTTGTTCTACCGCACTTTCTGACCTTGGAATCTCATCTTTTATTAGAATGGGTCCATTCAGTTGCGCTAGTTGTTGTTTTAGCCCGTTTCTCTGTTGTTCCATGAACAATTGAAACTGTTCGTGAAGTGATTGTTGACTCAATTGAGCTTCAAGTTGTTGGCTTAGTTGTTGATATTGTGATGATTGATTAGGTAGCTGAGGACTTGGCTTGACTGTCTGTTGATCTAGAGGTATCTGTAGTCTGATTTCTGTGCCATGTTCCGTCGACCTCACACTGTGTTCCAAAGGTTTGTGGCTCTGTTCCATAGCTTTATGACTCTGTTCTGTCAGCTTGCAAACCTCTTCTTTAGGCCTACATCCTTGTTCTGTCGATTGATCTGCCGCCAACAACATCATCTCATTCTCAGCATATCCTTTGAGCTTTTTAACCTCCTTCAGCTTCTTCACCACCGTCGTATGACTAACATTCATCATCTGAGCCAACTCTCTTGAACTAATATTAGGCTTTTCATCCACAATCTTCCCCAATAGCTCTAGATCAACTTCTGAAGGTCGTCCGCTTCGCGTTTCATCCTCCAGACTCTCGTCGCCGCCTTTAAACTTTGTGAACCACCATTGGACGGTGCGATCGCTTATTGTGCCGGGCCCAAACACGTTGTTCAAGCATCGCGACACGTCCGACGCCTTCATCCCGTTTTTGTACTCGTATAAGAGAATGGCACGTATCTGTTTCCTATCTAGCATTATTTGGCGGGCTGCAATCAAAAAAGGTAATCAAACATCATTTCAGTCTCTTCAATATTAAAAATTGGATCTACTTTCCAGGTCTCACAACAATAAACAACAAAGCAGTAAAGAAAGATGCAACTAATGAAAATGTGCCAACATTACTATAATATCAACAAAACCTCCCAAGTCAAAAATAAATAATTTGGATATCCATTAACACATTGTACTTGACGTTACTTCAATATTTATTACGATGCAAATTTACAAAATGTGATAATAATTTTACTCGCTGGATGACACAGTGACAGCCGGTTTTTCTTCATTAAGGCTTGAAGTGGAGACTTCTGCCACAGAATTCGGAGGATTCTGAACTGGAGCAGCGACCAAATCTTCAAAAACAGTTAATAAAGAGTTGAGTTGTTCCAGGGCCTGTTCTCGACGAACTGGCTCGTTCAGAATGTCAATGGCATGTTGTTTGATGCTCTGGAATAGAATGGTCAAATATTTTAAGTTTAAATTACAAAAAATATTAAAAAATGATAATCCAATTTGCTTTCAGGTAAATTATATCAATTGTTACCTAATATTGCCTTAAAATGTCAAAACTTGAAAACTGCCTTACCGATAAATGAAAATCAACCTGTTCCAGGTATCTTTGCTGATCCTCGTTCAATTCCTCGCCATGTTCTCCATGAATGATCTCGTACTGTCCCACATCAATGTCCCTTTGTCTGTACGGTCTTTCAGAAACAATTTCTTGTTCATCAGCTACCAGAATCTCATCACCTTGTATAACATTGTGTCCACCCATTCTTGCAATTTCTCTGAAAATTAGGTTTTAATTCATAAAATACAACATATACTTCAACGCTACTTTTTTTAACATTTTTTGTTTTTAGACATCTAAACAATAAACAAAAAAGTTAAAAAGTGCAAAAAATGTCAACTTTACACCCTAAAGTCAATATTTTTAACTTTTTCTTGTAAAACCACATTTAAAACATCAAAGAAGTTCAATGCTACCTATAAGAACAACTATTTACTACAAAAGATCGTTCTACTAGATCTTATATTCATATTTTTAACCCTTAATCTCTGACGCCTTAGCTATTGTCCACAAAAACAAAAACAATCGCGTTTTTTGTGGACACCACGTTTTAAAACGTGATGACAACATCAAAAAGCACATTTTAGGTACAAAAATGGCGGAAAAAGAAACATACGGATAATTTTTGAGTTCTTCGTTGCTGTCAATAAACAAAACACCAGGATGTTCGCTGTTCCTGTGGCGAGCTCGCTCATCGGCTGTGTCGAACCGGGCGTCGCACCTGGGCATTCCGCAACAAAACTGCATCACCTGTTCATCGCCGTACATCAGCTCTTCCTTCTTGGCCATGTTCTCGTGGGCTAGACGATTGTTGCGAGCGAACGATCTTCTCCTTGAGTCGAAACCCTTGCCAGAGTTCATAAGTTCGTGGACAATCTTTTCTCGTACTTCTTGAGGCAAATGAGCTGAAAATAGTTAATTTAGAAACTCTTATAACCTTCTTCTCGCTTTAAACAAAAAAAAATAAATTTTACGTTATTACAAAATACTTTAATGTATTCATGCTCAATATAACATTTCTTTATATATTATAACGCCCATATTTTCGTTTAAAATATACTTTTAAATATTACAAACTCTTTTTTGAACATTTTTATAAATAAACACCTTACCATAATCATTTCCGTGCTTGATATCATCCACCAGATCCTTGAACTTGGTCTTCGGCTTGGCTGGATTCAATCTCAACTCCGAGTTGGCCTTGGATAACGCTCGCTTTGTCCAAACCTGATACATCAATGTTCTTTCATTATTCGCAAAGTCACAAATATGATCTCCCAAAGGCTCATCCGGATCCGTTAAGAATCTGTCGCGATGAACGATGATCCTAGCTTCGGCTCTATTGTTATATTCATCTTGTCTGACTCCTCTCTTGACCTCTTCTCGATAACGACGACATTGTACACATCTGTAGGTTTCATTCAACGTCGTCGCGTTCTTCCGCGCAAAGTACCATTCGGACGAGCGACCTGGGTACTTGACTGAGTTGTGAACGATAACCTAAAGGTATTGTTTTTGTAAAAAAACTATATCTTTTTTTAGATTTCAAATGAAAACATAATTAAAAAAAGTATAACATAGTTTAAAAAAATTAAGATTAGCATTACTCCCAAAAGTGAAAATATATGTAAAATACGCGATTAAATTCTCATTAATAAAAAATAAAACTTCCTTTCCCCAAAAGATATTGATGTATAAGATTTGCTATAAAAAGCCCTCGTAAAACTCTAAAAACCAAAAACTCATAAAAAATATAAAACTTACGTGACGCTTTCTTTGTGATGAATCAAATTTAAACTCGACCAGCCCATAATCGCCGTATTCGGTTTTAGAACGAATATACCTGAAATTAATTATTTAAAATCCAAAAAACATACAATCAACCAAAGATATCGCTCAACTTGATACTTTTGTACACTAAAAATAAAAAATCCAACTCCAAACAATACTGACGGTTTCTGGGGCTGTGGAGGTCCTTCTCTGCTGATCATCCGCACCTCGTGATCCAATTCCATCTCAAGATCGTAGTTATCATCGTGGTATTCCACATTATCTTGTAGGTATCTGGCTGGGTAACGTCTCAACCGTTTGACTCGCGGCTGCTCAAAAGACGAGCTCGCTTCCTGCGTTGAAGTGACAACAACATCGTCGGCCGTGTCTCCGCTCACGTCCAGCTCCACCTCGACGTTGCAGTCCTCTTGCTTGACCTCAGGCCGGACCGTGCGCTGGACTGATTGTGCCGGAACATCCATTATTTTGAATTTTCCTGTCTTTATCAGGGAAAAGAGTAACAGCTGACCCAATTTGCGCGCAAACCGACTTTTTTTTACTTATGAAGCGAAACGCCAACCTTGCCGTCGAATGGCGTTTCTCACGGTTTGTTTTCGTGGTGGGATTCGAAAGCGCGCTCAATGTTCGTAGTTATTGTTTGTTTTACCGTATTGTTTATGCGCAGCGGGTAGACCATTATAAACAGCAATTCATTAAAGACTTTTTAAACATTTTTAAAAAATTATATTAAAAATGAAATTATTCTTCATGCACACCCTTATCTTACAAATAATATTACAGTACTGCCACGTTGTATCTATAAATTGCCATCTTCTACAACAATATATTAATTTATTAATCCTGTTTCAACAACAACTAGATTTATTCACACTTATGTAACAATTGAAAACAATAAAATTAGAAACGTTGTCTAAATATTACCGTCATGATCTGCCCATTGGTTTTGTTCGTCGCTGACGATGATGATCTGATTACTGTCACTGGTGTCAAACACTTGGCGCGTCCTGTGGATGTTGGCGTTGAAGATCTTTTGAGCATTCTCGGCTAGCTGGCCAAGGATTGGCAAACTGGCTGGGTCGTTTTTAGTGAAAAACGGTCGAAGAATGTCGAAACAGTATTGAATCTGAAAGGATTTTATATAAAACCAGTTAACAATTACATTATGTTCTTAAATAATATAAAAATGTCTATATACTACACTAATATAGTCCAAAAGAAACTAAAATCTTTTAACCTCCATACTTCCTTAAAAACCAATATAAGCTGATTACCTGCTCATCGGGAACCTGGAAAGCCGCCAATTGGCTCAAACCTCTGAAGAGGTCAATCATTTCATTCGCCGAAACATTCTCCCCAGATGGTTGTCGCTGTTGTGGTGGTTGAGACAAATACTCTTTGACCGTGGGTTCTTTTCGACTGGTCGTTGAACTCGCCGACGAAGGCACTGGAGTGCGTTTGGAGCTGGTTTGAGGTAGCGGCGACATGAAATGCTCGTTGATTTCTTTGGTCTTGTTCGGCCTAAAAGAAGATAGAAAGTAGTGTGAAAATATACGTAACATAATTAAATTTCTGGTTGCCAAAAACTCAGATTAAAACTACCAAACCTAAACAGAATTTAGATAACACAACAGAAAGCATAAAAATTCGTTTTGGCAACAAGAACTTCAAAATTACATCAAACTCCCCCTATACCTCCAAATATTCCTTCATTTTCGTCAAAAAACAACAAAAATTCCAAGATAAAATCAAAAATCTTACGTTGTACTGATCCGAGTGTACAGAGTCGACTTCTTGATGTCAATATCGTGTCGTCGCGACAACTCTTCCTTAATTTTGGGCACTGAACTGGTCTCGTTGTTGTCGACACAGTCCATCAAAGCTGCCAGCAGCTGTGGATACTTCTCTTCCAATCGTGGACGTCCTCGAGGTCTAACTTTCGGAGTTCGTGCTCGTTTCCTCTTCCGGTATTCTGCTTGATTTCGTCGATCTTTCTGCAAATTTCGACAAATTAATACGAAACACAACTATTGATTTGATTGTTTTGGAAAATATTGATGAAATTTTGGTAAACGATCAAAGAAAACAGGTGAATTCTTAACAAATTCTTGATAAATCGACTATAATAACGTTAGATACTCTAATTTAAATCAAATACATCCATTCTAATATTAAAAAACCTCAAACAGCAGTCAGAAACTCACAATTAGCTTGGTGATCCTCATATCGACCCACTTCTTCCTCTCGACCAGCTCCTTGATCCTCTTCTCCACATATTCATCTCGTTCTACCCGTTTAACTAACACTCCTAGCTCTTCTTCAACTAAACCCAATTCTTTTCTCAATTCTTTGACTTTAGGCGTTTCTTCATCGTCACTCAAAAGACCCTCATCTGATCCTTGAGAATCATTCATGAGAGCCGACTCTACAAGATAATGAAGAGACTTTTCGGTTGGACTTTGAATGCCATTACGAGATCGTGTGATCATTTGAATCTGTGGATGTGGCTTCTGTTCAACCGGTGTTTCTGAAGTTTCCGTTTTCTCGCAAGAAGCCTGAAAATATTGATGTAGGTATAAGAGTAATACAAACTTTAGGATCTTAAAGCAATTTTACTCTTATATACCCTCAAAATTACATAAATAGACTTCCAGAAAAAAATAATTTTTAAAAATGTATATAAAAGTGTTTCAACTTTCTAATGACGCATTTTCTCAAAATTTCTAAAAAATTTTCAACGAATTTCGACCTTTATTCACTAGTTTGTCGCGGTTTTCGATATTTTAATGCAACTTTCCCGTTTCTAAACAATCTGCTGACACTAAATAGCAGTTTAAAGTTTATTTTGACATAAATTTCGACTTACGACCATCTCCATGATCTTCTGAAAGTTGTCGTCTGGTGCTTTTTCTGGCACTGGAATTGGTTCCGTTGGTTCAGAGCTTGGCTCCATTTTTCACAATCTATAAATAGTTACTGTTAAAAGTACAAAGGTTCGACCGTCTTTTCGAATACTCTAGGTAATAATGACGCCTTTTTCGTCAGGTTGACGGCAATATTGGAACGAAATGTCCGTGGAACGGCGAAGTGTCACAAAAAGTATTGGAAACGCGGGTTTGCGCGAGTTTGATGACTTTTTGAGTTGTAATGTTAAGTTTGTAAACATATTAGTGTTATTTTAAAACTGTTTTATCTTTTTTTGCCAAAAATGTCATTTTTGATGTATTTAGGATTAAAACCTTTAATTTATCGTAGTTTTCAAGCTTTTAAAAATTAAAATTTAATGTTTTGAAGTCGTTATACGAAAAAGATAGTTATTATAAAGATTAAAGTATCAAAAATATATTTTTTAACATTATTTAATCACAAACAACTTACGTTTTACAACCACTATTCCAAAACTACCACAATATAACAAGTTTTGCGGGCGTTGTCCAGAATATGAGTAATGTTGAGGGAATTTCTAGAATTGGGAAAGGAATAAAAGGCGAAGGACGGACGCCATGGTTTTTGGGCTGGGTAGAGAACGAATGACGAAATAAAAAGGCGTCACGATAGACGAGGGCTTCGTGAGAGAGTGGAGACAACAAAACAGCCCTCTCCCAGCCGACTCAAAACGACAGCGATGACGCGTTTTTGGGGAATAGTGGAAGGGCTGAAGCACGGAACGGCCCTTCTTACTGTCTTTTTAGTTGTTAATGCATACAACTGCTTTGTTGCGACAAATGGAGGCGAATAATGCAATGAATGGATAAGAAAGTTGTGTCATTGGTTGTCAGCAGATGTCATCACTAAAGGAAAGGCAATTAAAACAGTGAAAAAAGTTTAAAGAATTGGCACACGATTAAAGTATAAAGTTTTTATAAATTTCTTAACTGCTAATCTAGAGACAAATCTCTTTACGTTGTAAATTGTTACAGTAATTCGCATATGATAGTACAGCGAGTTTTTACATTCATTTTAAAGAAACATAATTTATGCTAACTTTAAATGAATGTGAACGTTTTGTAAAAGCTTATATATAACATTGACTGTGATAAAAACAGGAAAGTATTTGTTTTCTATTGTTACAATTTTGCTTTTGCTCTGAAAGGTGGCGTTTTACAAACTCACTTCATTATTACAGTCGGCCTTTTTATTAGTATAATATAACAATATAACAGGAGCTGGTCCAAACCTATCTTTATAACCAGGGTTTCACACTACCTAGATACTTTTTAAATAGGGGTTCTATTACCAAGGGCGGGCAAAAAGCTGTCATTATAAAGAGCGTGTCGCACTATTGACGGTCATACTAAAGAGGTTTCACTGTATTACAGGGTGTCCTAACTTTTCTGAAGGAAAGTAATTTCGTTCTCGAAAAGTACTAGTCCGATTTGGATGATTTTTTTTGCACTAGACCAGAAATTGCTTGCGGATTTGGTTTTGGTACTTCGTTTTTTAGTATTCGGCGGAGGCTCGGCGGAGCACGGCGGAGAGTGCTTTTTTTATAGTTTGGTGGAAAAAATACGCAATTTTGATGGCAAATGCTTCTCAAAAATTTCAAATAAAGTGCTGTGTTCAATAGCAAACTTTTTTTGTGTCGGCGGACGATCGGCGAAGAAATTCGGCGAACGCCATAACTCGGCTAGTTTTTAATATTTTTACACCGGACAAAAACCAGTGATATTCGTATGCATTTTTCTATCAAATTAATCAATTTTTGAAAAATTTAAATAATTTTTAAAAAATCGGCGGAGACATCTTATTTCGGCGAAGGCCATAACTCGGCTAGTTTTTAATACTTTTACGCCGGACAAAAACCACGGATATTTTTAGGCATTTTTCTACAAATTAATCAATTTGTGAAAAATTTAAATTTATTTTAAAAAATCGGCGGAGGCATCTTATTTCGGCGAAGGCCATAACTCAGCCAGTTCTTAATATTTTTGAACCGGACAAGAACCAATGGTATTCATTGCCATTGTTCTTTAAACTGTCAAAGTTTAATAAAGTATCAACAATTTTTAACAAATCAGCGGAGACACCAGATTTCGGCGGAGACCATAACTCATTTTAAAAGTTACCAATTTTTTACAAAAATGGTCGGTTTTTAAAAAAAATGCTTTAGAACACCACTAGTTTTTGTCCGCTTCAAAAATATTAAGGTCTGACCGAGTTATGGTCTTCGCCGAGATTAGGTGTCTCTGCCGATTTGTCAAAAATTGTTGATAATTTATAAAATTGTGACATATTAGAGAAAAATGCCAATAAACACCATTGGTTTTTGTCCGGTTCAAAAATCTTAAGAACTGGCCGAGTTATGGTCTCCGCTGAAATTAGGTGTCTCCGCCGAATTTTTAAAAATCACCATTTTTTTACAAAGTTTGGTCGATTTTATAAAAAAAAGCTTCAGAACACCACTGGTTTTTGTCCGGTTCAAAAATCTTAAGAACTGGCCGAGTTATGGCCTTCGCCGAATTTCTCCGCTGATCGTCCGCCGACATAGCAAAAAAGTTTTTCATTGAAAGAAAATGTTTTGAGAAATGTTTGGGCAGCATGCAAAAACAAAATTACATATTTTTTGTCCGAGACATAAAAAAATCAGTCTCCGCCGACCTCCGCCGAGCCTCCGCCGAATACTCAAAAACAATGTACTAATACCAAATCCGCAAGTAATTTCTAGTCTAGTGCAAAAAAAATCGTTCAAATCGGACCAGTACTTTTTGAGAACGGAGCTTTTACTTTCCTTCAAAAAAGTTGGGACACCCCTGTACCTATATTTGTATGGTTAAGCTCTGGCTTTTGAAATTATTCATGTTGAAATTTTATTTTAAGCTTCTACATTAACTAACTTTTTTTGAAAGTTCAACTCCGATTGTGGTTTTGGAGCTTTGCAACTTTGCTTACAAACATTCCACTGAATACAATCAGAAAAGTTTTTGAGACAAGAAAGTGTTTCAACAATAGTTTAAAAAATACTGTAAAGATCATGCGATATTTAAAGTTATTGTCTTTGAAACTTTTTCAAAAGTTTTTATAAGCTATAAAAGTCATATACATTGTAATATTAAGCCATTTGTAGTATTAAAAACATAAAAATTGCAAAAATATGGTTGCATTGATAATGCAGGGTGATTTTTAAATTATATCGTGTTACAGGCGCCTCCAGAAGAAGGAGAGCTATGCCACGATTACTAATCTATCACTGATTATTACCTTATATTGAACACCTTGCTAAAGTATAGGTTTGTGAGGTTTTCGGTTGACTATGACTAGATACTTCGGGTATTGGTGTTGCATTTCATTTTACTATTCTTCAGAAATTTTACTTTTTATTAAGGTATTGTGCTTATTATAGTATTTAGATTTCCAGATACTGTAGCCAGTTATATTTTAAATTTCAAAGTAAACTAAATGTTATGAAAAATGGTTACTATATGGTTCTATAACACGCTTAACGAGATAATTGGTTTTTAGTACATAGCTGCTTCTGATTGGACCAAAGCCGTATTAAAAATACAGTAATCAAAAATTGAGTTTTACAGTAACCAAAAAGTCATTATGTATTTTTATTGGTTTAATTTTAAAGGTTGTCTTATTCTACCGTAATAATGATATTCCTACTGTAAGTAACAAAATCCATATTCATCGTGAATTTTTTCGTTAACTACCGTAGTTTTATTATTCATGTTTACTGTAGATACAGTAATTTATCATTGGTGAAAACTTACTGTATATGAACTTTCAATTTAGAAGGGTAAATTACAGTAAATAATTTAATTTTTAGGGGTGTTTTAGATGTTCTGGTAGCAAAAACAATATTTCTAACTTTCAACTTCATTTCTGAGTATTCACGACCATAGTTTCAGTGGTAAGTTTATTATACCGGACATTTCAGTGTTTAAAACGCTGTGATGGAATGAAAGACAAAAATAAAAATTTACAACTTTTTTGTATAAACCTAAATATAAAGATGTCGCTACAGTTTAAAGAGCTTTACATTTATCGTATATGTAATGCTCAAAAATTCAAAGCTCCATACACATTTTAAAACTTTAAGTAATAATGCACTAGACAGATAATTAAAGATACAAAAATAGTACCAAAAGTAAAAAAAATATTAAAAATAAAATTTAAACTCTCTAAAAATGCAATTTAACACAAATTTCAAATTCAAATTCAAAAAACGTTAAGATCTTTTTGATTTTGCAAAATTTCCCGCAATCCTCGCTCTATTTTGACAGTCGGTCCTAGTTTAAGCGACAGGCCAGTTTGGAGCTGTTTCTCTTGGAACAGTACGACGAGAGCATCACCATCGATTTCTTGGTCCTTGAGTATGTTTATGACCTCTTCACTACAACCAAGTGACGCTGCCCAAGCTGCCACTTCTTCCAACTAAAATTATATTGTTTTAGGTAAGAAAAGTTTTCATTTTTTAGTTAAAAATAAGTGAAACACTCTGTTAGAATGACTGTTTTTATATAGCAACTGTTACCTATTTCAACATTGAATTATAAAAATTTGCATTTTTCTTCAACTTTCATAAGCTTTTAAGCTTTATACTCAACCTATATCTGCCATGGAATGGTAAAACCCCTTCAAAACGCAAGTACAAAACTCAAATTTTCAAGAAATAAAATTTTCTTAAAACTTACAGTCCATTTAGAAACAGAGCGCGTCTCTTTCAGATTATTAATATTGAGTCCAGTTGGTTTAACTGGCTCTGGAGCCACCTTTTGCACTGGTTGAACTACTACAGGTGGTGCTTTCACCCCTTCTGACTTTTGAATCACGGGTTCAGGTGCTTGAACTCGTTGAGGTTTAGCTGATGATGGTCTGCTTGCGCTGAAGATAATATTTTAAGTATTTTGGGTAAAATAATAGATTTTAATTATTTTAGGTAACATAATATAAGAAAAAAGTTGAAAATACTAAAATTTTTACTGATTTTAGGTGAAAATGAACTTTCTTCAATGTAAAACCTCATTTTTTGGTAGTTAAAACAATATTAAAATTACTTAAAATACGTTTTTGCATTTCATATCAAACCTTTCCTCTCGATCATACATATTTTACAATTTTCCCTCCAAAGCTCTTACCTTGAAGTAGAGCTACATTCGCTATGTTCCAGTCCAGTTTGATCCTTCTCAGCTCCATCCGAACTGTCATTCATCCTCCCTTCCAATGCCGCCTTCTGTCTATACTTCCTCTTACATGTACTGTCGCAATATTGAGGATTCTTCTTGTTGGTTATGACTTTATGACAGAAAATGCATCCTCGTTCGGAGTTGTGCGACAAAATGCTTCTGTTATCCTCATCAACACTCTCTGAAGTGTTCTCTTCTTCTTCAAAATCGTCTTCAAATAGTTGCTTGTAGCCGGAATTGGGAATCGACCGTTTCGGCCGTTCGACTTTTTCAGATTTCTTGTCGTTACTTGGTCGACCACGACGGGATTGAGAGGGTGTGCGGCTGGCAGCACGGACTTCGTTGATTTTGGTGGGTTCTTCAGCTAAAACAATATAAATTAGAAGTTCGGTAATTAAGCAAGTCTATTTTTTCTACAAAAATGAGTAATTTTATATTATGATCAATATGATCAAATTGTAACAGTAGCCCATTTAAAAAATAGAAAAATCTTACCTTGAGTATGTTTCTGATATTGTTGTTGAGTTTGCAAAATGTTTTCTCTGAAGGCGTCTGCACTGTTGGTCTGAAAAATTATTGTCAACATCATATACTAATTCGTCCAAAAAACCAAACACAACCAAAACTCCGCAGTTTAGTAAAAGTTAAGTGATCAAACAAAAATGATCGTAAAAATCAAGAAAAGTTAGTACTAAAGTACAATTACTGTACCAATTCATACCATCACAAGCACAGCAACCGATAAAACAAAACTCTAAGATTCTATAAGGTCGTACCTTCGGCTGACCTACCTTGAACGGGTTTTTGCCCGGTCCAAAGTCCATATTCAGTAGGCCTTCAACCTCACGATTCTTCCGTTTCGGTGGTTTATCACTGGGAGTGTTGCCAGCCGACTTGACCTTCTTCTGCAGATGCTCAGGTATCTTCCTCGGCGTACTCGAAGGATGCTTCTCGATCTTCTGGTCAACCTTCGGCGTTATTTCCAGTTTAGGCTTGCGGCCAACCTTTGCTTTAGGCTTAACTTCCTTTTGAGGCTTCTGAATCACTTTTTCTTTAATCGGCATCTTCTGTTCCTTCTTTTCATCTTTTTTAGGTATAGAGGAGGTCTTGGACTCAAACGTAGAGTTCTGTGAAGATGGTGTAGATGGTGCTGATGACTGTGGACTGAGGACGTAGTTCTGAAGCTTCTTCGGACTCTTTTCTGGAGTTTGGAACGTTGGTTCAGCAATAGTAAAGCCGTGAATTTTGTGGAGTTTGGTCGAAGGTTTTGGCTGAAATTCGGCCGATTTTTGAGCTTCTGCGTGGAATACCGTTTTAGAGACGGCTTCAGAAGGTTGTGGCACTGAAATAAGACAATATTTAGTTACTGTACTAAATTGTAAATATTATTCAAGATAAAGGTAAAGAAAATAGTGAATATTGAAGATAAAGTAACATTATTGCCTTTTTTATGTAATTCAAGCTCCTCTTTTGCCTTTTATATTGAGTTTTTGACAAAAACCAGTAAAATTTTACAACTTTATCCCCAACGTTTAACATTTGTTACCCAAAAAACAGCAATACTTTGAAATAAACCGAAACAAGAAATATGTTTTGCAAAAAACCACTTCTGATTCATTCGAACGCCATTATATTCCCCTCCGTAAACGTGGAAAATAAAAATAAGGGGAGTTGAGAAAGAGAAAATAGCCAACGTTCCGTGAGCAGAACGGCCAAATGTCCTTTCATAGAAATAAACAAACACATCAATATTGTTATTATAGGATAATCTGCTTAGACTATTTCTACTTCGCACGTTAATCTAGATTTAGGTGTTTCATACGTTTCCTATTGATATGTTTTCAAAAGATAATGTGACTTTTAAACTTTCTAACTATTTTTTAAGGTGTCCTCATAATAAACGCTGTATGTATGCTAATTTTTATGAAATTCCTAACCCAAATTTTCAAAAAAAAACTCAAACTCACCATTAAAAAGAGGTTTCTCAATAGCCGGAGGCCGTTCCTCAGCAACAACTTGCTCTTTCGCAATCACAGGATTGCACATCTGATTAATCCTCTCCCTACTCAACGACATTGTAATCAGTGGAGTCAGGTTAAGCATCTTCTGGACTTGCGCCTTGCCCTTATCCGAGGTGCTGGGCGAACTCTCCGCTTCGGCCATTTTAATCTTCTTTGCCGGAGGCGCTTTGTCGTCACTTGTAGAAGAAGCTTGTGGGTTCGGCGACAGAGTCGGTGGAGGCTCAGCCAACACAGTTTGAGCTTCGGTTCCATCGCCTCGCGCCACTATGTAGCCTACGATCTCGTTTTTAGAATTCACCATAACGAGTCTGCCATTATGTTGTGCTGGATGACAGTCCGCGTAGCGTCCAAGGTTTCCGTTCAGTTGTTGAGGGGCTTTAACTGAAAAAGATTTCGTAAAAGCATGAAAATTAAAACTTTTTAAAATGTATATAAACATCATTTTAAAACTTTTAGGTACAAAAAGTACTATAATACCAAAATAATAATGCAAAACCAAGCAAGGCAACCTTAACATAAACAGTATCTTAAAGTTAGTGGCTATAATAACTTATTATCGCCGTTCCAACCCCCTATTTACTAGTTCGCAGTAAAAAGATAACTTTGAACGTCGAAATAATTATTTTTAGGAAAGTAAATGTTAATTTTACTACAAAGTCTAATTGTTTTATCCCGCCCACTTTGTTTTGTTACTATGGTAACTGTACAAAAAATACTACAACAATTTGTCATCAACAACAAGAGGAACACTTGGTAGCTACGTCAACATTTATGCTTTTAAAAAATCTGAGCTTTCTATTAAAATCCCAAATCAAGTAAAAACCTTTAAAAACTTTAAATTTAGGTAACAAATTTAAAAAATTGAAAATAAAAACTTTAAAATAAACCTCTCAAAAACAAATCTTACCTTGAATTTGTTGTTGCATTGGCCGCATCTGTTGCTGAGCAATAAAGCCTTGAGGCATTTGGAAGTACTGGGGTTGCACCTTCATCTGCCCTTTGTTCTGTGGCATTGCCTGTTGAACATATTGGACTCGTTGAATGTTATTCGGCGGACTGCCATTCTTAAACTGCTCCATCTGGACTGCCCGTGGCATTGGTTGTTGTAGGATCAGCTTTCCCTGTTGATTCACATACATATATTGCATTGGGATCCCTTGATGAAAGATGGGTCCTGGAGGCGGTGTCATTATTTGGTGTGGCATCGCTTGTTGAACTTGCTGCTTCTTCGTAGGCTTGCGTGGAGCTCTAGGCTTCTTCACTGGTGAGGTTGAAGCCGAAGTAGATGGAATATTACTAGTAGTAGTTGAATTGGCATTGTTAAGGTTATTCAAGGCAGTTGTAGCAGCAGAAGCCGATATTTTAGTTACCGGAATGAAATTTGCTGGAAGTGGACCAGCTATTGGTGTAGCATTTGGAGCCACAGTGACTGATGGTGTTGGCACAGCTGACAACGGAGGTTTGCCCACCATGGACTCTCTTCTCGGCTCAGTCTTTGAGAATTCAGCAAAGGCTGGGACTTGTTCCATCTCTCCAGCTCGCACTTCAGATTCTAGAGCTGGTGGAAGGTCGTCGTCTTCCATCGTTGTATCAGCAGCTTCTTTGACGTCTTTCACGTCTTCGTCAATTACCAGGATGCTCGAATCCACCGAGTTTGAACGACTTAACACCCGCTTTTGTTCGGTTATGTTGTCTTTGGGTTGCTCAAGTTTTGGAGGTTCTTCTGGCTTTGTACTAAAATAATATAGGTTAAAATTTATAATATATGAAAAACATTTTATATTATATGAAAAACATAGCCCTTCATTTTTAATAAGTTTGTTATCTAATTTTAAAAAATATTAAGTTATGTAAAATTAAAGTTTAAAAAAATAAATTTTTTAAATAAAATCTTAAAACTGACCTCATATTGTGTTTATGCAGCCAAAGTATACCATTAACAAGCCAAAATCGCCCTAAAACAACATTTTCAGCCATTTAAAAAAGCGAAAAAAGTTCGCGCAAAACGAAATATTTATAAATTTTGTGGCTTTTCGTTGTGACACTTCGCTACAACGCAAGGATCTGGTGGACGAAACGAGTTTAAAAATAAAATCAACAGTATATGGTGGAGAGAAATATATGTTTGACAGTTTAGCTCAAAAAAAATTTTTTTTGGAAACGATTGGATATATACTCTTATGCTATGTTATACATGACCAATATATATAAATTAAAATGATAAAATGAAAGAAAGGCGACATGTTGCTTGACAACGCTTTGCAAAATGCATGGATAAGTCAAATGCAAATGCGTAACTTCTTAATGTGCAACTAGCCACTAATATATTCGGACATCTGTTATATCGCCCGAATTCCCGCGGTCAAATGACGGCTTTAATGTCATGCTGGACGCTACTGCGTTTTTATGAACTCTACACAACACATATGGCTTGTGAAGGTTACACAGTAACTATAAGATGTATATCTATGAATGCCATTACTTTTCTGGCTATTTACATTAAAATATTTGGTTGTTAAACCTAAAAGATGTCGTATTTTATGCAAATTTAAGGGAAAAATAACCAAAAGTTAGCTTAAAAATAGTTATTTTGTCAATATAAAGTTGTAAAATGTAAAATAACTTTAAAATATAAAATAAGCAAGAATTTACATTAAACGGAATCTGGGGAATCGAATTCAACCGAAAAAACGAAGAATTTGGGCGAAGAGAAGGAAAAAGGAGAGAATAAATGTCGTCCGAAGCTCGAGTTGAAAGGGACCGAGTGGAATGGGCGAGGGGAGAAAGGGGCAGGGGCGAGCAGCGCTTGTTGAGCTCTCCCAACATCCACCACCCGTCAGCCAATCACCGCCCGGCTCCACGACCAACCAGCGTCGTGTGTAAATTAAAAAAGGACCGGGCCGAGGGTGCGCCCAAAGCGACACGAGAGAGTGGTGGTAGAGATGAAAAGACGGTTAAGGAAACGCAAAACGATTATGAGGTTGTGGTGGCATAAAAAGAGTGGTAGACAACTGCAGAATGCGGCGACGGACTCGGAGATAACTGCATTTTTAGTGACAGCCAGCTGAGAGTTCACACTGCTTTTAGAGACTCTAGACAACAAAGTCGACCGACACGAATCGACCATTTGAAACGGGCGGAATTCGCATCGCTCCGCCAACCTTCATTCAATTGGAAGGATGGAGAAAGTAATCGTGGCGACAAAACACAAAAAGAGTACGTGTTTCGAAGAGAGTGCGGGAATTTTTTGGTTCTCAGCAGCCGGTCCGTCTCCGTTTTTTCACCCCAGGCACAAAAAGCCTCCGACTGGAAGGGGGGGGGGTGGGGTGGAAACGTGCTGCGAAAACGAATCGAAGCGCCTTCTGAATTCTCTCGGCGGGCCGTGCTCTCTGCGCCCGTCCCTCCCAATTTATCATTCCATTTCGTGGGCTCTAATCAGTCTCTCTTAATTGCGCCTTCTTCGCTGCATTTATTTTTTCTCAAATGCAATCATTTTTCAACAAAATTTTGGGGAAAAACGTCATTTCGACAAAGTTAATTTGAAGATATTGTAGTAGGTTTACTGATACTGACTTACCCTTTTTAAAAAATAAAAAAAAATTATTATGAAGTAACAAAAAAGCATGTAAAAACATAACATTTAGTGCAAAACGCACTTTTTAAAATTGAAAATTTGCAAAATATAAATTTTAAAAAAAATAAAATAAAAAGACAAAAAGTTTAATGATGTGCCATTTTAAACCAATGGCACTACAACAACATTATATTTCACTCTTCAACCCTACTAATTGGCTGCATTAAACCGTGGCGTTGGACTGATATCACTCGGTTTTATCTGTCGAAATACAAACAATTACAATAAACATAGTTCGATCAGATAACCCCTTCGCTTTTTCCTTCTTTTTGGGGCTTCAGATTCAATGGATATATAACGAATTCACGATGAAACGGAACGGCTTTGATCTCACCGCTCAATACGAATGTATTTTGCAAATGGAATAGAGCCAAATGTTAAATCTGATATAAGGAGGAGCAATAAGTGTAACTTAGAGTGTTTATTTTTGGTTACTGTAATTTTCACAGTTTTTAAGGATTGGAATTTGAAATATTTAGTAGAAAAATAGCTTTTGTACTATACTTCTATTAGATATTTATCACGATATAGGCCAAAAAGTAGATGAATCTCTGATAGAATTCTCTTAAAATTAAATATAAAATACAAAAATTTCTTCTAACTTTACAAGTACAATAAAAAGCATGTTTATAAAAAATAATTTACAATTAAACGAAATGTAGCTGATAGTAAAACTTACAAATACCACATGCTTTCTAACAAATTGTAAATAATGTGCCAAAATTGTACTGTGCTGAGGAAATCGAATATGTATCATACAAAAAACAGGCTCATGCATAATTTGTCATAAAAATAAAAGCTTAGAGTGGAGCCTAATTTTAGAGGGATGTTGGGTCGAGTTTACTAATGACCGAAGGCAGCACTGACGAAAAATTTAAGCCTAATAGGCTTGTTCAATAACAGTTAAAAATCTTACAGTTAGTAAAAAAACCTGGGCCTAGACCTGACACGGCTTGTAGAACGGGCTGAAAACTGAAACCAGCTTGTAGACCGGACTGAAAAATTAAGCCTGATTAGGCCTCTTTATTAGGTTACCTGAGCAGTTTTGCTTTTTTTATATTTTGGTGTCATTATGGATACGAAGATATAAAATTAATTTTTTTTCATTTTAAAATTTTAAAAATGAAACTATAGAAGTGTGTTATACTGTAATATTATTAATACAACTTTATTTGTATATTTATGTATTCATATAAACCACATCATGTTGCAATATTGAAATTTACACGATATCGTTATAAAATACCTAACTTTCCTTTTCAAACAACGTTCCTTCTACACTTTTGTATGTTTTGATTATATGTCGAATGAAGGGTTGATTCATTTGCATATTTAAAGCACGAGTTGAAAGGCCATTCACAACACACTTGAGTCATTATTATTTGTATTGCGCGAAACATTGTTCTTGATAAAGCGTTTAAGTGTTTTTCATATGTTTAATGATTACTAACACTGATTAACATGCTTTATAAGCTGATTAGTGTTAAGACAATTGTTGAGTTTATGTAGGGCTACTGTGCATGATATTTAATGTCAGGCAATAGATTTTGGATTAGAAGAGAAAGGAGAAGGGTGTGTTTTAGGAGAGATGGTAAATAAATAGAGAGGGGGGAAGGGAAATATCATAATTTTTTTTTAAATTTAAAAAATTTTCTTTATCAGCACATCCTTCACCGCCTCCAAGCTTTGCTTGCCATTTCTAATTTACTTTGACCTTACTTCCAATTCAGTCCAAATATTAAGTTGTTCACATAATTCTGTGCCCTCTAATTTTATAAATTGGTTTGGAAAAAGGCACAAGATTATTTGAACATCTTGATAATAACGTATGATAACTAACCATACCAATCTGTTGTGCCAATGTTAATTTACTGCAGTAAGTATAGCTGTTATGTCCTTTCACTGTATGTCGATAACTTTCTTTACGCCGGATATTACAACACGAAACCCTATAATTTATGTTAACGAACTTCTTTTATAGTGCCGTAGATTTTATGATAAGACATAAAGCCGAGAGTCGCGCCCTTTCTTTTCGATCCGATCAAATTATTGGCCACGACATCTGGAGAAATAGAACGCTAAATGGGGAGAGGCGAAAAAAACTTGAAATTTGGATTTTTCTGTTTAAATTTTGAGATAATAAAGTAAGGGTTGGCAAGGTTTAAAATATATAATCAATTGTTTCTATTTGTGATCAACTGAACAAGTCTAGTGTATTGTAACTGCAGTATAAGGAGCTTCTGTATAACAGAATTTTGGTATAATAATCAACTTTTAAATCCCCTTATACCACTTTAAAATGCAGTTTTTACCTTCTCTGTACCGAAAATCTTTCCTAACAAACAAAATGTAAATCCTCGAGCGATTCGTTATACAGGAGTTTTACTTTATTTTACAACTCGTAGTAGAGGGCTTATGATGAACGATTTAGATTGATAATCGTAGATACTTTTTATTACTTTAACAATAAAAAAGGTTTGTTCTTTCCTTCTCATGCTTACTTCAAATTTTATCGTTCGGCTATTAAATTTCAAAAAAATTTTTAAAAAATTTTTTCATATCTCCAGACCAACCTGATACTAAGTAGAATAACTAATACCAGACTTTTAGGTACTACACTAGGAATCATAATACATAATTTTGCCAAAATTTTAACGCTACGGATTTTTTCTGGGGGGGGGGTGGAGACCCAAAAAAAAATTTTTTCGCGTACAGGTACCTACCTGTGGAATTTTTTTCGGATCGGCTCTGGGAGGGCGGTGGATCCACCCCCCCCTCCACAGATACCGCAATACAAATACTACCTGACTTTTAGGTACCATAATAGATAACATAACGTAAATGATATAAAAGTTTTTTTGCACATACTCACTGTACAAAGTTTCTTCTTTGCACGGTCCTCATTGTAAACTTTGTAATCGGATCTTAATAAGCAGAAGCTCGAATTACTGACCAAAAGTGTCAGTCTTTGATTTTAATCTCTTCAAAGAGGCGAGAGAAACCTCATTAAAGACGGTCTTTCTTCGCCTTACTCCAAGTGCAAACATACCATAAAACTCTATTTTACCGCAAACTTCACGTTGTTTGTTGTGGGACAATATTAAACAGCCGCAAACTTCTATTATATGCTTCTTACAATTTTTAAATTATTTTTTTTATTAAGTTGTTCAAATAATTATGTGCCCCTTTTAAAGAAAATTTTCGGAATTAGGAACACAGAATTAGTTGAATAATATATTATATTATTGACAGAAAAATTAATAATTTTTCAGTTTTAAAAAACTTTACCATCCGCTATAGATGGCAATCCAACGGAAATTCTGTATTACGAATCGCCCGGGGTTTTAAAACTTGTGTGGTATGAAGCAATTCTAATGTATTAGCTAAATTAACAACTATTAAAACTAATTTTAAATTATTTGCTACAAATACCATACATTCCTCAAAATTCATTCCTTTTATTTGCTTCCAACAAAGAATCTCTCCTTCCTTCTCCTCCCCTCTCCCTCTTCAAAGCGCAGTTCGCAATTCATATAGAGAGAGCTGAATGGAAAGCTGCGCCCTCTCTTTTCTTTCAAAGAGAGCCAGCCAGCTGAGCGACTCGAAAAAGGAACGACGGAACACCAGCTTATATAGACGCAATGAGAGTCCGTGTAGACCGTCTGGGCGGTGTCTAGACAAAGTCTAGTCAGCGACGGAGACACTATTATATTATGGCAGTATTATTGGGAAATGTCTAGGCTGCGAGACAATTTTTAGTTTTTAAAGTTAGGAATAACTAACCTTTTCGGTCGAGAGTTTGTTGTCAATAAGAGAGAGTGTAGGGGCAGGAAGGGAAAGAAGAAGGAGAGAGTGCAGGCTTTGTCGCTAAGAATATTGAAAGTAGAAGGGTAGCCAGGAGAGATTAGCATGCAGAAGATATTGAAGGTTTTTTCAATAGAGTATGTCGTATATACGAAGGTGCAGAGTTAAAAAGAAAAATGAGATGCGAAGCTAGAGAAAAGGTTGAGAGAGTAGCCATGGTTAGAGAACAGTAAAAGAACACGTACTACAATAAAAAAAGGCTAAAGTACAGTGGAACTCCTGCATAATGAACGCTTCTATAACAAAAACCCTGTATAACGAACTAATTTTAAAATATAAACCAATGCTACAGAGTAAATTTGCAAATTCCCGAAACGCCTTTATAACAAAGCTTCTGTATACTGAAACCATTTCTATAAAACTTAATTTCCCCCGAAAGATTCGTTATACAAAAGTTGTTACACTGCATCACTTTATTGTAAGTATTGTAGTATTGGGCGGTTGATATTGATTTAAAAAAAATGTAAAAAAATTGTGTAAAATTGCTAGAAACTAAATTTTTTTAAAAATTTTTTGACATTCTTTTGAAAACAAATTTACCAAAAGATGTAAAATACGTAACAATACGAAGAGATTAGAGAAATAGACAGTAAATAAAATAAAAAAGTAAGACCTATTTCTTCACATTTCTGATTCATAATACAATGGCATTGAATCAGAAAAGGACGAGAAGAAATGATTTTTTTTCATTCTTGATTACCCTTCTAGACATTAGCAAAAAGAATAAACTTAATTAAAATACGTCGGCCATTCAAGTAATTTATAAAATATAAAATTAAATAAATTCAAGGTGATTTATAAAAGCATCACATCGAAGACAAAGGTACTCAGCGGTTTAAAGACGAAATGGAGAAGGATGAGAAACCAGCCGAGCCAGGCTTACTTTTAAGTCCCTGTCTAGACCCTGGGACTAACGTTTAGGCCCGGCTCGTTTTAATTTTTTCTCAGGCTGGTCCAAGAGCCAAAAAATGTAGACCTGGCTCGACCCGTTTTAAGAAATATTTTCAATTTTTTTTGAGCCACCCATGTTTCAACTTTAGCTTACGGCCGGCCAGGTCTGACCTTACAACTTGTTAGCGCCGAATTTGGCCGGGCTTACACGGCACTCCTCACACCTAGTAGAGAGAGGGAGTGATGTAATGGAATAATACTGTAGTCTTGTGCCTTTAAAGATCGTCATACTGTGGAATACCTACGTTTCACTTTATATCATTCCCTGCACCCTTTTACAGTAACCCAGCTTGGCTCCGAAATGTAATTTATTCGAGAGAGCAAGGTCTAATTAAAAATATAACCTTGTCGCTGCCGACACCTTTTGTTCCTTACATATTTCTCGTTTAAAAATAAGCAATGGTATTTTTGAAAATTAAAAAAAGGAGTTAAGAATACGACAGTATATAAAGGTATATCATACTGTAACTTTTATGACTAGTAAAATTCATATATAAACTAGGACCAATTAACATGCTGAGAGTGTTGCCATGGTTGCAACTCGTATTATATTAGCGACGCGGCAAGCTTTTGTTACCTAAAAATCGGACGTTGTTGTTACGGCTTCAAATTTCATTTAAATATTTACTTATAAGATTGCTCACATAATTCTGTGCCCCACCTCAAAGTAAATTTGGATTCAAGGGTCCAGAATTATTTGAACAATCTAATATAAAGTTAAGTCGTACGATAATCCATATTATGAAGCTTTATGCTAATTGAGTGCGTCGCTATCCTCACTTTACACAAATGACAGCTGTCTCTACAGAATTTCATGGGTTTCGTTTATAGACCTCAAGTTTTACTGACCACTAGTCAGTCAAAATTGAGCAAAAGGTAACATTCATAACATACAAACATGTAAATTTACTACCGTTCATTGTATATTGTACATTTGTTTTTGTAGTAAGAATATAAAAATCTCTGGTTGATTGATGACTCGTCAATTTGTGCTTAAACCACTGACTAATGGTCTCACTGTTTCGATCGCTCTGACAGGCGACATAACGGTCGGAAAGGTTAGTGAAGGTTATGTTAACATCTTATGGGACTAGCCTACTTATCAAGCCCAGCCCGCGAAGCGGGCCCAATTTTTAAGATTTTTTTCAACTTTAGCTTTAAGGCCGGCCTGGCCCATTTGAATAGTCGGGATGAGCCTACAAGACCGGTTCCTCACCTCTAGTTCTACTAACCTCTTATGAGACTAAAAGTTCGTAAAACATTTTGTCTTTTCAAATTTTTGAAAAAAACATCAAACAACAATGCTAGCAAGGTGATTGTAGCTCAAGTGATGGGAAGCGGGTGTCTTTTAAAATTTTAAAAAGATCCTAAGAAAATTGTGCGCATGAACCTGCCTTCCGTTATATTCAAATCTCGCTCGCTAATTGGCTTTCTGCCGCAATTATAAGTCTTTACAGTCCAGTGGTGAGTGTTTACTCATTCATTCAGATATTACGTAACTCACGAAAGTCAGTCAAGGTTATTGAACGGCTATTTCAGGTTTTAAAGCTGACATTTATATTGACATTAAAATGCTTTAAAAATTTAATTTTGCAAACTACAAGAAACCGTTAAATTTCAAGTCATGAAACCATAAATATAACCTTGGTCAAATAATGACAAAAAAGGTATTGAAATTAGTTTACAATACAAAGTTAAAAGTACAAAAAGCTTATAAAAATACAAATGAAACTATATTCAACTCGTCGAAACATAAATAAAGGGTCACAATAAATAGCAAGTAAATAGTACAATATCTTAGGTAAAGCGACGTAAAAAACTTCTTCGCTTCTTCTACAAATCCCATAAGTAAAGTCACAGTGTAGCCCTCAACCCACAGCAACAAAAATCGGAATGCTGTATCTCGTGAGACCATATTAAAGATAGTATGTATTAACCATACCACAGGATACGACAGATGTTACTACCCGTCCAAAGTTTCCGCAGAACAAAAGAATCAAGGCGGTTTACGCCCCCGGACACGTACAAAAATACGAATTTTGGAAAGTTCATGTAGACCAGGTTAGTCATTTCTATCTCTATGCTTCACGTTGCTTCCATTCAAAGTTCTGTAGACCTTCAGTCGTCTTTATTTTGGGTTTTGGCATAGGTTAAAACTCGAAATAACAACTTTTTAATAGAGTCAATACTAGATTACTCCATTTTAAGCCAATAATCGTTCAGTATCAGAGACAGCATGCAAATTTGGATTTTATTTTTCAAAAGCAAAACTGTCTATAAAACTTGTCATCAAGCTAATTCGGATAGTCTAAAAAATGCGTCATTTTGTCGCATTTATGGGGGAACTGTAGGTATTTTTTACATACATCTTAAAATTATGGAAATTTTACTTTATATGCAGAGGAACTGGAATATTAATTATTATTTTAAATGTTTATCTAGGTATCAAATGTTTTGGACAGAATGAGGCCAGTATTTGGAGTAAGTTTCTGAACAAAATAGCTCAAGCTCATATATTGGAGGTCATTGGACATCAAGTAAGTTGTTCTGGCCGTATCTTCTTAAGATCGTTTTATTTTTTGTTATTTAGATAATGAATCTATGTTCTAACTGATGTTATGTTAGTTCAGATCCAAATTTTTAATCTTTAGGTAATACTGAGCCTTTTAATGGCTTTGTAGGTTGCCCATATGGGTTTAAAAATTTATTTAACTTAAATTTATATTATACATAAGATCCTTTTTCAAAATAATTTAATGTTATTTTAGGTAACAAGTTCATCTTCCATTCCGGCTGCCGCTGTCATAATCCGACAACATTTCCGTGTCTTCTAGTTCCCGCTTCACCTCTGAATATACTGTAATATTGAACTGGCCAGGTATAATTGAATTGATAGTGACATGATGGGCGGAGTCAATCAGGCGTTTACCCGTTTTCTTTACTTCTCTGATAGCATTTGGGGTTAACAGTTCTTGTGCATCTGGTGGGGTGTACGATGGGTTCAGGAGCTTCAAGAAGGACTTGAATTTTGGATTTTCAACAAATTCGAGGGGTACTCCTGATGATAACATGGCCTGGAAAGGAAGGATAAGGTAAGTTTTGTTTTTTAATGGAAAGTTAAGAAAGCGACTTTGTTTTAGTTTTTGGCGGAAAGGCTGGCTATTTTTGAAGAGTTTCTATCAAAATTTGTTAGCTATACTTCAAATTCTGGGAAGAAAAGTCTTATAAAAGTATAAATTGTGTCATTTTTAATATCAATTAAGGATTAGAAAGCTTTTAAATTAGCAAAAACAACAATATTACCTTAGCCAGCACTTCATCAGCTTTTTGTTTAACGTCGCCGTTTCCAGAATTCTTCGACGTGCTTGGTTGAGAAGAAGCGACACTAATTGGCAAGGTTTGGCTTTGATATTCTTGTTTTGATAACTGGTTAGTGATATAGGGGACTTCGACCAATGTTGGGGGAGGTTCGCGACCTGCATCTTCTTTTTGACCAAATATTATCGAAGTTATGGCGGCGGCCGTTTCACGCAGAAAATTGTTGCGAATTTCAGCTGGAACGTGCTTGCAGATCTGAAAATGATTTATAGCGTTAGAAAGGTACAGCTCTGACCTTTTAACGGCACTTCTCTTTGGCATCAACTTCCCCCTGATTTCTACCCCTTTCCACTTCTAAAGCTCGACTTTCTAGCCAGCTCTGATAACTTGAATGACCTTCTACCCACTCTGACAAAATAAATGACCACTTACATTAAGCAGATGTTGCTTTAACCGATTGTGATTGTAGCCCACGTAGACTTGGCCACAATGTCTGCATGTCGCGTTCTTGCCATTCCTTTCGAAGTATTCCCAGATATAATTGTTGGCTGCTGTCATCCGCATAAATATATAATGCCTAAAACACACAGTTTAACGCTGTTTTGGCAAATTCAACGGACTTTAACACGCGGATTTTGAAAAAAACTTAAGTTATTTTAATTTTGAAGGCGTGGAATTTCAAAAAAATTGATAAAAGTAGAAAATTTGCTTGAAAAACGGAAACTATTGACATGAATAATATAGTTTTTTTACAGAAATTAAAGTTTTCATAAGTTTTATCATATTTTAAATTTTTATAGTGGAGGTAAACCTTGATATTTACTGTTCAAAAGTTCAAACTAATAAAGTTTAAACTATTTTTTATATTTTCTTCTTAAAATTCTTTCCAAAGACCAGCCCTTTCCATAAAACTTTTGCTAAAACACCAATCCCAGCCCTCGTAGCCCCCAAACCGACATCAGCATCAGGCCAGCTGGGAAGCGATTGTGTGTGAAAAAGTCGATATATTGCAAAAAAGTTGACCGACGAGAAAATTTTGGAGCGAGCAAGAAAATAGAAAAAAACGAGTCTTTCTCGAGACGCAAATTCAGCCGCCTTTCGCCTCAATGCAGGCAGGCAGGGGGCTGAGCGGGGCTTTCTTCTCAGGCAGGGAACGACCGCATCCCAGAAAGGGCTGGAAATGGATGGACACAATATCTCAACCCCCCACACTCTCTCCCGATGCTGGCGTTCATGCACTGTCAAAACATAACCAGCCGCTCCACGCTCGACATGACATATTGTGACGTCGGTCGGAATGTTGTTGAAGAGGCATCTTTGGTATACAGTTGAAGTAATCTTTGTGATGTAAACGTGTTGTGAGGTTCTCTTCTAAAGTAAACGTTCTGAGATGGTCTGTATTATAAAATTTTGTTTTTGAGACGAATGTAACATTGTTTTACATTAAGTATGATAAATTTTAAGATTGTATAGTGCATTGGCGATGTGGTAGTACTTGTTTCAAATTAAAATTTATTCATACATTGCTTAAAGGGTTATACTGTGTGATTGATGCGAAGGCAGTTCCACCGGGATTCGGTGGTGTTGGTTCAATCGAGGTGCAACTTTGGTGATAGCGTCAGTTCAGCGCGTTCTTGGCCTTCCGAGTGGTCTGGGAGTTGTAAGGCGCTAAACGAGAAGTCGATCTGTCCGGATTAAGGAAGTGTAGTCTCTTGGCGTACTTTCATTTTTATCGACAATAGGTTGAGACCCCAAATGTCGCAGTACGTTTGAGACAACTTCTTTGAGTTTGGTCTTTTGTCAGATGGAAGCCGCAGTAATCGTGACGAGCACCTATAGGTCTTGTTTACTATAGAAAAGGTTCTGTAAAAGAAAAGATAATTTTAAAAAAGTTGACTGTAGACATGGAGACTTTATGTATAACAAAAGTAAGCTTTAATTATATTGTAAAATACGATTTGATCTTTTTTATTTTGTTTTTTTAGATTAAACAAAGTTTAAAAATTAAAAAAATGTTTTTGATAAATCATAACTGACTCATAACAACAATAATTGCACAATCAGAAGACGAAAGCTGTTAAATATCTAAATATCAATCAAGATGTTGTCAAAGTACGTTGGACATTTATTTTTGTTTTGTTATACTGTATCTTCAACAGATGAGAATTTTTGTCGAGGCAAAAGAAACGGTCTGTACTCTACAGTACGTACTTGTTTTTTCAAATTTTACGATTTATACAGTAATCTCTCTATATAAGCAACCCGAAGACATTTTGTGTTTACTATAGGGCATGTTGCCTTTACAGAGTGATTTTCAGTGCAAATTGACTTGGCGGTGCTAAATTTTTTTGTTTACTGTAAGCACTGTTGTTTATACAGAACACTATATAGATAAAGTACTGTATTATTGTTACAGTATCTTTTCAAACGTTTTTTAGTATATTAACTTGAAGTTTAATAAAAAATGTATTGAAAATGGACCTCAGCGTATTTTACAATCAAAGTTTAGGGTGCCTGCACCACAAGCTACATTGAATGCCTTGGTAACAGCACCTTTGTCAGACCTTGTCCACCAGACTTGTGGTATCGTCAAGAAGCCGAACGATGCGATGCAAAGGACCTGAATCCTTATTGCACTCACAGTTTATCTGTTTGTGATAAAGATTACCGTAAATTAAATGTAAAAAACTATTGTGAACTCAAGGGAACTGGATCTTTTAAGTATCGACCGGGCGATTCGACTTTAGGAACGCATGATGGACCAGTTAGATGTAGCAAGGAAAAGGAGCTGAGCTTCAAGTTGAAGGTATGATTCAGATAGGATATTATTGTTGATGTCTGATTGTTTATGGATATACTCTTACTTGTTATTTTAAAGTTATACTCAAAGATAAAAGGATTTACTGTTTTTGAAGTTAACGCGTGTTATGCCTAGTACAACAATATATATACTTGAATATTGTCTTCAGGTGCCAGGAAGATGTACCGAGATCTATTGGCAGTGTGTTCATGGTAGGCCACTCATGATGTCGTGTCCATTTGGTCTCAGATTTGATGTTACCAAATCAGCTTGTGATCATGAAGGTCTTGTCGCTGATTGCAGGAAAATTGATGACATATACATCAAAGTAAAGTATAATGTTAATATTACTGTGGTTTGCAAAAATGGTCATTACATTAAACACAAGTCGTAAAGTTTTTTTGTATTATGACTGCTTATGTACGTAGACATATATTTATGTATATGTATTTACATATATAATTGTACTTACTATTTTAATATTAAACCAATAAACAACATCTTAACCATAAGTAGGTATAAGTTTATTGTAGAGATTTTCAGAATCGTATTGTTCGTTATACAGAGTTGGAAGATGCCTTCAACGAAGAGAGCGAACATTCGACAAGATACGATGCACTTTTTTGGAAAACATTCGTACTGTTTAAATCACTGTTAGCTAACAATAAGCCCGAACAAAAGTGAAGATACCGTTTGTTGCCTAAACAAGTCTTTGTCGTTAATAAATAAGCTAAGTAAAAAGGTCCATAAGATCGGGCGCAGCAGTGTATGCGAAGAAGAAACTTTTGATTTTTTCATCGAAAAGCCAAACTAGCAAGCGACGCTTGAAAGCTTTTAACCCAAGACAGACCTTCCCCTTCATGACACTTGCGCTTTAGTGCCATACAACGTGTAGTTGGAATATTTTTAAATCTTTTAAAAATTTTATTTTTGCTTGTTGATCTTGTGTATAATAACTGAAAATTGTAATGAAACTTTTTGTTAACCGCTTGTGGCCAATGGTATGTTACGAATGTTGGTAAAATCATATGATTAATTTAAAATTTTATTGCAAAAGAGTTAAAGCTAGGCTTAGAGCTGGAAATAGGTCTAGGGCAAGGCTAAGGTTAGGGCTAGAGTTAAAGCTAGGGCTAGAGTCAGAGCTATGGCTAGAATTAGAACTACTGCTAGGACAAGAGTTATTATTAGTGTTAAAGCTAGGTCTAGAGCAAACGCTAGAGTTAGGGCTAGGTCTAGAGTCAGGGCTATGGCTAGAGATAGAATTGAAACTAGGACAAGGTTTATGGCTAAAGCTAGGACTAGAGCTAGAAATAGTTATGTCTAGAGTTAGGGTTAAGGCTAGGGTTACATTCAGGACTAAGGCTAGGACTAGGCTATGGTAACGGCTAAAGCTAGAATTAAGACTAGAGTTAGAGCTATAGATAAAGGCCAGCATAAAGTAATTATTAGTATTTATATTGCTGTCATATTTTTAGTTATGGCATAAAGTTATAAACTATCTGTCAATGGAGAATACTTGTGCATTAGCTACCGTAAACAAAGATTTTTACAAGCTTGTCGACATGGACTTTAAGCAGTTGTGTTATGAGCACGTTGTATACCGACTTAAAGGTGAAACTTGGGCGTACGCATTCACACAGTAAGTTGACATAAAAGTAAGGTTGGATTAGGGTATATAGGATAGGGTAGATAAGTGTAATAGGGTAAGGTAGGGCGTGTTATAATAGGGTAGAGTAAAGTAGATAGGTAAAGTAGAGTAGTGTAGGCTAAGGTGTGGTATATGTATATATTTCAACTTTGTATTAATATACATTTTAGCTTTGGAGATCGTGCGTACAATTCAGGCTGTTGTTGTAAATACAACTACTTAAGAGATGCTATATGTTGTCCATTTACTGGAAGAATAGCAATACGACTTATTGGCGGTTGTGTGGTTTTGCTTACTAATATTGATTTCAGCCTTAATGAGGTTACTGTTCTTGACTTTACGGCAATTACAATGACTATCATGGATGTTAAATTAATTAACCGAGGCAACGAGCTTCTGGTTAAAACACATGCTTTGTAAGGGTCGAACTATCCTGCCGACGACATTTATTTTTCTTTGAAACTTCCACCATCAAGTAACTAAAGGTCACTGATTAACATAACAGAAATATTTTTTGCAAAAAAACAGTATCTTTTCGTATTTCCAGAACCAGAGGCGCTAGAGAGATAGGATCTTCACTAAAATGGGTGTCATATCAAATAACGAATTATTGCTAATTAGACCTAGTTTCTAAATCGTCTTCGAGTATTTTTACAATTTAGTTTTGTGTGCAAAATTACAGTAATCTTCAATTTTTGCAAAAAAAGTGCACCTAAATAGTACATCCGGTTTGTTTTAAAGTTAAAATAAAAAAAATTAAAGAAAATTAAGTATACATTATTAATTTTATAAAAATTATCAAATTATTTTTAATTAGTTTTATTTTAACTTTAAAAATTATAAAATAAATATATTGATATTATATTTTTAAGATTTAAAGTCATTTTTAGAAGTTTTGAAAAAACATTTGTCGTGGTGCAAATCTTAAAACGCATAGTTGCACAGGGTAGTCCCATTTTAACTGGACACGGTTAGGTGCGTTGGAACCGAAAAATATTCTAGTTCAATCAGCTTGAATAAGACCGGGTGTAACAGGTGTATTTTTTGCAAAAATTGAGGATTACTGTATTTTTGTAAATTTTAAAAATACTTGCAGACAATTTAGAAACTATGTGTAATTAGCAATTATTGATTATTTGATATGAAACCTAATTCAGTGAAGACCCTATCTCTCTAGCACCTCTAGTTCTAGAGGTACGAAAAGTTAGGTGGCGTTACGGTATACCCGTATACTGTTTTATTGCAAAAAATATTGCTGCCATGTTAATCAGTGACCTTTAGTTACTTGATTGTGTAAGTTTCATAAAAAAAATTTTGTTATCGACGGTAGTTCGACTCTTACAAAAAATGTGTTTTAAATGTAGAGGGTTTGCATTAATATATGATATTGGTACTATGGAGGTCAAATATAAAATATTTTCCGACGCGTTCCATCAGTGCTATGCTATCAAAACTGATTGTGTTGTTGATTATTTTACAAGAAAACAGTTCCAAATTAAGGTTGAGGATACATTTGTGGATATTTACTACGTTAACAGTTATGACCACTGTAAGTATGTTGCAGTACCTTCAATAGACGATAAACTTGTTGTATTTAATACCGAATCAGGTGAAAGACATGACGTATGTGATTGGAGGCATAACATGTTCGTGTACCTTATCAGCGAAAACGGTTCTGTAGTCATTACGAGTAAAAGTAAGTATGAATAATTGACAGTGGCCGATATTGAGGCAGAAGAGGGGAGACGTTCATATTAGATCTGAAAAGGGGGATCACAAAACTCCGCTAGCCTGAGTCGGGCCGAACAAGAAGGCTAGGCCATATGTTTAACTAAGGGTTCCACTGTAGTATGTATATATGAATAAGGTCAAGTAAAATTAATATCTAAATTTAGTAATGACGCTGGATGTCAAATATACTGTCTCAAAAGACGAGCGTTTGTGTTGAATGAACTAAACGATGAGAAATGGTTTTTGTTTAATTCTAACACTCTGTTCAGGCCGGCCAATACGTCGGTAAGAATTTTATTTTTTTTAAAATAAATTTTCAAATTTTAATTGACTTTTTTCACTTTCAGTTTTTGGTCTACAACAAGAAGATAAAGAATTGGAAGGAAATAAAGCCTAACTTAAGCCTGCGAAAGGAACAGAGATGTGAGTGTCATTTGACTGCAGACTTTGTACCAATGCCATCTTACAAAATCATGGAATCGTTTCCAAATGACATTGCCAAACATGCTTTAATACGATTTAAACAAGGCAAGTTTTTAATTTCTTACCATACTCTAATTAAACTAACCTAACCCTATTCTACTCTACCTTGCTCTACCCAACCCTGTTTTACTTTGTCCCACCCTTCTTTACTCTGCCTGCCTTACTCTACTTAAATTTTAGGTGGTCCCCAAACAAAAACCTTTGATCGTGAAGTCGAAATTATCTCTGAAAACCATTACCATTTGCTACGACATAAAGATGAGAAGCATCCAATTTCTGAATACCGACGAATGGAATGGCCTATGTCAAACGAAAAATCACAAGAATTTGCGAAGTGGTATGAACAGGTGTACATGGCGGAACCAAATATCAAATTAATTAACGTAAAAAAAGCACTAGACTGTGAACATATTTAAATTTTCTTGAATTTAAGAATGACAAATAAAGAAGCAATAACAAAAAAAAATTAGTATAAAAGCTAAATCTAAAATAAAGTGAAGGAGGATACGTGAAGGCTTGGGTATTTTTAATTTACTTTTAAGGTTACTTACAAGGGAAGTGCTTGACCTCCTCTGCTCTGATTACCTTCAAACTTGTTATAAAGAAATATCAGGTAAATAAAGATCTTCAGCAAAGTACTAAAGTCGTGCTTTCCAGTCAAACTTGAAAAAAATCGAAATTAAAATAATAATTATGTTTTAAATTTTCCGCCAAATTGGCATTGCGTTTAAAGCTTAAATGTTTGTCATTCTTTGACTTTTAACTATTCTTTTTTGATATACTAGTAAAAAACTTTTAAATGAACCTACACTTTTAAGTTTGTAAGCGTAACTAGAAAAGTTCGATGCTAAACCTATAAGTCATTGCAAGTTAGCCTTAAAACTGGCGGATAAAGCAAGCCTAGTTTTTTTCTTAAAGGACCACAAAGAGTCCTCGAATATCAATGGCGTTCTGTCGCAAGAAGCGTCGAAAATCAGGCCATTTCAATTAAAATTATTTTTCTCAAAAAACGTGAGTGGGTCGGTGTCCAATTGAATTTTCTAATTTGGAACCGACCTTTTAATTTTTGACACAAAACACCAATGACTATCGAGGACTTTTTGTGGTCCTTTAACAAAATAAAGTTGATATCGATTGATTTGACCAATTCCAAAGCCAAGAGCAATAGGAACATAACACAACATTTTTGATAAGGTTATCCATAGAACATGTTAGCTTACAATTTTAAGTTTTAAAATTTAGAATTTGGGGTTTTCCATATATGTGCCGGGCAGCGACATTTGGTCTGGGGGCGGGGTCGAAAACTTCGGCAAAATTCAAATATTTTTACAGTAGGCACCTTTGCTAATTTTTTGCAAAAAGTTTTTTCCAAAAATTTACGGGGGAGGGGGGGGGGACCACGTTCAACTTTCTTTTTGAAAATTTTTTTTCTGGGAGGGAGGAGGAGGTACCACCTCGTCTCTCCTGTCCAATTCTGCATATATGTAATTTAATATTAACCCAACAAACAGAATCGCAACCATAAGTAAGTATAAGTTTATTGTAAAGATGTTCAGAACCGTATGATTGTGCGTTATACAGAGTTTTAAGATACCTGGGGAGAAGAGAGCGAACATTCGACAAGATACGATGGTAAAGTTTTCAGTCAATTGTGTTTGTTTTCAAATGGCAATCGAGATCATGATTCTAGTTGATTTTAGTAAATGACAGTGATAGGTGATACTCTACAGGGTAATACTATGATTTTAAGTACTGTAGGCAAACATTACGGTAAACAATGGGTCATACTGTAACGCAAATATGCTACATTACCTAATGTTTACAGTAATGTAAAAAGTTATAGATGTAGTATAAAACAGTGTTTTAATATACTGTAACCAACAAAATACAACGTATAGTAAGGTAAAGAATTGTATTTTAAACTATATATTATTATAGTAATACATTATGAAGCTACAGGGTGAAAAGAGTAGAGTAACAACAATGTTAGGACATTTCAAAGTCAATATAATATAACAAATAAAGTAATAGTAAAAAGAAGTTATAATACTCAAAATAGCTACAATATAGTCATGTAAAGTAGTAATGTAAAGACCAGTACAATGTATAGTATTAATTTTATAAACTAGTACCAAGCATTACTAGTAAAACAAGTACTAAATAATAATAAAAAAACAATTAATAAATAGTACGAGTTTAAAGTACTAAATAGTACTAGTTTAAAGATTTTTGGCGGCTAACGAGAACAATTGTTGTAGTAGTGCAGTAGAGATGGGTACCACATCAGGCAGCCCAGTCGTATTCAGCTCCGGCGTCTCTTTGGCCCAACTGTTCGGCCGCATCCATTCAGTACCACCAACAGTACTACTAACAGTACTATGCGGTATCATTGGTACCATCCGGCTGTCAAACAACATTTTGGACAAAGGATTGGCCAAAGACGGGTTGGGCATGATCGGCGATGTCATTGGACTAGTATTGAAGACAAAAGAAGGATTGGCCATGATAGTGTCATCCTTTATCGATAGTACACTTGGTGCCTCTTTCATCATGATAGGCGGGCTGAACAGGGTAGATGGAGAAGATACTAGCGGAGAGGATGTGGCTGGAAATGGCAGTAGTTGTGGCGGCGATGGGCTTTGGTTCAGTTTATTGTATTGCTCTAGCATTGGGAGGGGCATGAACTGGAGGGGGATGCTGAAACAGTACAAGATTAATATATTATTGTGGGCAAAAGTATAAAGTAGTATTGTAGGCTAAAAACTGTTAAGATAAGGCTAAAATTGCAGTAAAAACGACAACTTTTCAAAATTGTTGCACGGTGCAAAATAAATGTTTTCCGGTACAACTAACATAAGATGGTTAATTAAGTAATAGTGCAAATCTCGATAGAGTTAATAAGGCATGTAATGCTAAGTAGGAAATAGCTTAGACTCTGCTGATACTTTAATCTTCGAAGGGTTCAACTTCCAAAAAACATCTTACTGTAGAGTAATTTACTATGTAAATATATATAAGAAAACATGCAAAGCTACCTATTTAAGGTTTTTGTAGGATTTTTAACTAAAAAATTTTAAAATTAAAAAAAGCTAGAAAAGTTTTCAACTTTTCTCTACTATACCTTTACCTATATCTATTACCTTAGCTACACCTATATTTATCACCCTAGCCACATTAACCTTTACTATAACATTGCAAAACTTACTCCGGCCGAAAGTTGTTAGCCATAGTGACAGCCGGTAAGGTTTCGTTCACCTTTTCCTCAGGCATCTTGTTTTCGTCTACATTCATATGCATTTTCAAGAGATTATCCAAGTCGAAAGGCTTCTTCTTGGTCGATGGTTCTGAAGCCGCGGGACTCAGGTTCAGATCGATACTTCTTCTGATCTCGTCTTCCGTCTCGTCCAGAGCTTGTTGAGCACGCCGAGCTTTTTGTTGGTCACGGCGAAGCTTGATCTGACGTGCCATTAGAGAACGACGATTCTCCACGAGTATGCACTAGAAAGAGTACGGTAATATGAAGGTACGGTAGTTTTTAGAATTCAAAATTTTAATCTTATAAATTACAGTAAACTATATAAAGAATTGTAAGTACTGTGTAATTCTACAGTATTCCTATAAGAATTATTCTACAGTATACTTTCCCATAAGAAAGTATACTATAGAATAATACAATAACTTAAAAAAATTACAGTATTCCTTACCAGGTTGCAGTTACAATCGGAGAACGGACATAGCGATCGTTTATGTCCCCTGAGGGCTTGGTCTTTGCCGTGAGCTGAGCATCGTGCACACTTCGGGTCTCGTATCTTCTTCTGCCCAGGCTCAGGTCGTGGTGTATTTGGGTCCAACTTCCGTTTACTGAGTTGATTATTCAGTTGACGTCGCTTTTCTACCATAATACAGTCATCGCATTCACAGTTGGCATACCTGCAAAGGTAAAGAGGTATATTTAAATAGGTAGGTAGAGAGTATGTACTGTTATATATGTATATACTATGAGTATTTAATGCTATGTATATATGTTTGGTTCTACTCCCTTGACCACCCCACCCTTCGTATGTCCAAATCAATTAAAGTAATAGTCCATTCGGATTAGTGTAAGAGCTTTTACATTACACTTGTAATCTGATCGCGGATGCCAACTTGAATACGATACCATATGGTACAAACTGATATAAGTGTAAGATGATTATATCAATCGTAGACTTATCTTCACTGTCACATTGTAATATTGGTAAAATATTTTTTGTTTGTAAACGTAAACGTGAATATGTTGTAAACACGTATGTCTATTCATAATATATAATGTTATGTAGATGTATTTTTACATTAGTAATCATTGTAAAAGATAAACATGTTACCATTAGTTTTTTCAGATAATTTTGGGCCCCTAGCTTCAAAAAGTAGCCTTTAGAAAAAGCTCAGAATTATTTAAACAACCTATTACAGCTACATAGCTTGATAGTACATAATTCGTAGTATTTTGGCGAACATACCGTAAAATATTACCTCTACCTATACCTATACGTATATCTCTCCCTATATCTATACCTATACCGCACACATTACACAAACTACACAGTAAAGTAACGAAAAATATTAGCAAACATGTTACGTAGTAAACTGGAATTGTAAATTAACTTCCTGATCAAGATACCACACATGTATATATATCTTCTAGAATGTAAACCTAATCCATGTTGAAAGCGATTAAAGAGTCATTACAACATAATTAAGGTTGTAATACTGCCTAATCCGGAAACAGTCATGTATTCATGTAGCCAACACATAATTGTTACAATTTGGTCATACGATTTACTACGTATATGATATGTATGCCTATGCCACCAAAACCCCTATACCTATATCTTCAACTATACTTATACATAACAACAATTTCTTATATATATACTAAAACCTATAGCAAAAACGAGATATTAACTTACCGGCAGTAAGGTTTATGTCCTTTCCGTGGAAACTCCAACCGATGATTCAAGCATCGTTGACAAAAGTATCGCTTCTCATTCGACCCATTCGAGGATGAACTTGGCGTAGGCGAGTCCGTACCCGTACTCATGTCTGGCGCTGGTGTGCACGATACCACGTCAATGTCAATGTTTGGAGATTCTGGGTAGAAGTCGGCTGAAAATAAGCTTACATTACTATTAGCGGATTCAAAAAATGATAAAAAATATAATGTCATATAATACAGGGTGCGCCAAAAGTTCTGTTACAAAATTTGTATTTTTAAAATTTTTTATTTATTATTATTAGGTTGTTCAAATAATTCTGTACTCCTGAAACGATGAAACAAATACGCAAAAATTTTGTTTACAGATTTAGAAAAAAACAAAAATTAAAAAAATATATTAGTTTATTCATATAATTCTGTGCCCCTGATCATTTCTATTGGTTCAGGGTGCCGTGCCTGACCCCTTGAATTTAGTTAGAAATGAAGCTCAGAATTAATTGTACAACTTAATAGTACTATTAAAATCGAATTTGAACATAGTACCAATCAAAAATTTGAGTACTATAACAGTACCAACAGAACCAAAGGTGAAGTGATAAGAGTACCATTAAGACCAAATTTCAAGTAATAACAGTACCAATAGAACAATTTACGAATTAATAACTGTCCTATTAGTTTGTTCAAATAATTTTGTGCCCCCTTACCCCAAAAATTTGCTTTAAAAAAGGGCCCAGAATTATGTGAACAACCTATTATAATATTTATTTTATACAGTAAACCCCCCATAACGTACCGTACAAGCCTTCAACCGTCTAAAAATTTTAAATTTTTAAAACTATAAAATTTTTTTAATTAAAACTTCTCTTTGCACTTTAAAACCATATACCCCGTTCCCACCCCAAACACCCCGCCCCTCCCTCTTTTTTTTAATTAAAAATGACCCACCCTCAAGTTGGAAACCCCGAAGATATAAATGTAACACGAAATATATTGGCCATTCGGCCACACATACATCAGACACATTTACTTTATGTAATTGTACTCTTAAGACCTCACGTACGACCACAGACGACGGTAACGACAGGATTGCGTGCCCAACTTACAGCTTTGTACATATGCCAGTAAATGCAACATCTTCGAGTGTAACATCGTATGTGCTTTCATTTTACCGTATGGGTGGAGTGTAAGAGAGTAGATTTGTAGGGAAATGTCCTATATGATGATACTAAGGTTATGGAGAGTATAATACAGTAAACAAGAAGATGATTATAATGTTATAGCAAGTATACTATAGTAAACTAAAGGCTACAAGGCTATGATTCAATAGTATATAAAGCTAAAAGCCTAAAATACGATGATACTAAGTCTTTCAAGTCCAAGATGCGACTTCACCAATAGTTATATGTAAAATACGAACGTAGTAAAGCCGCTAGCACAAGATACAATGCCTTTTACAAGATAACACTGTAATTATACGACACAGTAGTTAAGTATTCAAAGTCTCAAGCTGTAGACAATGTAAATACGTATATATATTGGAAGAGAATGTAGATGTAATCCCAATGATCTTAATGCATTACATTACATCGAGACTCAAGATACGATGAAACTCCAGAAATAGGCGGAGCTTCGTATCTTAATCTTGTGTTTAAGATACTAGAAACCTAATCCTATGATCAATGTAACTTCAAAGATACTAACATGCCATGCAGCTACTTAGGCTACATAAAGCAACATATCGTGATAATAATAAACTATATAAGCCAATGTACCATGATAGCATTAATGCTATACACACCATCATACCACACTACTATTATAACTGCAAAATTAAAGTTACTACGGTAAAGTACACCCAAAAACCTTGTCTTTCCCACATATCAACAAATACTGCACAGTAAAACCATAAAAACCAAAAACTATCACCACCGTTTCCTTGTATAATACCTATACCACCCCTCAGCAACGTGAATTTGTTTATATTTGTGTCTTAGCCGTCGTATGTGCACTTTAAGCGCGTATACTTTGAATCCAGTTATCGGTAGCAAAGATACGTGCGAAGATGGTAATTAAAGTATTATACTTCCGTCTCGAAGTGTTCAGATTAAGTAATCCTACAAGATACGACGATTTATGCTCGGCCAGACAAAAGAATGAACCATGGTACACATCAACCTATTAGGGATGTACCTAAGTACCTACACCAAGCTCTTCGGCATATATAAGTATATCAACTTATTGAACACATACTTACGTATCTGCAGCAACCTATTAATCATGTATAAGTACCTACATCAACCTATTACGCATATTATACAACATACGACAATGCACTGCAATTTCAATTCTAAATAGGACCTGTACTAGGTATTTGACTCAACATACTATGTTATACTGAGCATTGAAGTCCATATACGATTATGTATTATTATACTCAATACCTTTAACACGATTGTACTACGACTCAAACGCAACATACGATTATATCAACCCCAAAAAGCAGAAACAAACTGTAGTAAAAAGACTTATTATTGTAGTCGAAAGAGCTATTACCGTTGTAAAAAACCTTTTACTGTAGTAAATTTTAAAATTAATGACATCATCATACATACGCGGTAAAACACCACGATGTAATAACTAAATAACCATTTTACCATGCTAATCATAGTAATATCCTTTCACGCTTCCCCCACCCAAATATAAACATATAAACCATGGTGAACCCGGTAATTAATCTCTCTTTAGTATGCCTCAAAAATTTCACAATGCACTTTTGCCAAACGTCTTAATCCATGGTATGTTTTCGTATCTTCGCCATATAAAAGTGTAAACGGATTTGCGATATAAGGCTTCTGTCTCGCACGTTTTCAACCGCAAAGCCTTATATAAATATCAGTGGTTAGAAACCTATATCTACGTACAAAAAGACATTTGGTAACATATCTTACTACAGTAAGAAAGCGAAAATGAAACAAAAGTTATACGAAATAGTTGACTATAACCAGTGTTGTTATAACAAATTTAAAAAAAGTATTATACTGTAGTAAAGTTAATTGAAGGCCCCTTATATTACAGTAGGCAGCACTGTAAATCACAGTAAAGTAAAGTAAAAAATACAAAAAATTTTAAACATATTTTAGTTTACATCATCGTATCTCGTTCTGTAGCAAGACAATGTCTACAACAATCGATTTTCAAAAATAAGGTTTCACATGTTACAGTAAAGCCGATCTACCCACGTAATACGTTGGCACTTTTCCTAATTGTCGCAAAAGTTCATACAAAAAGTAGCCGTGTATCAATCGTACCTTCAATTCGTATTATCATACGATTGTAAATACTACTTTTACAATTTTTTGTTGAAAAGTAGTTTCTTATCTACTACCTAACAAAAATTACAGTAGCATAACTGTAAATTGCGATAACTGAGAAAATTACACAGCGGCCATTGCAAATTAAGTAGCTTAAGGTAAAATACAGTAGTGACTTCAAAGGTCCTTCTTAGCTACTAATAACGCCCCCATAACCCCCCCCCCCCCCCCCTCACTTCAAAAAAAGAAAATTTTACCCCCAGCTTTATATTAAGTTGTTCAAATAAGTCTGAGCCACTAACTCCTAAAATTTTCTTTGAGAATAGGCTCAGAATTACTTGAACAACCTACTAATAACAATCTCATCTTATTTCCAAGAACAGCTTTTTTTTAGCTTTATATATTGACATAGCCCTAGATTTTTAAAGCGGCCGCGCCTAGTAGGTCCCCTTTTAGGCCTACATAGCTCTGACATAGTCCTTTCCTATACATAAATACCAAATTAGAGCAAAAAGTTGATGCAAAAACAATGGCCCTACGTAAAAGAAACCAAAACTAGACCAAAAGTACAACTTTTTAGAATAATCAAAGTAATGACATATGTGTCTTATGTTCCCCTCTTCAGCCGTTTTTTAAAACGGTTTTAAAACATGAGACTTAAGGCGATTAGACATGTCTTCTACATATTAAAGTTACATTACTCTCGAGGAAGTAATCGCATACCAGTCATTGCATGACAAACACTATATACAGCTGGCTAGAGATGTATTCTTACGTTTGGTATGTTAAAAACTGGCATTTTGGTATCGAAAAACATTTTTTGTTCAAAATATTAAGTTGTTGAAATAATTCTGAACCCCCTTTAAGGTTAGTTATTTTATGTATGTTATTAGTAGGTTGTTCAACTAATTCTGAGCCCCTTTTCAAAGTAAATTTTTGAAATTAAGGGGTACAGAATTATTTAAACAGCCTAATAAAAATGATTGCACAGTGCAAAAAATTTAAACTACAGTAACCTGTTACTACAGTAGGCCATAAAAGTCTACAGTAGTAAAAACTTCAAAAAAAATTTTTTATTTAAAATTTTTTACCAAAATAAATATAAACTTACAGCTACTGGCACTGGGTTCATTCATAGCATCAAACATGGCTATTACTGTAATGTTATCGTATGTTACTCCGCCGATATAACTCTCAACTTGCTTTCACTTCGGTTTATATCATCCAGGATACTGTAACAACAGAAATTACAAATGAATTTTTTTGTAAACAAAGTTATTGCGCGATCAATTGTAATCACGAATATGGTGGTACTATGACATGTTAAAGCATAGTATGTATTATAATATAATTTAACATATATATAAAGCAAAATATAAGATTTTTCAACTAATTCTGTACCCCTAACCTCAAAAAATTGCTTTGAGAGATAGAGTACAGGATTATTTAAACAACCTAATATATGAACAAAAAAGTATTTCCTATGCAACCCTATATAACAACATATACAACCCAAATACCATGTAATCTATCATAAACTACACCAACATACCAAGTAATACAATAGTAAAGCACGTAGCTTAACACAATTACCGTATGGCTTAACTATGTAACATTCAAGACACACGACTAACCCGGTCGTATGTTAGACATAACCAAACGACTTTTTCTTGTCAGACGGATTAACACAGTAAGTATTTACATCTTAAAATTAGTTACATTACTCACATATCCGCTTCGTATATGTTAATACCAGGTTCATAGACATACCATGAAAGAAGTATTTATTTCCTAAAGATATAAATAGACGTACTGTGGTAGAAGATCGTATTGTAATATAAGCGTACTATAGTGTAAGATAATATGTTTAAGTTTTACTGAGTAAAAAGACGTAGTAATAAGTCTAGCATAGTAAAATATAGTATGTTGTGGACTTTACGCCTAAACAATAGTATCTTTATCGACTAACAAAGTGAAAAATCTTATGTCTTAAAGCTTACACAACAGTATACCGTATCTCCAACAACATATACAATTGTTTTACTAAAGCAGACATCTTTACCTTGCTTTAATAGAACATGCGTGAAGTTGACACCTACATCTTCTTAGTAGCATAGTAAAATTAGCATTATGTATTAACAATTAAAAGTAATACTTCTTAAGACAAGTACTTTGAACTTACTATACCATAGACACTTGTCTTACTATACTATACTATACTCGTTTTACTTTTTCTAGAGCGTCGCAGTTCATAGTACTAGACTGTTCAAATAATTATGTGCCACTAACTTTGAAAATTTGATTTAAAAGAAGGCACAGAACTATGTGAATAACGTAATATTAAGACCGAGTGTTAAGTGTTAACAGTGCCAATCAAGCCATATATCAAATGATAACAGTAGCATAAAAACTAAGTTCCAAGTGATAACAGTACTATTAAACCAAACTTCAACTGATCACAGTACCAATAAGACTATATATCAAGTGATAAAAGTACCAATGAGATCAGATATCAAGTTATAATAATACCAATAAGGTCAGATATCAATTGATAAGAGTACCATTAGGACCAATTTCCCTAAATCATCAAAATCTTATCAAAAGGCCTCACATATCGCTTATCACTGCAAAAAAGCAACAGAATCAATATCCACTTAAGTGATAACGAAGTCGGAAATAGCACTATTGTCGCAAAAAGTTTGAAATATTTTAAAATTTCATAACCATTCTCTTCCTCCCCCCCCCCTTTAACTACCCCCTCCAAACGCTGATAATGACATAGCAATCAAATCAAAAAGGCATGGGCCACCCATATTGCGACATTCTCAACAAAGACACATAAATCTACTTTTT